GACGTCACGGACGAAGGTGAGTACCTTTGATAAACCCTAAGCAAAGTTTCCACTTTGGCAGCACTCCTCAGCTAGGCCCGGTCAGGACAGATTGCCTCAGTTTTGAGTTAGGGTTCCATCTTGTTCATTTCTCAAAACGTAAGTACAGATTTAGCTTTTGAAGACTAACTCGACTAAACATGTTCGCTAACATTAAAAACAAAGGTGGTCAGTCTTTTAACAACTGAACAACCCACTAAAATAATTCCACATTCTACAGCATCTCCCAAGGTCAAACCTGGGATTTACTTTACCCATAGATTACATACGATATATACGATTTACATTTGTTGTTTTTTTTACGTTTAAGTTAAATATTGGATATAGTTAATGCTTATTTTCTTACCAGTAGACTTAGTAAAGCAGGATTCAGAACATACTCTACTGGTTTCACGTGTACTTAAATGTACATGTTTCTGAATGGCCGCAATTTGTTAATTACGATCTATAGATCTACTTACAAAATTCTCCCTCAGCATTATCTACAAATTAAACCTAATGCACAGTGCAAGGGTATTTATTATGATATGCTTCCAGTAGCGACAAACGTGTTAATTATAAGTACAGCAGTTTGATTATTATACTAATTAAAATATAATTAATACTATCGTATGTATGTCTACCTAATGAAGAGTTATTTTCTAGCTTCGAAGAGTTGTTCTCTAACTTTAAGTCACTAATACAATTACTCGGCATGCATGGTGTGTACAGTGTAAGCAGCAGTTCAAACTTCCGTTGTTGTCATTGGTTTCTGTAACTGAATTGTGTTGACTAAGAATTCAGCGAGGTCAGATGAACTCTACTTCATCTGCCCCATGTATCTTGGGCACGAACGGGATTAAGAAGAAGAAGAGAGGAATTCAGCGGTGTTAGTGCTGTTGTATGTTGTTAGGATATGGTGGGCTAGAAAGTAGATCAGTATTGTCAGCTTTAAACTGACACAAAACTCGCGCGATACGTGTCAGTATGCTGTCATACAATTGTATTGTTTGTATGGAATCAAGTGTACGAGCACCTTCATGTAACAAGTCCCCGTATTCTACACTTAACCCGCCAATTCATGCTGTGCTTGTTGAATTCAACACACGGATATACGTCGTGAATCAAGCAGCAGATAGGGAAGTTTACCCAAAGGTCATCGTAACTTTCTAGAACATCCGGTGTTTGTGTGTGTTATCTTGAGTTTGTTGATAGGCCATGTGCTAATCAAGTTTCCGGCCGGCAATTTTTTCAAATTAATTAATATAACAACAGTGCTGTCTAGCGTGTGTAGCAGCTATCATCAAGTAGTATTGAATTGTATGTTTTTTAACCAGATGTTTTATGGTCTAAACTTATTTCTATGAAATTTTTGTAACTGCATTAAGAGGCGAATAGCAGCATGTAGTCTACTCATTAAGTGTTGCACCGTATCTTGGGTGCAGGTATAAAATTATTGTAACTGCATTAAGAGGCTAATAGCAGCATGTAGTCTACTCATTAAGTGTTGCACCGTATCTTGGGTGCAGGTATAAAATTATTTTAACTGCATTAAGAGGCTAATTGCAGCATGTAGTCTACTCATTAAGTGTGTTGCACCGTATCTTGGGTGCAGGTATAAAATTATTTTAACTGCATTAAGAGGCTAATTGCAACATGTCCTCTACTCATTAAGTGTTGCACCGTATCTTGGGTGCAGGTATAAAATTATTTTAACTGCATAAAGAGGCTAATTGCAGCATGTAGTCAACTCATTAAGTGTGTTGCACCGTATCACCGTGTAGGTAGTCACGTGTGTCAAATGCCAACGGGTCTTAGTGTGTAGGATACAAGAAGATGTCTAGTTTGGTGACCATTGAATGCTTTAGGTGACATTAATTAACCACGTGACCCGTGGGATTTGACCACGTGATGAGACAAATGGTAGAATACAGTAGCTGAACCTAAAGGCTTGAGTTTAAATCCAAATCTAGACCTCTGCTAATATCCAATCATTGCTGAAGCCCATAAATCGACATTTGATGATTTTCACGGCCCACATAAATCAATGTTCTATGATTGTCATGGCCCACGTTTAATTCCTTTATGCAGCAATAGAAACACGTCGCTTCTCCTACAATTCTCTCCTTACTTTGCACCAGCAAACGGTACTTAGATCACTGGCATATCCGAATACAACCTGGCTTTTTGTGGTCTGTTGCCTGGCGACTCGGGCTTTGTGTGATGTGTTGCCTAGCAACTCGTGCTTTGTGTGATGTGTTGCCTAGCAACTCGTGCTTTGTGCAATGTGTTGCCTAGCAACTCGTGCTTTGTGCGATGTGTTGCCTGATGAGAATGCTTTAAGAAACACCATTTCATAAGCTGCCACACAAGCTCCACATTTCAGACATTTTGTTTGTTTTAGTTGTGATTGCTGCCGTCGCTACAACAACCCAACACACGAAACAGTCCAACTTTTTTTTTTTACATAGTTAGACCTGGTCTATCCTGGTCGTGGAGGAAACACCTCACAAACGTACAAACGTTATAAACATACAAACCTCACAAACATATAAACAAACAAACAAATAAACCTTATAAACATACAAACGTCACAAACATTCAAACCTCAAAAACATTCAATCATCACAAACATACAAACCTCACAAACATAAACAAACAAACAAATAAACCTTATAAACATAAAAACGTCACAAACATACCAAAATTCAAAAACAGTCAATCATCACAAATATACAAACCTCACAAATACACAATCATCACAAACTAACCTCATAAACATACAAACCTCACAAATATAAATCATCACAGATGAAGATACAAACATACAAACATCACCACAAACGATACAAATCTAAGTATTACGAATTGAACTAATATTTAACATCAAATGTGTTTTTAAAAATGGTCCTCTGTACAACAAAAAACATCCCAATCTTTCTCTGTAAACAAAAGTTTGCTCTGTGTTTCTCTATATCCAACGTTATCACAAATGTTATCGCATCGTTTTTCTATACAACATAGCCAACACTATCAATGCATTAAAAGCATGTTATAAGATTTTTTTTTATGTGAATGACCTTTCTAATCTAAAAAGTACATAAGTACTGAGGCACATTATTGGAAATGTGAATATTAATATTAATGTGTTATTCTCTTTCTTTTGTCCAATATCTGCCACCAAAAGAATGAGCAATGGATATGGCACTAAAATATTATAACAAAAAAAAAGCAATGCGAGATAAGGGTAGATAATTATCTTGAACTAAACAGTGTTCTCCCCTAGTTTCTTCCCTCCCCTGTTTACTCCAGCCTAGCCAGATTTTCTCATCATTTTTTTACCCTGCCAGATAAGCCTGGCACGCATCTCAGAGCCTAGCAGATATTCTTTTACCTGTGCCTTGGTGTGTTCGCCAGGCAGCCCCCCCCCCCCCCCCCACCAGAATTCTACCGTCAGCTCATAGATGTGAGCACACCATTATGTTCGTGTGTCGGTTTATTGGTGACCTCTATAGAGGTCAACATCAGGTTTTCATATTCGTTTACCTGAGCTGAACACGGCATGGCATATATGAACTACATTTTTCTTTTTTTAAATATACAGTTGAATAAAACACGAAAAAATAATAAGATAATATACTTATGTTTTACACTCAAGAGATAAGGCAAAAAAATTATTTAATATCCGTAATAATTTTTTCTTCTTTGAGCTGAAAAATAAAATTAGAAAATAATCTCCTAGCAACTGATGGGCCCGTCCATAGCTTTGGCTCCTAATGGCAACATTCCTTGGCTGTCTGCCCATCCTGCTCGCTCCTCCTTTTGTTGGCAGTGTAAGTTGTTGGGGGAGGGGAGGGTGGTACATCATTGCACCTGCGTCAGTCTGTTAGTTCGGTTACACGTCAAACTATCCTGCAACAGTTGAATCGCAAGTATGCATACACTAATGTGTGGATAAATTCAAACAAGCGTCTAAACGGTCCTATCCAAACTCATCCGTAGTGAAGTCTAATGAAGAGTTTAGTCCAGGCCCACCTTTCATATGAAAACTAGAATTGCTACAATATAATTAAATTAAAACCTAATAATTCTACACACCATTCGGTAGTTGAATCTTTTTTTTTTTTTAACCGTTATCATTCTCAGTTGAATGATGTGGAGTGTGTGTGTGGGGGGGGGGGGGGGGAAGAAGGTCGTTTGTCTCAAATGTTAAAATGAATTAATTTCCGAATGTGCTGAACTGCTGATGTTGCACTTATAAAAAGATGACGGCAAATTAAATAGGGATACAGACAAAAACTACAGTAGTAGAGCGATATAAAACATTTTTGGTTGAAATGTTTATTGCGTGTTATCTAATGCCGGTCACCATGATAAATAGAAAAATATATACATGACCGTGGCCTTTTTATTTAAATTTGTTTCGTTTTTTTACTTTGTTATTTATAATCATTGGATGTTTTTTGTTTGACCATTGACAATTGCGATGTGTAGGTGACAAATAACACACAAATATTCAGGTCGTTACCCTATAGTGCCCTACTATAATGGTAGGTCTTTTTTTTTAACAATGCAAGAGAAAACATTACTCCTCCTGCCCCCTTCCGGATACCCCATCACCATCTCAAATGTCTTTTTAAAACGTTTTTCTTAACTCAGCTTCGCGTTTGTTTGTTTGGATGTTTGTTGTTAAAATTGACATCGAAAATTAGCCCACTTCTGATTGCTCTAGAGACCTGAAATTTGGCATGCATGCTACTTTCGCCTAACAATTTCAGATGCAATCATAAAAACTAGCAATTAGTGACCGTAATTAGCTTAATTTAATTACGCCCCAAGGACCATAAAATTGAGGACATGATTTCTAAAGATACCGACAAGACTGCAGTCCTATTGACACAGTTACTTCGGCCCCAATCGATGTGAGCGCGCTGGCCGTGATCGTATAGTGGTTAGTACTTCGCGTTGTGGCCGCGACAACCCAGGTTCGAATCCTGGTCGCTCAAGATTTTTAGTCCGTGTATTTATAAACACTTTTTTAAAAACCACGTTTTTCATGTGTAGCAACGGACTAAAAAGGAGAAAATAAAATACTTAAAAAAAAACTTTTTAAAAAACCACGTTTTTCTTGTGGACTAAAAAGTAGAAAATAACTATTTACATACATTTGATGACAAAAAACGTGGGTCGGGCAGATGGGTCGGGAAATTTGATGGTGAACGTACCCACGTTTTTTGTCATCAAATGTATGTAAATAGTTATTTTCTACTTTTTAGTCCACAAGAAAAACGTGGTTTTTTAAAAAGTTTTTTTTTAAGTATTTTATTATTAACACGTTTTTATTAACTCAGCTTCGCGTGGATGTGTTTGTTGTTAAAATTGACATCGAAAATTAGCCCACTTCTGATTGCTCTATAGATCTGAAATTTGGCATGCAGGTTACTTTCGCCTAACAATTTCAGATGCAATCATAAAAACTAGCAATTAGAGACCGTAATTAGCTTAATTTAATTACGCCCAAAGGACCATAAAATTGAGGACATGATTTCTAAAGATACCGACAAGACTGGAGGCTTGTTGACACAGTTACTTCGGCCCCAATCGATGTGAGCGCGCTGGCCGTGATCGTATAGTGGTTAGTACTTCGCGTTGTGGCCGCGACAACCCAGGTTCGAATCCTGGTCGCTCAAGATTTTTTTAGTCCGTGTATTTATAAACACTTAGTCAATTCATACTTAATCAAGTCATTAGATAAAGTAGAAAATAAACTATATAAAAAACTTTTTTAAAAACCACGTTTTTCATGTGTAGCAACGGACTAAAAAGGAGAAAATAAAATACTTAAAAAAAAAATTTTAAAAAACCACGTTTTTCTTGTGGACTAAAAAGTAGAAAATAACTATTTACATACATTTGATGACAAAAAACGTGGGTCGGGCAGATGGGTCGGGAAATTTGATGGTGAACGTACCCACGTTTTTTGTCATCAAATGTATGTAAATAGTTATTTTCTACTTTTTAGTCCACAAGAAAAACGTGGTTTTTTAAAAAGTTTTTTTTAAGTATTTTATTGAATACATTAGTTTGCTACGCTGTCATGTAGTCTACTGATACTTGCAGATTACATATTTTGAAATTTTCTATTTTAGTTCAGGATGCATTTGTGTAGTAAAAAGCGTAGGCTCTATAAACTGTTAATAGATTAGTGAATAGTTTAGGATTAACAAAATGTACAAATAACAAAAGAGAAAAAAAAAAAAACAGAATTTTATTAAGACAGTAAGTCTAGCTAACAATAGCATAAGGGAAACAAAAGAATATATTTTTTAATTAATAGGAGGACTATTTAAATACACTTTTTGTTATTTATTAATAGCCTATAACAAATGTATTAGATTAAACTGCTAAAATATCTTCGCACTGGTATAGCTTTTTTTTTCACACACACAAAATCCAAAACAACTCAATTCAGAATTAGGTTAACAATAATAAACATTGTAAAATTTGACTCTTGTATGTAAACCTAGATTTTTAACTTTAAAGTATCATTTAACTCATGTATCGTTCTATAGTTCAATATTTATGTTTGTCTTATTATACCTATTTCAGATTCAAAATGGCAGAAGAGGTACGTACATCATTACACAATTTTGCAGAAATTGTTAAAGGGAAATAACCCTATTTATTTTTAAAAGGGAAATAACCCTACATATTTTATTATTATTTAGTTTTTCTTAGTTATATATTTATAATAGCAATTTGAAGTAAGCACAGTAGAAGCATAGTTGCAATAGATGAAGATTACTTTAAATTGTAACCTAGAGCACTGGTTCTCAATCTTTAAAGAAGAATTTATTCGGACTTATACCTATTTTCCAACAGAAGGAATTCATCATTTGAATGTGTATACTTATTCATTTAATCAATCACAACAAGATAAAAAAGTAGTGTATTGAGTGTGCAACTAGTGAAAATAAATAACAAAAGAGAACCTCTGGTCTAGGTTTTAGTTTACATAATTTAGAGCATGCGCACTTTAGCTCAATATTTAAGTACATTAGTTAGTTTTTCGTAATGAAAATAATAAATTATCTCAACAAATTTTAAAAATGTTTACAAGTAAACTTTAAACAATTTATAATAGTAAATTTAGCATTAGAATCTGTAATATATTTATTATTTAATTAGAGTTACTGATAAAATTCTGTTTATGTTTTTTTTATTTTATTACTATTATTGAATTAAATAGCAATGTATCTCTTTAATTTATTCTATATTGATTGAATATACATTTAATTTATGCATTCATGTAATCTGTTTAATGATACAATACATTTTTAGATATTGTTTATTATGCTTTTGCCTACTCTGCCAGAATGAACTATCAGTAATTTATTTTTATAAGTACAATAATGTACCTAGAATTATCATTCTAAATTACAACCAGAGCATTGATGTATGTGTTATTGAGAAAAGTATCATATGGCAGATTAAGGCAAGCATAATTGTAGTTTCTAGTAGTGAATTGCAAACATATCTGACACTACTGCAACTTGTCCCACCACCTGAACTTTTCATTTGCTTTTAGCATTTTCTTTAAAAATAGTTTTTTTTTAATTATTATATCTAAAAAATGCATAGGCCTACTGATTTAATTTTTCTAACCATGAAATGTGTAACAGTGCATAGCATTTCAACTAATCAGATATATTTGCAAGATTGTAGAAATTTTAAATCTTTATATGCAATGTCATGTACCTGCGTGTGTCTTCACTTATTCTGTCAGTGTTTTGTTTCAGCATCTTATACACTATCCTACTGTAGAAGTTCTCTTAGAACACTCTGTAGCGGAAATCAGCTTTCAGCGCTTAGAAGAGCTTGGACATGCGCTTAGATGTGTTACTGCTTGACGTGCCCTTGGTGACGTAGTTTTAGCCCAATAGCTTGCCCGCATTTATCTAAGCACTGACAAAAGGCCACCATTTGTTTTAGGGGCACAAAACATAACATCAGATTACTTGAAAAATTGATTTATGTTTCTGAGCTTAGTAAGAAACAACTTTTTTTTCTTGATTGTCAGCTCAGAAATTAATCAAGCTTTGATTTAAATGTTTTTTTTTAATGAAAAGCAAGATCCATATTTTCACATAATGTGTTTTATCTTTTGAATGTAGTTCATAGTTCATGCTGATGATTTTTGCATTTGAACAACAGATTTTTAGGGGAAATACAAAATCATGTTTTAAAGCGATTATTTTTATAAACGGGGAGCGCATTAAAATAAACGTAGCAGAGACTCTAAAGATTTAAAAAGTTCAAGGAGTTCTGTGTGGCCTTTTGTCATGAGCTAATCTGTTTCTTTCTTTCCATATTGGGCCTTATGTTGTTTTTCCATTTTTCAGGAAGATAAGAAGGGTCGGGCTGGGAGAGCCACTTCTAATGTCTTTGCCAAGCTCTCCAAAAAGTTGATGCAGGAAATGAAGGAGGTAGGGGGCGAAAGTAGTCGCCACACAGTAGAGCTGTAATGCCTGCTTGAATTTCTTTATCTCTTGCAGGCCATTAAGTCCAAAAAGGATGAGCCGAAGAGAGCTCAGCGTGCACCATCCAATGTTTTCGCCATGTTCCGACAGACACAGGTTCAGGAGTTCAAAGAGGTCTGGTTACTAAAGTTCTTCAGCACTGCATCGTCATAAACCTTTAATGTACATGTTCTCTCTCCTCACACTTCTGACACACAAGCTTACAGACGATGAAGAGGCCAGCAGGCTTGCTTGTGTCAATTTTGCTTTTTTTTGTTTCTCATTTCTCATCTACTGGATTGACCAGTGAACATCGGCCAGCTGAGTTATGTTTCTGTTTGCGGACTGGAGTTTTCATGTTTTGCACCTGGCACAGCACGCTGCATTCTCTCAATGCAAGTGGTGTCACCTCTGTGCCATTGCTGAGTTCTCACTTTATTTTTGTATATAATTTTTAAGAAATCAGGGCGTCACACAACCAATGTGCTGTCAATGTTTCGTCAAGCACAAGTACAAGAGTACAAAGAGGTCTGGGCTTTGACCCTTGTTGATCCATCCATGAACCCCTCTTACCCGTGTTTGCCAAAGCTCATAATGAGTGGAGTACTTGTACTCAATTTCCTAAACAAATTTCATTTCATATTGGAGTCTGTAAATCACATTATACTTTTTTTTTTGTTTTTAATTTCATCGCACAGAAGAGTTTTTATTTTTTACTGGACTCCAATAGAGAAAGAAAATGTTTGCTGATCACATCTTCCTGAATGAAACCGATCCACTGTCACCCAGGCTGTTTGTAGCTGGGTTCTTGTTTCAAACCATTTGAGACCCATCTCTCTAACAAGCAATAAGGCTGTCTATGCATCAGTCACCTCCATCACATAACAAGTACTAATGATCATATGGATAATGTACATCTGCTTCTCTCGCATGGATAATTTCTTAATGTATCATTATCATGCTAATATTTCATAACTCATTTTTTTGATGTGTATAATTAAATGTTCTGTCCTTTTGAATACAATGACATTAATTGGCCGGCTGAGTGGTTAAAACAATTTTTATTTTATATCAAATAATTGAATCATTTCTAAATATTTAGAAAATATACATCCTTATACAACATTTTCAAATGAAATTTTAAAAAAACTCCAGCCAGAGACTATATTAAATAATTTATTTTATAGGTGAACTAAACTTTTGACATTTTTTTAGAATTATAAATATAAACTTTTAAAAATTATTTTTTAACTTAAAAATTTTATCCTGTGTATACCATTTTTTTTTTTACCTCAACCATCATTCTAAAAATTATTTAACATTGTTTTGTTAATCTAACAGCATCATCATTTTTAATTTCTTCATATTTTTCATGATCCCTTATGAATTATACTAAACTACCATTTTACTGACATGATAATTAAGTAGTCATGACATTTTATATATTGTGCTTTCTGCAAGGAAAGATCAGGTAAAAAAATTGCTACTTTAAAATTTTGTCTTATAGTTAATAATGCTTTTGTTTATTTCTAGTTTAGTTCATTATTCTATTCATTAAATCTTTAATACTTTAAATTATATATTATCAGTATAGTAATGGCTTATAAGAATATGTTATATAAATATATTGCTATATATAGTATATAGACTATATTATATTATTAAACGTATTACACAAGTGATTTTAAGTATTCATTGTCACAAGAATAAAGAATAATAGACAAAGTATTAAGACATAAGGCCAATGACAAGAGAGATAACCCATTTAAACCAGACTTGAAGGTCAAATTACTTTGTTATCAACCGATCCTAATATTTCCTTGAATTTAGGCCTTCACAATGATTGACCAAAACCGTGATGGTATCATCGACATTGAGGACTTGAAGGATATGTACTCTAACCTCGGTCAGTTACAAACTTTAGTTAAATTACTGGTTTAATTAAAACTTAATTAACTTACCAGTGGTCAGTTACCATCTTTAGTTAAATTATTGGTTTAATTAAAACTTAATTAACTTGCCAGTGGTCAGTTACCATCTTTAGTTAAATTACTGGTTGAATTCAAATATAAGTACATTACTTTGGTCAGTTACTATCTTTGATTAAATTATTGATTGAATCAAAACTAATTTACTCTAGCCTTGGTCAATTACTGGCGTTAATTATTAAATTATTGGTTTAATTAAACTTTTATACTCTAACCTCAGTCATTTGATAGTGGCATAAAATTATTTTCATTAAAAATGTTCACATTTTATTTTAACTTGCATCCATGATTTTGCCTGTTGGTTGAGACTACCATAACTTACATGTGTCCGCCAGGTCGCATCCCCCCAGATTCTGAGTTGAACGAGATGCTTAAAGATGCCCCCGGCCCCCTCAACTTCACCATGTTCCTCAATCTTTTTGGAGAAAAGCTCAGCGGTAATTCATCAAATTGCTTTTAAATTTAAACATACGTCTATATTGCATTTTATAAAGCTTATGGGTAATTCATCAAATTGTTTTAAAATTTAAACATACTTCTATACCACATTTTATAAAGCTCGGCGGTAATTCATCAAATTGATTTAAATTCAAACATACCTCTATAACATATTATAAAGCTCAGCAGTAATTCATCAAATACTTGTAAATGTAAGAGTTGTTCTATACGACATTTTTATAATTACATCAAGTTTGGTTTATCTGAAATAATGTCTACATTGTCTCTGTGGCTGTTTGCAGGTACTGACCCAGAAGATACAATCAGGCAAGCCTTCTCTATGTTTGATACTGAGGGCAAAGGGTTCATTCCTGAAGAATAGTGAGTAGCAATTCTTAACAATACAATTAGGGTATTAGCTAAAATACTTTACGAAAATGTTCTTTTGGTCTATTTATAACACATGTGGTGGAGCTTTAGATTTTCAATGTGGTGGAGCATTAGATTATCTGGTGGAGCATTATGTTATCAATGTGGTGGAGCATTATGTTATCTGGTGGAGCATTATGTTATGAATGTGGTGGAGCAATATGTTATCAATGTGGTGGAGCTTTAGGCTATCAATGTGGTGGAGCAATATGTTATCAATGTGGTGGAGCTTTAGGTTATTAATATGGTGGAGCATTATGTTATCAATGTGGTGGAGCATTATGTTATTAATGTGGTGGAGCATTATGTTATCAATGTGGTGGAGCATTATGTTATTAATGTGGTGGAGCATTATGTTATTAATGTGGTGGAGCATTATGTTATCAATGTGGTGGAGCAATATGTTACCTGGTGGAGCAATATGTTATCTGGTGGAGCATTATGTTATCAATGTACTTTTGTCTTCACAGCTTGAAAGATTTGCTCTCTAACATGGGTGACAACTTTACAGCTGATGAGGTAATTAGCTAATTAAATAAAATTTGATCTTTCCTTAATTATCAAAGTTTTACTGAAAAAATAACTGCACAAAACATTGTGCTCATTGTAATTTAATTTCTTAGTCACACTAGGGGGGTTATCAGTTTGTTCATGTTGTGACAGGGGAAGCTACCAGAAATATTTTTTACTTCCCTTTAGTCATTTTGTGTTTAACTTTCAATTGTGTTTGCCTCTGTAGATCAAAGGAACATGGAAGGAAGCCCCCTTAGAAAAGGGCAAATTCGACTACAACACATTTGTGGGAATCCTTAAGGGTAAAGAGGATGATGGTGCACAATAAATCAGCTTTCTGTACCTAGCCAAGTGATCCACTCTCTTCTCATGTCCTTACAATCATTCAGGATTGATCAAATCGATGCCCCTAAAGGAAAACTGTTACTGTTATTTCTGGAAATAGTTTTCAATAAATTTTATTTCAATTTTGTGTTTCTTTACTGTAGAGATCTGAATCTCAAACACAGGTAGCTCTATTTGGATCATGGCTACCTAAATTAATTTAACTTGAATATAAAAAGATGTTCGTTTCTCCCCATTTTGTTTTGAACTGTCCCAGGCCAAAGAGTGTCACCATTCCATATTCACTGAGCTGACTTTGCGAGCACCTTGCTTGGTTGCCATGGCAGCTCTGTTGGTATCCCAGCCTGCAACACTCTCGTGTAGCTTGCAGGAGTCGTCCACCATTTTGGACTGCCATGAAACTAGGTCAAACATTGATGAAGGCTGCTGATGATGCTAGTTAGTAGATGGAACTAGTAGCATGAAGGGACCATAACAACTTCTTAACATCAGTATAATAATTACCATCTTGACATGCATATTCACTGCGGGCTTAAAAAAACCAGACTACTAAATGCTACTATGTTTCTCTACAAAACTGACCTCTGACCTTTGCAGAGAGCTAAATTTCTGTTGGCCTGGGACAATTCTTAAAAATGAAATTTCTAAATTAAAAATTTAGTTGCATTTATTTCTTCTGCTTTCCTGACTATAAATGATCTTTTCACATTGTAGATTTTGTTTTTATATATTTTGTGTCTATATGAGTGAGTGGTGAGTGATTTAGGTGCCAGTAGAAACTACCCTAGGGGTGTCGATTCTTTCATAAATTATTTAACCTTTTTTGATAATTCAAATATTTTTTTATGATGTCAAATTCATCTGTAAGATTGAATTTGTCATGAATAAAACGTTCATCTTTATGCCGTGTAAAAAAAAAAGAAAATGTGTATAAAATATTTGTACAAGTCTGACCTGTCCAAGTTCTCATTGATTAAAAACATGTATACATGTAAACGAAGGATTCTCATTGGTGCAATTGTTCCGTGTTGTACTGAGCTCTGTCTGGCGCGTGTGTGATAGACTGGCAATCACGTAGTTATGTGCACGTCTGATGGGGGGCCCCATGTCTAAGCTAGGGCCTCCTGGCATGGGCTGACCATGTGGAGTGTTCCTACATCCTAATTATTAATTAATTAAACCTCTGTGCACAGAAATATACCACTTTTTGTTTTGTTTGTTTACATCCACTGATCCAGGAAGATAATATTTATCTCGGTTCTCTAAATATGAAGTTTACAATTTCATAATAGGTCAAATATAATGAAAATACTGACTTAACTTGATTGTGCAAAATTTTCATCCAATCTGTAATAAGTTCAAATTTAATGAATCCTCTTCAAATATCTATTGAAAATTAGATTATTTTCACCTTATTTAAATAAAGGGAATTAATTCAAAGCTAATAATATTTGGGATATATTTGAAGTTATATCCCTTTAAAACGTCCGTTTGCTGAGCAATAAAAAAATAAGCGAAGGGCTTATAAATGTAAACATCAATCATTCATTCAATGTTGCGCTTCTCAGCGTAACCAGGGAAAGTGGATAAAGCGAGAGCTGGAAATTATTATACGGTGGCTTCAACATTTTTTACTGCTAGAAATTATATCTGGGATAGTTTCAAAAGAAAATCCTAAAGTAGGACTAACAGACCATCGAGAATCAAATGCTACAATTGGAACTGTAATCAAGAGACGATTTAAAATAAAATTATAGCAGTAGACTGATTAAATAATCAAATAAATACCAGCAGTTTAAAAAAAAATGGCCGAGGTAGAAAACAGGGCGTGGCAGTGTAACAGCAAGCGTTGTGACGTCAATGACCTCTTGGAGTAGTAGAGCTTGTCATGTGACCAGTATGGTACACCAACAACCGGCCACACCTACACGTCATTATACACACATCTACACCTACACGTCATTATACACAGATCTACACCTACACGTCATTATACACAGATCTACACCTACACGTCATTATACACAGATCTACAACTACACGTCATTATACACATATCTACACCTACACGTCATGATACACAGATCTACACCTACACGTCATTATACACAGATCTACACCTACACGTCATTTCACACAGATCTACAACTACACGTCATTATACACACATCTACACCCACACGTTCATTTAGGCTGTAATTTCATATCCGCTACAGGAGTAAATCATTAACACGTTATCATATTACAATATTAACATAGTATAGTGATATAGATCTAGTTGTCACATTACAATATTTACATAATGATATAGTTGTCACATTACAATGTATTACAAAGTAAACTGGTTGTGACTTACTAGACTTTACGATGTAAACTGGTTGTCTTGTTACCATGTAAACGTTAACCCACACATCTTTTTAAAATAAACAGGCTATACACACATACACACACACTCAGTGTTTCTTCCAGACTTTTTTCTCCGAGGGGGGGGGGGGGCACTTGATATTTTCGGGGGGGGGGGGCGGACACTGGTAAAATATGTTTTCTATATAAATTCCATTTCTTTCGGGGGGGGGGGGGGGCGGTAGATGCCTGGAAGAAACTCTGATCGCTACTACGTCATAAGGTGCACTGATAGTTTCTCTCATATCCTCTATCCGGCATCTAGCGCTTCCAAATATTTCTCTTGTAGGTAACTTACTAGAAACACTGAGAGTTTTTCCTCAACGCGAGGTATATTTTAGCACCCAGTAGACTTGAACCCTGTCTCTGTTTACACTGAAACAGAGCTAGTCTTTATGAGACTGTCTAAATCTATGTTAATATCTTGATCCAACAGTTTCATGAAAAACGAATCGATTGATATCTAGACTGTAGATAAAGCTTTAACGAAACAATCAATCTTGTGTTTGGGGAAATCCATAAGATTGAGTCAGCTAAGATAAAAGTCCGGGATTACATAATTGTATTCGTTTTAGCCTATGTTATTATAACCACAAAATTATGACTATTTCACTACACACTGTTCGGTAAAACAGGCAATACGAAATAGTTTGTAGTACAAAATATCGCATGTTATTTAAAACAACGTTTTAAAAAAAATTTGAAACACTGATACAACGAATTGTACATCAAGACAAAATCATTATGGAATGTAATATTATTTTTTATTTTTTTACAATATCTTTCTCTACTATTAGAATTCGTATTGATTTACGAAAAAATACATTTGTACTCTCAAATCTGACGTGCTAAAATTACGCCATTTCCGCTAAATGTTTTAGTTTTTATAAAAAACTAGGCAACGCGTCAGAACAAGACCGAAAGATCTACTGATGTCTTCTAGTAGATCTAGATCTAGAATCTAGGTACTTTCTGCCTAGAACCATTGAAGTCATCCGCTAGGTATTTCTGCTTAAAAGGTTGGTCGTCTGTAAGGTATTTACTACCTGGAACTATGGTCAAGGGGGGAAAAAAGCGCAAGGTAATGCAAGACAAGAGCGCTGGAGCCACACTCAAAATAGCGGGCTGTGTGCTTCGTAGGCGCCTTGTTAGGTTGGTTACAAGAATCGGATCCAGTGGCCTCCTGGGCTGGAAGAGCCAGCCCCAAGAGTCCTCGTTGACAGAAAATACAGAAGAAAGTCAGGAGACTGAAGACACACATCCAAACAATGACGCCACTGACGCCAACACCAATCAACCTGACACCAGTGACCCTAACCAAAATGACCCCGAGGCCGAACAGCACAAGTCAAATGATTCGGAGGTCACGAACCCCAGTGAAAGTGACACCGAGGACATGGAGACCGACTTGAGTGACCCTGACCCCAGTGACCCTGTCAACAGTGACCCTGGCAACAGTGACCCTGGCCCCAGTAACCTTGGCAATGACCCTGTCAACAGTGACCCTGTCAACAGTGACCCTGTCAACAGTGACCCTGGCCCCAGTAACCTTGGCAACAGTAAGCCTGGCCCCAGTAACCTTGGCAACATTAAGCCTAGCCCCAGTAACCTTGGCCACAGCGACCCTGGCCCCAGTAACCTTGGCAACATTAAGCCTAGCACCAGTAACCTTGGCAACAGTAAGCCTGGCCCCAGTAACCTTGGCAACATTAAGCCTAGCCCCAGTAACCTTGGCCACAGCGACCCTGGCCCCAGTAACCTTGGCAACATTAAGCCTAGCCCCAGTAACCTTGGCAACAGTAAGCCTGGCCACAGTAACCTTGGCAACATTAAGCCTGGCCCCAGTAACCTTAGCCACAGCGACCCTGGCCCCAGTAACCTTGGCAACAGTAAGCCTGGCCCCAGTAACCTTGGCAACAGTAAGCCTGGCCCCAGTAACCTTGGCAACAGTAAGCTTGGCAACAGTGACAATGGCAACAGTAACCTTGGCAACAGTGAACCTGACCCCAGTTTTCAAGACGGAGATGTAGACAGCAAAGGTAATTCTAGAGTTAGATGTTGCTGTCGTAGTTTATCTAATATATAATGTAATGTTAAACTTCACACTGACAGTTATGTCATCACGACAGCTACGTAATGTTAAACATGTCACCACGACAGTTATGTAATGTTAAACATGTCACCACGACAGTTATGTAATGTTAAACATGTCATCATGACAGTTATATAATGTTAAACATGTCACCACGACAGTTATGTAATGTTAAACATGTCACCACGACAGTTATGTAATGTTAAACATGTCACCACGACAGTTACGTAATGTTAAACATGTAATCACGACAGTTATATAATGTTAAACATGTAATCACGACAGTTATGTAATGTTAAACATGTAATCACGACAGTTATGTAATGTTAAACATGTAATCACGACAGTTATATAAAGTTAAACATGTCATCATGACAGTTATGTAATGTTAAACATGTCACGTCACACTGACAGTTATGTAATGTCACACATGTCAATGCGACAAGAATATAATGTTAAACTTGTCATTATGTTTATGAATTAATGCTCTACTGACTAATTATTTCACTCAATTTTTACTCACTGTTCCCCCGCCCCCCCCCCCTCGTATTTTAATTATAAACCTACAGAGATCACGACCCCTATTTCTAGGACCCCTAATGTGTTGATGGTCCCTGATATTTCTAGGACCCCTAAAGTGTTCACGATCCCTGATATTTCTAGGACCCCTAAAGTGTTCATGATCCCTGATATTTCTAGGACCCCTAAAGTGTTGCTGATCCCTGATATTTCTAGGACCCTAAAGTGTTCATGATCCCTGATATTTCTAGGACCCCTAAAGTGTTCATGATCCCTGATATTTCTAGGACCCTAAAGTGTTCATGATCCCTGATATTTCTAGGACCCCTAAAGTGTTGATGATCCCTGATATTTAAAGGACCCCTAAAGTGTTCATGATCCCTGATGTTTCTAGGACCCTAAAGTGTTCATGATCCCTGATATTTCTAGGACCCCTAAAGTGTTCATGATCCCTTATATTTCTAGGACCCCTAAAGTGTTCATGATCCCTGATATTTCTAGGACCCTAAAGTGTTCATGATCCCTGATATTTCTAGGACCCCTAAAGTGTTCATGATCCCTGATATTTCTAGGACCCCTAAAGTGTTCATGATCCCTGATATATCTAGGACCCTAAAGTGTTCATGATCCCTGATATTTCTAGGACCCCTAAAGTGTTCATGATCCCTGATATTTCTAGGACCCCTAAAGTGTTGATGATCCCTGATATTTCTAGGACCCCTAAAGTGTTCATGATCCCTGATATTTCTAGGACCCTAAAGTGTTCATGATCCCTGATATTTCTAGGACCCCTAAAGTGTTCATGATCCCTGATATTTCTAGGACCCTAAAGTGTTCATGATCCCTGATATTTCTAGGACCCCTAAAGTGTTCATGATCCCTGATATTTCTAGGACCCTAAAGTGTTCATGATCCCTGATATTTCTAGGACCCCTAAGTGTTCATGATCCCTGATATTTCTAGGACCCCTAAAGTGTTCATGATCCCTGATATTTCTAGGACCCCTAATGTGTTGATGGTCCCTGATATTTCTATTGTATCTTTGATAGATACTATTTTTGATAGAATTATATCTTTGATAGAATTATATCTTTGATAGTATCGTATCTTTGATAGTATTGTATCTTTGATAATATTAAATCTTTGATAGTATTGTATCGAGATCGTCAATTTGTACCAAAAGTAGTTGATTTATTTCTGCTATATATTTTGAAATTGTGTGTCTTGGTGTCACCGTCTATATGGTGTCACCCGGTGCAGTCCGCACCCCCCCCCCCCCCCCCCCGCCCCGCCTTCATCAGGCAATAAATATAATTATTACAAACATTATTCTCTCTAGTCAATAACTGGAAGATCTGTAAAACGTATTATAATGAAAACTGTTAATATTGGTGGAACTTTGATCTAATTATAATTATACAATAGGAATCACAAATTAAAATATGTCGATTAAAATATCTAAAATATTTTAAATATTTATAATATATCTGCTATTAAAAAAATATTATGACTGCTTGGGTTTCGGACCCTTAACCTAAAAAAAGAGTATCTAAAACACTGTCGACTCAGCCAGATAAACTTTCGTGAAAATATTTCTAGTTATTTTACTAAGTCTCCGGAAGAAAACAAAATTACGGGAAATATTTTAAGTTAAATGAAATCCAATTTGGCATATTCCATTGCTAAGAAACAAAGATATATCACATATTTTGACCTGAAATAGTTCAGTTAACAAAACTCAATTATTCATTGCGTTTTTTACAAGCTTTTATGAACTTGCTTCCTTTGTCGTGCTTTTTTGTCTGTTGTGCTTAGTCATTTATCGAAACTGCCGAGCGAAATTTCAACTACTTCTAACCGACCAATTTCTCTGAAACTTGGCATGTGGGTCAAAACCCGATGACAATGCAATCTAATATCAAATTGACTAAATTGAATGCTCAATTAATTTTTTAAGAATTAATTAAAATTTCCTACATTTACCGCGCTAATATACGCGCATTTTATGTTTATTTGGTGAGCAATAGTTTTTAGTCATGCAACTCTATAGGCTTGAAAAGCTGGTTCCAAATGGTTACACATTAGTGTTGCCAGAAGCATATTTTTCAATCAAAATTGGATGTTTTATAACGTTCGTGTAATAAGTACAAAATTACTTTCGGTTCAATTAAGGCTAAAAATAGTCAAAGAAATAATTTTTAGTAATATAATAGTAATTTAGCAAACACTTTTATTTTTTATTTGAATTAGTAGAGGCAGGGTGTTGTGGTGATTGGGGATGTAATATTATTTAATTTAAATCCAATACTACACTATACAACATAGATCACTATTGTGCATTTTTATCATGGAAAACAATTGTTCCATTTTTTTTTTGTTTGACTCTCCCTGGCCATTCCGGTTATCTTCAAGGAGAGGTTGCGGGCAGTTTTTGAAAATAAAGGCGTGGGTCCATGAATGACATCACACTCGTAGAGGGGAGGAGTCCGTAATTTTGTGACGGTGTGTGATAAGGGGGAGGGGGTTCAGATTGTGCGACGTCACACTTTTGCAGTATAAAATTTAAAAAGCAATGTTAGAAAACAAATTTTAGCCGTTATTTCGCGTTTTAGAAAACCGTTTTAAGAAAAATTCAACTGCAATTTTGAGGAGGTTGTAGAATGAGGTGAAACGTCATTTTAGGAGGGGGGGGGGGGGGCTGGCTTTTTGTGACGCTGTGTGACGGCGGGGAGGGTGGAAGGTAAAAATCGTCAAAAAAGTGTGACGTCATTAATTGTTTAAAAAAAAACACGTTTTTTAATGCATTTTTAAAATACTAGTTTTTCCTTAGAATTAAGATCTAATTGTGTATTTGGCTGCTTTCTCCGACCCAAAAATCCTTAGTTCGAGTTTATAAATTGTTTATATTCTCGAATTAGAGGATCTGTTAAGCGGGTCTTATTGAAAACTGATATTTTTTAGAACTTAATAGAAATAATTGTTGTTTCGAAGCGGGTCACTTCAGTGCATGATGAAAAGTTTAACCTTGGTTGTTAGTGCAATTAAAGATATGTTTGTAAATAAAAATATTTTTCTGGATTTTATTAAAATCAGTAAATAAATTTGTTTTTATCGATTCCTTTTTTAAGAAATATTTTCATGTATATAAGTAGGCCTACGCACTTTACAATAACATACACACATTGTAGTTTTCTCATCTCTGCTTTTGGGCAAATTAATAAAGAGACAAAAAAATAAAGATTCAAAGTTGTAAACAAAGCAGAGTTTTAGTTGCACTAATATAGATAGCTGCACTTGTGGTGGCCTACTTTTCCAGCTCCCCAGCGGCTAGAAATTCTGACTTCTGGTTCATATAGTGGGGTGAGATAAGTCTGGCCAATGGGAGCCAAGCGATCACGTGACCATGAATCAATCGCCCAACAGGCGCACGTGCAGATTTAAAGACGCCAAATTTGACGACTCAGTTACTCAAAATATCCAGCATTAAAAGTTTCTAACCCTAAAAATAAATTTTATATTTTACTAAGTAACAAAATATAATAGAATAACATTTTCACAACTTTAAGCAAGAGAGAGGGTGGGGCGTTCTTGGCGTGGTGCTAATACACATTGTGTCACGTGAGACTCAGTGAATCGTGACATCAGACCACCTCCCGTGAGCGTCCCATCGCTACGCTCCAATGAAAGTACGCCACAACATTGGCAAGATCCCCGGTAGCAGACAAACAAATGTCACCATACAGTCGCACCACTGACCTCAAACAGGAAACAGCTGTTACGTACGTGATCACCGACTGGTGACCTAATTTTTGAAACCTCGCTGTTTAATTTTAGCTGTACTGACAACACCACCTAGCGTAGGTTGTAGTTATTGCACATGTCAGCAACACACGAGCCTCTATGGAGGGCGGTACCGTGTAACATGACGCCATATAGGGGATCATAATGTATATGAGTCGCATATATCGATACTCAATACTTGTTGTTTCAGCTCGATTTCCCAATAGTATCTAACACTCTAATGGCCAGTAAACATCAAATGTATCGTAGGCTTCAGTAACTTCCCTCCCCCACATTAAGGGTCTGATGACAATAGTGACGTCAAAGGGCGGGGTGCATTGGGTGACTCCCAGCATGGTGACATTATCCATAGTGGTGACAATATTTATAGGAGTGGTGACGCACCGGGTGACACAATTTGAGGGGGTGACACTATCCCAGAGTGTTGACACTCGCCATAGTGGTGACAACATTCAAGGGAGTGGTGACACAAACAAATGGTCCACCTTTTTGTTGTTGAGAAAATCTGACTTTTCTAGCTATTTTTGTCATTAAAGCTATAAACATGTTTAATCATTGAGTGACACGATCCTACATTTGAATGCCTGTAGGGAGAGGGTGACACCTAAATAACTAGAGTTTTAGTTTACCTTGTGCAAAGTTGTTTAACGGTGAATTTACACATGTAGCCCACCCCACCCCTCTCACTTTGGAAAATTGGCTCACAACCCCCCCCCCCCCCCCAGCCCCACATTTGATCCCCCTCCCCTTTTGACCACTGTAGCACCATCACTCGACACAACCTTTGCAATAACACACGACAACTTTTTCTGTAGTCAGACAACTTTTTCTGCAGTCAGACTTTTTCTACAGCCAGACAACTTTTTCTGTAGTCAGACAACTTTTTCTACAGCCAGACAACTTTTTCTGCAGCCAGACAACTTTTTCTGTAGTCAGACAACTTTTTCTACAGCCAGACAACTTTTTCTGCAGCCAGACAACTTTTTCAACAGCCAGAAAACTTTTTCTGCAGCCAGACAACTTTTTCTGCAGCCAGTCAACTTTTTCTGCAGCCAGACAACTTTTTCTGCAGCCAGACAACTTTTTCTACAGCCAGACAACTTTTTCTACAGCCAGTCAACTTTTTCTGCAGCCAGACAACTTTTCTACAGGCAGACAACTTTTCTGCAGCCAGACAACTTTTTCTACAGCCAGACAACTTTTCTACAGCCAGACAACTTTTTCTACAGCCAGACAACTTTTCTACAGCCAGACAAATTTTCTACAGCCAGACAACTTTTCTACAGCCAGACAACTTTTCTACAGCCAGACAACTTTTTCTACAGCCAGACAACTTTTCTACAGCCAGACAACTTTTTCTACAGCCAGACAACTTTTTCTACAGCCAGACAACTTTTTCTGCAGCCAGACAACTTTTTCTACAGCCAGACAACTTTTTCTACAGCCAGACAACTTTTTCTATAGCCAGACAACTTTTTCTGCACACATTTTTTTCTGCAGCCAGACAACCTTTTCTGCGGCCAGGCAACTTTTTCTACAGCCAGACATTTTTCTGCAGCCAGCCAGCCAGACAGAATTTAATTGCAACCATCCCATGTTTTCTGCAGCTCGTCAACTTTTTCTGCAGCCAGCCATTTTCTATACAGCCAGCAAGTTTTATTTATGCAAACAGCCAATTTTTACTGCAACCATCAGTTTATCTTTCTGCAGCTAGCTAGTTTTGCCCACACATCTCCCTATATTATTTCAGCTTACAGACCGTTGCCCACACATCTCCCAATATTATTTCAGCTGACAGACCATTGCCCACACATCTCCCAATATTATTTCAGCTGACAGACCATTGCCCACACATCTCCCAATATTATTTCAGCTGACAGACCATTGCCCACAGATCTCCCTATATTATTTCAGCTAACAGACCATTGCCCACACATCTCCCAATATTATTTCAGCTAACAGACCATTGCCCACACATCTCCCAATATTATTTCAGCTAACAGACCATTGCCCACACATCTCCCTATATTATTTCAGCTAACAGACCATTGCCCACACATCTCCCAATATTATTTCAGCTAACAGACCATTGCCCACACATCTCCCTATTTTATTTCAGCTAACAGACCATTGCCCACACATCTCCCTATATTATTTCAGCTAACAGACCATTGCCCACACATCTCCCTATTTTATTTCAGCTGACAGACCATTGCCCACATATCTCCCTATTTTATTTCAACTGACAGACCATTGCCCACACATCTCCCTATATTATTTCAGCTAACAGACCATTGCCCACAGATCTCCCTATAATATTTCAGCTGACAGACAATTGCCCACAGATCTCCCTATATTATTTCAGCTTACAGACCGTTGCCTACACATCTCCCAATATTATTTCAGCTGACAGACCATTGCCCACACATCTCCCAATATTATTTCAGCTTACAGACCGTTGCCTACACATCTCCCAATATTATTTCAGCTGACAGACCATTGCCCACACATCTCCCTATATTATTTCAGCTGTCAGACCATTGCCCACATATCTCCCTATTTTATTTCAGCTGTCAGACCATTGCCAACACATCTCCCTATTTTATTTCAGCTAACAGACCATTGCCCACACATCTCCCAATATTATTTCAGCTAACAGACCATTGCCCACAGATCTCCCTATATTATTTCAGCTAACAGACCATTGCCCACACATCTCCCAATATTATTTCAGCTGACAGACCATTGCCCACAGATCTCCCTATATTATTTCAGCTAACAGACCATTGCCCACACATCTCCCAATATTATTTCAGCTGACAGACCATTGCCCACACATCTCCCAATATTATTTCAGCTGACAGACCATTGCCCACAGATCTCCCTATATTATTTCAGCTAACAGACCATTGCCCACACATCTCCCTATATTATTTCAGCTAACAGACCATTGCCCACACATCTTCTTATATTATTTCAGCTCTCAGATCTTCCTATAAACGATAAACACCGGCTGGCATTAACCCCCAATCATAAAAAACCAATCAATACATCGATCGGTTATGAATGACTCAGACAATATCAATAATATCGACACATTTCTGCTCGTGTGGTTCTCACGAACACGTAATAATTTTTTTATTTGTTGAGCACAATATTAAAACCACGCGGGGTGGGGGGGGGGGACTCATCTAATCCCACCCCACATCCCACATCCAACCAGCCGGTAACTGATCGATAGATAAAAAAAATCCCAAGGTTAACAGCCTTGACATCTGTGCCATGTAAATATTTTTACTGAAGAGATTATGTTGCAATGTCAATATCTAGCATGAGTGTACCACGACAGAGATACTTCAATTAGATCGCTTTTTATTGCAATCTTGCAAATATTCGAATTTCACGATAAGCAAGTATATCAGTTATTATTCAAATGGAGCCTTTTAAAATGTGAACATAATTTTAATATATGCAAATTGTCGAATACAATTGTATTGAATATCCCCATTAGAGAATATCCGTATACTGATGTCAACATCGGCCCCGGGGATGTCTGAAGGTGTTGATAGCAACATCAACAATGTCCGGCATGACTTCGCCAACCAGAAGACAGCAGCCAAGAGGGGGCCCAAGAAGAAGAAGAAGAAGTCGGTTAAGGGGAAGCGACTTGTGGCGCGCTCTATTGGGAGTAAGTGGGTACTTGCGGTCTGTAGGCTAGTTGTGGTCTGTGGGCTAGTTGTGGGCTCTGGGCTAGTTGTGGGCTGTGGGCTAGTTGTGGTTTGTGGTCTAGTTGTGGTCTGTGGTCTAGTTATAGTCTGTGGGCTAGTTGTGGGCTGTGGGCTAGTTGTGGGCTCTGGGCTAGTTGTGGGCTGTGGGCTAGTTGTGGTTTGTGGTCTAGTTGTGGTCTGTGGTCTAGTTATAGTCTGTGGGCTAGTTGTGGGCTGTGGGCTAGTTGTGGGCTGTGGGCTAGTTGTGGGCTGTGGGCTAGTTGTGGTTTGTGGTCTAGTTGTGGTCTGTGGTCTAGTTATAGTCTGTGGGCTAGTTGTGGGCTGTGGGCTAGTTGTGGGCTGTGGGCTAGTTGTGTGCTGTGGGCTAGTTGTGGTCTGTGGTCTAGTTGTGGTCTGTGGTCTAGTTGTGGATTAGTTGTGGTATGTGGGCTAGTTGTGGTCTGTGGGCTACTTTTGAGCTGTGGGCTAGTTGTGTGCTGTGGGCTAGTTGTGGTCTGTGGTCTAGTTGTGGTCTGTGGTCTAGTTGTGGATTAGTTGTGGTATGTGGGCTAGTTGTGGTCTGTGGGCTACTTTTGAGCTGTGGGCTAGTTGTGGTTTTTGGGCTAGTTTTGTATTGTAGGCTACTTTTGGTCTTGGTTATTTTTGGCCTGTGGGCTACTTGTAGTCTATGGATTTCTTGTGTAGTCTTAGTACAATAGGACCTGAGTTGATCATATTTTCCTCTCCATAGGATCCAAGTTTTTCTCTCAAAAGGACCTAAGTTGGTCAAATTTTTCTCTCAAAAGGACCTAAGTTGGTCATATATTTCTCTCTATAGGACCTAAGTTGAAGAGGGGATTAAGACCCCGGCAAATGGGGAGCGTGCACACAAAAATAAAGAAGCTGGAACTACAGTGCAGACGGCTGTCTAAATGGAAGGACGAGATGACCCGCAGGCTTCTATCGTCCTTGCCGGAGGACCCGGCTCAGGTGGGGCCACAGAGGAGCGGCCCACAGGCACTGGATGAGCCGCTGGACGCCACGCACCAGACAGCTCGGGGTGCTGAAAGTGATGTGAAACTCACACGGCAGAGAAAATGTACAGGGCGAAAGGCTGTAGATTTTATAGACTTTTACCAGGCTGGGCCAAGCCATTCATACTCCAATAGGGAGCAACGGAAAAGTACGGTCAAGGTCAGGAAACAGGGAGACGCCCCAAAGATGGCGGGGAGGTTGAATAAGTCATCATCTTACACGTGCTTACGTCACGGGTCATCAGAAAGTATAGAGTGGCCATCTTTGCCGGGGCGGTCTAAGGGGAGCATTATGGAAACAGCTAAAGAGATTGTCAAAAGTAAAAAAAGTGGATCTTTTACAAAAATGGCCAGGAAACGTTATGCGGACATTGTTACTCGTCGGTCAAGGGATGAAGTGACGGACAGAGGAAAACAGCAGCAGCCATGTTTGCCAGATAAAGCTGTAGAGACGCGAACTTGGGCGTCAGTGGCGTCAACGTCAGGGCTTGCACAGAAGAAAACGAAAGTAGATGATCAGCCATGTACTAGCAGTGCCTCGCCAAAACCTATGGAGGTCGAACCTATGGTTAGCTCTGTCCCCGCGAGTAAAGTGAAGCAGAAAGGCAAGCAAGATAAACACTGCCCTGAGGGATGCAAAGGCAAGTGTAAGGCGCAGGCCGCGAAATTCAGTTCACGAATCGCGGACGATAATCTGGATAAAAAACTGAAGCTAAAAGCCGCGAAATATCGAACTAAGAGAGCCCAGTCCGGAGACTCGTCTGACGAGAGTTGCCGAACGTCTGATCACAGCCCGAACTACAGACAGAGGGGCCAGAACTGGTGCATTGACAACATGTCGGTGGTCTACACCAGACCAGTGGCCTCCGTCATCTCCCTTCATTCCCCGACTGGACACAAGCAGAGAAGAGAACTGAACAAGTGCAACAACCAACAGGAGACGTCCTGCCACGGAGAGCTGGTCACCACAGTCACGACTAGACGCTCGACCAAGGAGTTTGTACACAAGGCCAACCCGGATGAAACAAACGTGGACTTGTGTGATCGCCTCAGCTTGATCTCGTTCCAATCCTCCGTGGAGTCTGACCAGCCCAGCTGTTCCAAGTCTAGGCCGAGGCCGCGAGACAACGGGCGTCAGCGATTAAACAAACCCAAACGGGCGTCAGCCAATCAGAGAGAAGCTTCCAAATCTAACACAGAAAACAGCGAGCCGAACAAACAACGGAAAAAAGTTTCGGTACGCTACCGGAAGTTACTCCGAGGAGAAAGCGGCAGACTTGACGCCAAGACCGTGACGGAGCTGAACACCCGCAGCAAGCGGAGCGAAACGCTGGAGGGGGACAAGGAGATGACGAGGGCCATCCAGCGGAGGCAGCGCCAGGAGAGGCAGCAGACGTCACACGACCTGCAGAGGTCACCCACCCTCGTGCAGGACACGTCCAGGCGCGTGTTGCCAGGGCGGGCGTTGGCTCCAAAATCTGGCCAATCACTGAAGCCCGCCAAGAAAACTGCGCCCAGCAACAAGGAACCAGTCTCGCGTGAGCGACAGCAGACGTCTAGAGAACCCCAGCAGAAGGTTGATGCTGGCCATGAGACGTCTAGAGAACCTCAGCAGAAGGCTGATGCTGACCATGGGTTTGTCAAACCACGACTTACCAAAAAGAAAGCTGGTAAGATTTGTTTGATCCTACGAAAAAAATAATCTACTCCAACAATCTGCCATATGTGTTTTTAGCTGTATCTTCCCCACCCACCCCCAACAATTTGCGATATAGTGTATTTTATTGCTTTTATTGTCTATAGCTAAACAATGCGCAATAAGCTTTGTTATAATATTATGGTATTCATTCAATAAAATTATAAGCGGCCAACCAGCTAGAACAGATCTTCTGTTATTTTTCTCAGCGGTGAAAGATGTTGCTGACGAACCAGGCGATACAGAAGTGTCGATCATAGAAACTGGTTGTATGGACATAGATCCCATCGATGTGGACGAGGTGGATTTAGACTGGTAAGATGGGTGTAACCGCTGGTCTAGGGTTAAGGTTAATAGCAATACTTATCTAAGGTTAAGGTTAATAGCAATACTTATCTAGGGTTAAGGTTAATAGCAATACTTATCTAAGGTTAAGCTGAGCTAAATAGTCTAATGTTTAGGTTAACAAGACGAGTCGCCACATGAAGGCTAATATTAAACAACATGTAAGTAAAAAAAATGTTACGTAAATCTTTCGAACCTCGGCATATGAAGGGATAATATAGTCAGCACAATGCCTGCGGGCCATTACATTCCATACCCTAGGTCGAGAACCCATTAGAGCTGGGTGAACTCATGGAGGCTCTACTGACACAAGTTATACGGTCTAGAATTAAGTTTAAGAGTCAATTGGTATTGAGTATAGCTACTCAGTCCGGGGTCAAGGTTAACAGATGAACATCTCATGTCAATATATTGATAATTGTGTGCGACCTTATTTGAATTAATTGATATCATAGTAGGTAGTTTAAAAGTGTTGAACAGCTCTCACTGTCACAAGGTTGCTAAAGTGAATAAAAAGCCGCATCGACCCCACTCTCCACTCCGTGGTGTATCATAGTTCAAATAGAGGGCTGGTACAACCTTATGTAATCACCTCCACATTTCCCATCGGTGGCTAACTTACCTTAACCAAGCAACGACCTCATGTAATCACCTCCACATTGCCCATCGGTGGCTAACTTACCTTAACCAAGCAACGACCTCATGTAATCACCTCCACATTGCCCATCGGTGGCTAACTTACCTTAACCAAGCAACGACCTCATGTAATCACCTCCACATTGCCCATCGGTGGCTAACTTACCTTAACCAAGCAACGACCTCATGTAATCACCTCCACATTGCCCATCGGTGGCTAACTTACCTTAACCAAGCAACGACCTCATGTAATCACCTCCACATTGCCCATAGGTGGCTAACTTACCTTAACCAAGCAACGACCTCATGTAATCACCTCCACATTGCCCATCGGTGGCTAACTTACCTTAACCAAGCAACGACCTCATGTAATCACCTCCACATTACAGACCCGACGTGTGGTGGCACCAGTCACGTGACTACCAACAGCAACAACCCCATGCGATTAGAGACAACAGATGGGAAGAAGCCCACCAACAGAACCATCTACGTGTGCCTATTGATGGTTATATTAACTAGTTCATCTGTCATTAGTGAATAAAGCATCTCCATCGGCGCCCCAATCTGTCTTGTGTTATTGTATGGTGTTGGGTGTTGAGTTATCGTGTTCTGCTTTATTGTTTGTTATGTGTTCTGTTATCGTGTTGTGTTATCGTGTTGTTGTGTTATCGTGTTGTTGTGTATTGTGTATTGTGTTCTCGTGTTATTGTGTGTTGTGTTATCGTGTTGTTGTGTGTTGTGTTATCGTGTTGGTGTGTGTTGTGTTATCGTGATTTTGTGTGTTGTGTTATCGTGTAGTTGTGTGTTGTGTTATCGTGTTGTTGTGTGTTGAGTTATTCTGTTGTGTATTGTAATGTCTTGCATATTGGTGTTTGTGTTTTCAAATGTCGTAGTCCACACACAAACTTACTTACATATTTCTATCTCTAGAATCTAGATCAAATAAAAGGTAATATACAACGAGACGACGTATTTAAGATCAGTTTAACCACGAGATGACATATGTAAGATCAGTTTAGCCACGAGATGACATATCTAAGATCAGTTTAGCCACGAGATGACATATGTAAGATCAATTTAACCACAATATGACATGTGTAAGATCAGTTTAACCACGAGATGACATGTGTAAGATCAGTTTAACCACGAGATGACATGTGTTAGATCAGTTTAACCACGAGATGACATGTGTAAGATCAGTTGAACTTACCAAGGATGTCCGACAAGACCATGTACTCGTTATCAAAGCCTCACAGTAGCAATTATTATTGCGCTTATTCCTGGTGTCAGGACAAGTACATGTACATAAATCCCTTGGACATTAACGCCCAGTCAATATAATATAAAACACATTTTAAGTTTATACAAGGCTAAAATAATTGACGAAACAAAAGTTTGTAATTTAAAAAAAAAACAATGTATTTTTCATTCATCGATATTTTAAAAGATTTTATAATATTGAATAACAATACCAAATTATTTGCTAAACTCTATTCAATTGTACTGAAAACTGCTGAAGGTACATTTTACATCGGCGGTAGAAGAGTGACTACAATGGACAAAGAGTCAGTACTGACAACCTTTAGTTACAGAACTATGTGACGTTATCTAGATAAGATGAAGACGATTCACTATGTTAACACTGGGTCGTCAAGGGAGACAAGCCGAATATCCCACTTGAGGGTGGAGCATGCGCAAGCGTGCAGAGGTTGCCAGGCCGAAAACAATTCATTAAAAGGATGACACAGAAGTTTTAATTAGACATAATGAGATTAAATTACGAAGACGTAACAGTGGAAAAATTGCAACAAAAAATATTTTAAATTCAATTAATTTTCTAGGAGGGGGTCATCCATAAATGACGTCACGCTTTTTTGGACGATTTTTACCTCCCCCCTCCCCTCCGTCCAGTGCCGGCGCCAGGTTATTTAGCGCCCTAGGCAAAACTTCTTAAAAGCGTCACCCCCTCAAACTTTCGATTTGCACCCCCCCCCCCCCCCTCAAACTTTCAATTTGTTTTTCAAACCCATTTTGGCGCCCCCTACGGACAGCGCCCTCGGCGACCACCTAGTTCGCCTTATAGGTAGCGCCGGCCCTGCGTCCGTCATACATCGTCACAAAAAGCCAGACCCCCCCCCCCCACCCCTAAAATGACGTCATACCTCAGCCTACAAACCCTCCCCCCCACCCCTAAAATGACGTCATACCTCAGCCTACAACCCCTCCCCCCCCCCCCCTCAAAATTGCAGTTGAATTTTTTTTTAAAACATTGTCAAACTAGAGTATTTTAATCAATTCCTATTCCAATTTATTAAACCAGTTTTCTAAAACGCGAAATAACGTCTAAACTTCGTTTTCTAACATTGCTTTTTTATAATGCAAAAGTGTGACGTCGCACCATCTGAACCCCCCCCCCCCCCCTCCTCATCACACACCGTCACAAAATTAAGGACCCCTCCCCCTACGAGTGTGACGTCATTTATGGACGACTCCGAGGGGAGTGGGAGAGTATGTCGTCTAAATTTGCAGTTTAGTAAGTCCCCTTGCCATGTTTGTAAAGGGGGGGGGGGGGGTCAATTTGAATTTGCTGGTGGTTGAGAAAATATTCATTTAACTGGATATATGACCGGGATCACCCACCCACCCCCCCCCCCCCCCCCACACACACACACGTCACATACAACATGTGGATGTTTGTCGACTTAGTAACACCCCTCCTCCCCTCACCCCGCTTGACTTAAACGCTCTGGGAAAGGGGGGGGGGGTTCAGACATTTTTCTCCGGTGCATTTAAAACTTTCGGGGTGGGAGGGGGGGGGGGCGGGGGGTGTAAGTGTTATATTTTCCTTCATTTTAGTTTTTAAAATTTCGTTGGGTGGTGGGGTGGGCGTGATCCTGTGGGTGAGCAGTGCAATCACTCCCACCCTGGAAGATGACTGGAATAAACACTAGCCTTTAATGAAGTTTTGTGTGCGCTATAATATGTCTACGATCCTTAAGAAGTTAAGTATTCTAAGTTAAAAGGAGGCAAAGCTGCGAGCAAATCAGGAACATCGTTCATGCACCGGTTATAAGGACACTTAAGTTGCCGAGTCTGCCTGTTTTGAGATGCAAGCAGGCAAGACAAGAGTATGCATATGATTTTTATGTTTCTGTATATACTATGGGTCTTTGCAATCAGACAACATAATAAACCAAAATAAGCATAAACAGTTTACTATTTATGTGATAAATGTTATAAAAGTATCTAGATCTACATCTAGGCCTACCGGTTAGCTACAAAACTGAGAAATGGGTCATCTCGGGCCAGTGACCCTGCTGCGAAGCCGGCATTTCTAAATATAGCACAGCCTTTAACATATATTAAATACAACACTAACAGACGCCGCATAAAATATGCTTTCTTTTGAGAATAAGCATCGGTACTTTGCAAAGCTGCTTAAAGAAAGCACATAAATTGGCTTCTCTTTTGGGCGTACTACAGGGGATATGTTGTTATTAAATACTAGGCCAATTTCTAAATTAAATTTGATGAAAATTATAATACGTGAACTTTGGCCTATAAAAAAACCAACCAATCATGAAGCTGGAAACTCACTCGGTCGATATGCGACTTGTGAGGCGACACTTTGTTTTACTCTAATGCTTAGAAACAACGTAGCTGACTTTAGATTAGTGAAAATGAAAAACACAGCTACTTTTTGAACTTGATTGCTTTTAAATCGTTCATCAAAGGATTTTCTTTTCACATAGATATATCAAGACTGAAAATTTAGGTGTGTATTGTTTGTAGATCTTTCCCGGACTCCGTTAATTTATTTTAAAGTCTCTGACTCTGACTCTGATAGTCTGATGATTTGTCTGACTTTGGCCTACTCTGACTAGATCTAGAATCTAGATCTAATAATAAAACTACCCATCCTCAATTTTTTTTTTTTTTTACATTCCAGCCATTTATTTAATAATTTATCATGCTCTTGGGCTGCTAAAATTAAAAGCCGCTGGGTATATTTTAGTCTTACTAAGATTTTAGTGTGATAGATTTCATTGGAACTGGAAATACAATTTGGTAATCTATCGTTTTAAAATCGTCCGCGACTAGAAATGTGAAAAACAGGTGACTCCTTAAATTTTAATAATTATTTCACATTTTGAGGATTATTTATGTTTTTTAAAATACAAAAATGTTTCCTTGTTTCATTTATGTACCTGTTTTTAAACAATTGAATTAAAACTTTTCAGTAATAAATGAATACTAGATCTAGATTCTCTAGCGATGTTTCCAACAGATGCAACCATGCTCATTTACTAGATAGAAGCCATCATGTTTACGTTTTTTTTATAAGCTTATAGCGCGAGATTCAGGGGGAAGCCACTCTATTTTACAAATGGGGTCGGCGTGGTCGAGTCGGTAAAGCTCATGGTTGCTAAACTGAAAAGTCTGGAGTTCGAACCCTCGGGCAGATGAGGCTCGTTAGCTGGGGACAGCCACTCTTCTAGGAGAGACAACTCCAAAATTAAACAACTGCTGCCTTGTAGTTTGTTCTTGGTTGGACAAAGGCTATGGAAGCAAATCCAAAAAGAAAAGCAGGCTGAAATCGGAGTCAATGGCCTCAATGGCGCATAACCAATTGACACGTAACGCTTAATTGTGTTGGAGGCGTGGTCGAGTCGGCAAAAAGCTCATGGTTGATAAATTCGAACAAAGTCTCGAGTTCAAACCCACTGGCAGATAAATCTCGATCCCCTTCAACACTAATAATTAAGAACGAAGAAGAAAGAAGAAGAAGAAGACAAATGGCTGCTGTTTATATAGCAGATCTTGCTCGCAGACACTGCTGTTTAAACTTGATTTCTGGCCTAGAGTCTATATTGATATATTAGCCTATATTTACAATATTTAGCCATTGCCATTGATTTAGGTTTATTATTCATTTAAATATAGATCTAATATTTGACACAAACATATCACAATATATAGATCTAGATTTCTATTAAAGCCTTGACAATGAGGTAACATTTTCGTACATTAATAGCCGCCGGCGATTTTACGTACCCAAAACGATAGATTACCCACAATTTTTATTACATCCTGATCTTATATTAATAATTATTAATATAATTATTAATTTAGCCTAAACTAAAAGGCAAAGATTCTAAATTCTAGATCTAGATCTAGATTAAATTCTAATCTAGAAATATAGATCTAGTCTGTCTAGTCTAGCAATTAGTGAATTTATCTAATCTAGATTCTATCTAGATCTAAAATAATCTAATCTAGACCCTCTAGGTATCTAGATCTCTATAATTATATAATTCTATACAATTCTAGATCTAACTAAAGTCTAAAGTAGATTCAATGTAGATCTAGAGACTCTACTCTAACTCCAGATTCTAGATTAGTAATAGATCTAGTTCTAAGTTAGTAGATTCTAGATCTAGAAATCTAGTTGTCTAGTACTTACTAGATTCTAGATCTAGTAGGCCTATCACATTTTAAGTATAGTTATAGTATTAAGTATAGGCCTAAGTAATAACTAAGTACTAAAGTAGGCCTATTATTTTAATTTTTTTATTATAATTATTAAGAATCTGGATCTATTAAATTATTTTTTACCCTAATTAAATAAGTAGGTTTTTAGATTATTTTAGATACCAATGTCAGATAATAGACTCTTCCATAAAATAAGGCGTGTAAGGTTGATAGTAGTATTGTAATCTCGACAAATTTTATGGTTAGAAATTAGGTTTATATGTGATTTAGGGGTATATTAGGACTAGGGTTGGTGTTAGGGACAGGGTTAGCATTGACATTAGCCAGCAATGTGTGTATAACTACCAGTTACCTTATACCCCTTTTTTAAAGAAGATTCTATTATCGGACACTGGTATAAAAATTCCCCAGTGGAAGTGAATTGATAGAGATAGTAGACTGATTGAAAAGAACATTAACTTTAACAGCATATGGAACAGAAATCAGTGCTTAGAAGATGTTTATGACAAACAACATAAATGGTCTATAAAAAATGGTCCACGACCACCTATGCACTAATTTTATCTGCTGTGGGAACCTAGCGAGAATTGCCCAAATGGCCACAGCACTTAGCAAGCTATTGAGCATTTGGTGTTTCAGAAAATTGAGAAAACATAATTTGGCAAAAAGTCAAACTTATGCTGTTGTTTGTCATGTCTGTCTTCTTATATGTATGCGAGGCATGGACTTTCAATGCAGACTCCCAGAGACAGATTCAGGCCCTTGAAGTAAGATGTTGGCTCAGATTGCCAGGCAGGGATTTCATATAAATAACAAATTACTGACTAGTTCAAATTAAATGCATTTAATAAATAATTAATCAATTTTAAAAATTGACCTAGTATTAATAATAAGTTATTAGACACGAAATGAAAAATAATACAATAGAAAGTGAAAAAAATAGGCTTTACTAAATTAATATTATAATGTACATAAGCCTCCCTCAACCTAAATAAAAGAAAATACTTCATAATCATTGCTTGCATAGATCAGATTTTGCCCAATAGCCAAGTGACTGAATATAAAGCTAGTTAAGTTAATAGTAGAAAGTACCATTTTCATTGCTATATTGTGTAATCAAAACTAATTTGGCTTGTAACTAAAACTTATACCCAGTCCACATTCTATAATATGATATAGCCACTAATAAATTAAGCCCACCATAGAATTATTTTCTTTAGTTTAACATAGCTATAGTCATTTAATGGGTGAACAAACACAACAGCTAATCGACATAATTAGTTAGATCTTAACCTTTCTTCTTTCCCTGTAGACCCATTGTCAAGTACCCTTCAGGATTATTAGTGTTTAGCTATGTATTATAATTTGGTTAAAAAATTTGTCTTAGTATTTCATACCTCTTTCTACCCCATGTAGCTATCTGAATTCCATAGGCTTCAAAAATTTTCAGTCACTGTAATTAAAGTCTTTGATTAGAAGTTTTATCTCTATCCTACTGTCCATTTATTTATATCTTTATGCTTTTTTGGAGTTGTAGGGATTACATTTTTTTTTTGTAGTTGCTTATGGGAAGTTGTCAATATGAAACTAGTTTTTACATTTTAATCACATACAGAAATTAGTTAAACAAAGATTTTTTTAAAAAAATGCAAATATATTTGCTTTGCCATTCTAAAAGAAAATATCATTTTAATCTCTGGACTCAAAATTTAAATGTCTCAAGAAGCCCTATATATAAATGTCCCTCTTTATGAAGATACTTGTAATTAAAAAACTAAATTTTAACACAGAACCTAGCAGCAAAGTATTGTGGGGAAGGAGCAGGTATTTATTTGTACTGTTGTACATAATCTCTAGAACTATATGATTACATATGAGGGTAATTTGAAATATAGATGTTACATGTTAAATCAGACAGCACAACAGTTAGAAATCCAACTGCTAAAGATGAATTCAATGCAGGAAAATTGTTTAATGACTACTCTATTCTTTCTAATGCTATTTCTTATCAACTGTCACCTTAGTTGAGTAATTTATCAATTATACTAAGTAAATACTTTTTGGCAAGTATTTGGAACATGAAGTAACCGGTTTATTCCTTGGCTTTTGCTGATTCTTATATTAGTCTACATCTAAGTTTTTTAAACCAATAGAATGAATTGAAGCTATATGTTTATCAGAATAAGCTCTGTTTAGACAAACATTCACACAGAAAGATCTAAAAATACATTTACTTTTTTACATTATTCAGGAACCAAATAGATCTGGTATTAGTTTTGTTGTCCTTTACAGTACAGTAGACTTTAAAGAAATGACAAGTTATTTAACAGAATCATTCATCACTTAATTTTTGCTTTGTTTTGTTAGTTGATATTAGTTATAGTACTGTCATCAGAAAATTTTTGGTGATATTTTTCATCACTTACATAACTTTCTTGTCTTGTGTACAGTTCCTGTGTAATTTACTTAAACAAGAAAAGATGTTGTCCAACCTGTTTCACGCACATGGGGAGTTGTGTGCCAGTCACCCATGGGAAGTGCTCATCACTACAGTAACCATTACAATTTCTCTCATGTCTATGAGCCTGTGGGCCATCAACAGCAAAGTGTGTGGTTGGAATTACATCTGTCAGAATGAAGAAGTAAGTTTGTTATCATCATCTAATGAAAGAAACTTGGTGGGATTAACCTTTCATGAGACACTTCTTGCTTGACTCTCCATTGATTCAACTTGTTTATTGTCCTTAGGAAATAAAGAGCTCTGACATGATTATACTGTCTCTAACACGATGTCTTGCAATTGTATACATATATCTACAATTTAGAAATCTACGTAAATTAGGATCCAAATATCTCTTAGGTAAGTTATTGGTAGTTAGGTTTTCTCTACTTGACTATGTTAATCTAAGACATTCATATTGATCATATATACATAACTGATTATATTTATGTTTTTATTTTACAGGACTAGCTGGTGTCTTTACAATATTTTCCAGTTTCATTTTTAGTATTGCTATAGCAAACTTGATTGGGTTTGACCTCAATGGCCTCAAGTAAGTCTTTTTTTCAATCAAATTTAAATTCTGAAAATATTCCTAACTTTTGGCCAAAGTTCAGTATGGTAATGAAATAATTTTCTCCTGTATTATTTTCCCAGTGAAGCCCTGCCTTTTTTCCTGCTATTGGTTGACCTGTCAAAAGCTAGTGCACTGGCCAGGTTCTCCCTGACAGCACTTAACCAAGATGAACTACAGAAAAATATTGGTAGAGGCATGGCTATGATAGGACCATCAATTACTTTAGATGCTTTTGTGGAAACATTAGCAATTGGAGTGGGTACACTATCTGGTAAGTTGTTCTGGTAAAGTTATGCAATTTCCAAAACTAACAGGTTTTGATAGTTCAATGGGTGTGGCTGTCAAATACCACAGGTGACCAAAATTCCATGTGTTTCAGGAGTTAAGCAACTAGAAACCATGTGCTGCTTTGGTTGTCTGTCAGTGATCACCAACTACCTGGCCTTCATGACATTTTACCCTGCCTGCCTCTCTCTTGTGCTGGAAGTAAGTTCAACATTTGTATTAGTATCTCCACTTTATGTTGCCATATACCTTTTTCATGTCTTGTAGATGTTTTGAGCTTAAATATTTTTTTTTAATTTAATGCTACATTGAGGCATTTAGAAATAATTTGGTATATTCTGATTCAATTTAAAAAGAGTACCTGTGACTAGTTTGGCATACCTTTTTTATTTAATAAATAGATATCAAGAGATAGGAATCAAGGGAAGCCACTACAACAGCTTCAACAGTTAGCCAAAGTACTACAGAAAGAGGAAGAGGAGAAGAAACCCAACCCTGTAACACAGAGAGTAAAAATCATTATGGTAAGTATTAAGTTAGACAGGGCATTGTCAAGTTAGTAAATAGTATATTTTTATAACATTAGGATTTATATCTACCTGTTTTTAAAAATGTAACATTATTGATTTGAGCTAACCGGAATACTACATATTTTTAAACACTTGTATTAAAATAAATATATTGTGTTTATTTATAAATCAGAATTAAGTCATAGCATTGCCTTCCTGAAAGCTATATGCCTTGTTAAAACATAATAGACACAATTTCAATAAATTTTTCTCATGACAGTCTGCTGGATTGGTCCTTGTTCATGCCCACAGTCATTTGTTTGTTGGAGACAGCAGTGCTGCTGAAGGACACAGTAGTAGTGTGTCTGTAGACCAGCCCATTGATAAGCGTATTCATCCTGAGCTTCCTTTATGGCAGTTTGTTGCTGGAAGGTCAGAACATACTCACTCATAGCTACTCTTCTATCAATAGACATTTAAATTACCTTCTTAAATCAGATAGAACATGTAGAAAATTGCATTTTATCATTCTTTCATAATTTGTTTAAAATACACATTTTTTAGATTAAAACTATTTTTTGTTATACATTAATTTTGTATTTCTTCTTCAGATTTTTGACATTGAATTTGGAATACGGGTTGACTATACTTCTGGCTGCTGCTCTGACAATCAAGTATGTCTTTTTTGATGACAAGGTGGACCAGGAGGTTCAGAAGTTATTGAAACAAGCTAGTCATGATAACCAACACCGGATATCTGACAAACCTGTAGAAAAACCTAAAGTAGCTGCCCTTGCTCCAGCACCAGAAGTAAAACCTGTCTGTAAGTTAAGTTCTTCCTTGAGTAGCTTGCAGTTGTCTTTTAGAGTAGATTTTCTTTGGTACCAGTAGTTTAAAAAAAAAATTCTGATTGCCCAAGAGCAAACAGATTATCAGTGAATGATTTGTCCATTCTAGTGACCCCTAGCAAGCCTGTAGCCAAAGAAGAACCAGTGAAGAAAGATGAAGCTAAGCCAGCTTTTTTCTTGGGCTCTCAGGACATGGATGAAAACAGCAGCTCTGAGGATGACAGCAAGGAAGACAACTCCAAGTCTCTACATGATAAAGACACTCAAACAGACTTGGAAACAGTACCTGATTACAAGTCAGCTAATGGAACTATTGTTCCCTGGAGTCAAGCACACACAGAAAATGACAAGCTGCCTCGAACTCTAGAAGAATGTGTTGCCATCATGAACTCTGATGTGAGTACTGCTACAGAACTGTTGTTTACTTTTATTTTCATATTTCATGTTTTGTGTACAAGATGTTCTATATAAAAAATTGTAATGATTGAATCCACAATTTGTTACAGGTTGGACCTGCAGCTCTTACAGACGAGGAGATCAAAATGTTGGTGAAATCTAAACACATCCCTGCCTACAAACTGGAGAGTATGTTGAGTGATCATACTAGAGGAGTTTCCATCCGGTATGTCTCCTGATAATAAAGCCACTTTTTCTTTTTTCTTGATATCTATAAACAGTGGTGTTTTTCATTTCCTTGTTCCATTTCAGGCGTCAGATGTTAAGTGCTGACCTAGTTTCTACAACCGCTTTAGATAAGCTCCCATTCATGCACTATGATTATAAATATGTAAGTATTTTTTATTTACCCTTGAATATAGTCCCTTATCTAAATAACCTATATATATGTAATTTGTTTACTATATCAAACACTATCTCTTTAAACTATTTCTAATGTACAATCATTATAAAAGTAGGCTAAAAATACTGCAATGTTTTTTTTCCATTTGATACATCAAAATAGAGTAACTCTGCAATCTTTGTTTAAAGGTTGAAGGAGCCTGCTGTGAAAATGTGATTGGCTACATGCCTGTCCCTGTTGGTGTGGCTGGACCTTTGCTGCTGGATGGTGTCCGCTACCATGTTCCTATGGCAACTACAGAGGGCTGTCTAGTTGCTAGCACTAACAGAGGATGCAGGGCTTTAGAGGTAAAGCTCTAATGCCCTCAGTCTTTCACTTCATTTTACATTTTTTAAAGGGGAATTTCCTTTTCAAATTCTTTTTTTTTTTTGGAAAAAAAATTGTATAAATGACTGTTAAACTGTCCAAAAAGAATCCAAATTATACAAAGTAATAAAGAAATCCACATTTTTGTAACTATGTCTTCATAACAGCTTAGTGGTGGAGTCAGGAGTAGGATAACCAATGATGGCATGACCCGTGGCCCAGTTGTACGTTTCCCATCAGCAGTAAGGGCAAGGTACTAAAATTGTTTCTTAAACTTTTTGATCAATAGTGTGTATTACATTTGTCTTTCTGTTTGGATATTGACATAAGTGGCTAACATGGCTTAATGTTTGTTCCAGTGAAGTCAAGCAATGGCTGGAGAACCATGACAACTTTGATTTAGTCAAAGAGTGCTTTGATGCCACTAGCAGGTGATTATTTTTATTGGAACTTAAAACTTTTAAAAAATAAAACTGTTGTCCTTTGTATTTACACTAATAACAACATTTTGTGTTAGAGAATAGTTTTTTTTATCTTAGTTGAATTTTGTCTAGTTCATTAAATTTGTGATTGATTTGATGATTGTCATGCTAATGAAACAATTATACTAATCAGATTTGCTCGCCTGAAGAAGCTTCATGTGGCAATAGCAGGAAGAAATTTGTACATTAGATTTGTGTCAACAACTGGTGATGCTATGGGCATGAACATGCTGTCAAAGGTAAGACTTGCTGTACTTGAGTGGTTAAGTGTTGTCTTACTTGCTAGTATGTTTTTAGTAACTATTGTATACAGCATATAGTAGTAAAATTCTTTCATGTCAGGGCTCAGAGAAGTCACTGAACATGCTTGTGGAGAAGTTCCCTGATATGGAGATCATTAGTCTCAGTGGAAATTTCTGCACTGACAAGAAGCCAGCTGCCATTAACTGGTGAGTACACACAGCAATTGGTGCACCTATCTCAGCACTAAAGTAAACCACATGCAAGTTTAATTAATTTCTTTTGTAGTCATTCAAAAGAACCACCTGTTGTAGTGGATATAGTTAACTTGTTTGTGTTACAGGATTGAGGGTAGAGGCAAGTCTGTAGTTTGCGAAGCCATTGTAAAGTCCCATGTTGTAAAAAATACACTGAAGACCACAGTAGCAGCATTGATTGATCTGAATGTTAGTAAAAACTTGATTGGCTCTGCTATGGCTGGCAGTATAGGAGGATTTAATGCCCATGCTTCTAACATTGTTACAGCCATATTTATTGCTGCTGGACAGGTCAGTATATTACTTCATGTTTCATATCACAGCAGCTCTTTGTCTTGTTTCATAGGCTTCCATTTTTCTTAGAAACTCCATAACAAATATAGAAAGAATATTGAAAAGGACTGAAATGGTTAAAACAATAATAATCCTCATCACCTGACAATGTTGACTAATTATTTTTCTGAAATATGAGATTGTTTCATGAAAAATCCTTGCCAGCTCATTGTCATAGGCAGAAAGACAATAACTTTTTAGAGAATAAAAAATTACTTAAGTAAAATGAAAGTTATTTTCTATTAGCACAAAGCTTAAATTTTGTTTTGTAGGATCCAGCACAGAATATATCTAGCTCTAACAAAGCTTAAATTTTGTTTTGTAGGATCCAGCACAGAATATATCTAGCTCTAACAAAGCTTAAATTTTGTTTTGTAGGATCCAGCACAGAATATATCTAGCTCTAACAAAGCTTAAATTTTGTTTTGTAGGATCCAGCACAGAATATATCTAGCTCTAACAAAGCTTAAATTTTGTTTTGTAGGATCCAGCACAGAATATATCTAGCTCTAACAAAGCTTAAATTTTGTTTTGTAGGATCCAGCACAGAATATATCTAGCTCTAACAAAGCTTAAATTTTGTTTTGTAGGATCCAGCACAGAATATATCTAGCTCTAACAAAGCTTAAATTTTGTTTTGTAGGATCCAGCACAGAATATATCTAGCTCTAACAAAGCTTAAATTTTGTTTTGTAGGATCCAGCACAGAATATATCTAGCTCTAACAAAGCTTAAATTTTGTTTTGTAGGATCCAGCACAGAATATATCTAGCTCTAACAAAGCTTAAATTTTGTTTTGTAGGATCCAGCACAGAATATATCTAGCTCTAACAAAGCTTAAATTTTGTTTTGTAGGATCCAGCACAGAATATATCTAGCTCTAACAAAGCTTAAATTTTGTTTTGTAGGATCCAGCACAGAATATATCTAGCTCTAACAAAGCTTAAATTTTGTTTTGTAGGATCCAGCACAGAATATATCTAGCTCTAACAAAGCTTAAATTTTGTTTTGTAGGATCCAGCACAGAATATATCTAGCTCTAACTGCATGGTACTCATGGAACCAACTGGGCCATTGCATGAAGACCTGCATATCACTTGCACCATGCCGTCCATTGAAGTGGGAACTGTTGGTGGTGGAACTATCCTACCTCCACAAGCTTCCTGTCTGGAGGTAAACTTGCAGTTTTATAAAGTCTTTGGTTTACCTGTTAAATGGCATATTTTTACCATGTTAAAATTTTTGAAATGTTTGATAAAATGAATGTTTGTGTCTGGAGTTAAAGTTGCAGTTTTATAAAGTCTTTGGTTTACCTTTTAAATGGCATATTTTTATTATGTTGAAATGTTTGATAGAATGAATGTTTGTGTTGTAGATGCTTGGTGTGAAGGGCTCCAATAATGAGGCACCAGGAAGTAATGCCTGCCGTCTGGCTCAGATCATCTGTGGCACAGTTCTAGCTGGTGAACTCTCTCTTATGTCTGCCCTGGCTGCTGGCCATTTGGTCCAGTCTCATCTTAAACACAACAGGTACTTATGTTATCTGCTTCAACTTCTTGTTTCACTTTTAACTCTTGCCCTTCCTGCCAGCCTAACTAAAACATGTGCTTGTGTTCCAGATCTACTCTCAACATGGCCCCAACAGCAGTAAAGCCTGCAGACATTCCTGTTTTAAAACATGCTGCAACTGTTGCAGGAATGTGCACCAGTAAAGCTTCATAAGTGAACCAGTTTCTAGAGCCTAGCTAGATTACTACATTACATACTTTATACAGCTACAATAGAGAACTATTAGAATAAATGTTATCATCATTAATTTTAAAAAACATGCATTTTTATGCTGGTTATCATTGCTTTTAATTTTTCTATAAAAATAATATTATTCTTTGGTTTTATTTAATAATTCCATCAATTATTATTGTTTATATTTATCTCAAGTAGCAATTAAAAACCAAAGGATTTCAAACTTATAAAATGTTTTCTTAAAAACATCTATAAAGTTTTAAAATAAATACCTTTAGATTAACAACAGTATCTAAATAGCTATCTTTAAAAATGGTGTTTATACAAGGTTTCAAACAAAAGTAATCAACAGAGCAAAAATAACATGGCAGCTTTATCAGTCATTGTTTTATGAGTAAGATAATAATTCTGAACACTTGAGATATTTTGTTAGCTCTGACCACAAGCCTTCTATGGGTACCACACTATTTTAGTAAGTCAAGACCACACTTTTTTGTCTTCTCATGAAGCTGAACTTGGAATTTTTAAAATTCATACTTAATTTTATTTGTATTCATGAGCTAGCTGAAATGTAAAAACTTAAGTTAAATATTAACCCTGCTATACTGACGAGCTTTTGATTGATGTTTGATTCTAAAAAAAGTATACATTTCAAATTATGTTCAGGTATTATTGTGTCTGTTGTGTTTAGCTAGATTTATAAATTTAATTTAACCACTTTTATTTATCAGTCACATCAGCTTTAAATCTGTTATGTTTAATGCATGTTCTGAATGTTTTCAAGTGAGAGATTACTTGGGATGGTTGAAGGTATAAGATGTTTGTGTCAAAGGGATCTTTGGTCCATCAATTAGAACAGTTATAGTGTTTTTACTACTAGTATTTGTGTCTGTGATTTACAATTTTTATTTATAGAACATATAGGGCATCAGCTAACCATATTTAAATAAAGTTATTTAAAATTGTTGCCATATTTACTTTGAAAATAGTTTTAAACTAGTATTTAAAGATCTTGATTCCTGTCAACCTTACTTCCAACTGAAGATTACAGCAGGCAACTATAAATGTGCATTTCAATATCATCTATTTCTCCAAAAGTCTCAGCTCATTGTTAGTATCTTAAACTGCATTCATAACCATATAGAAATACTGGTTCTCATATTTTAAACAATCTACAATTTTATACCTCTACATTAGAGTTTCAGATATAAATATTTGTATTTACTAGAAAATAATTTTTTAAATTGCTGAGTGATTCTTCATTTTGTTTAATGCACATAAAATGTTTTACTGATTTGCATCATGTTACCTACAAGCTATGTAAAAATGTTCATAAAATTTTTAATTTTTTAAATTGGTGAGTGTTGTTGAGCCTCTCTTGTTGCATGATGTCATGTTTCATAATGTCATGGGTGTGTAGCTTATATTGTGCTTTTTTAAACTACTTTAAGTTCAGATTTTAAAACAAGCTGAGCTGTTTTTATATTTTTATTCTACCTGTATGGAACATGAAAGAACATATGTTAAGGAATATAGAAGAACATAGGTAAACAACAGCCCTGTTACAGTTCTATATTTATAAGTAACACTAAGTTGGTGCATTCTTTTAACACTGGCATGTTTTTTTTTTTAATATCTTGACTCAACTGATTGTGTAAACTTTTTGACCTGAATTAATTAATCAAGATCAACTATGAAGTATAAAATCTGTTATAAAAAGCATACATATAGGGTAAACAATAACATTGTGAACAGAGCTGATAAGCAAGTGATGAGTTGTATTTTCTCTGTGTGTGTGTTGTTATTTTATGAAACTTTCGTGGTGAACACACCACCTCTGGTGAGTTGTTACAAGAGATTTGCAATCAACCATTTTGTCCAAAACTGAAAGCAATCTGCTATTGATAGTGATTATTTAAAAAAAAAGTTCCAAGACTAATGCTAGTCAACTGTATTTTACTTAAGTACTGTACATCTGTACTGATTTGACTGTTTCCACTTAGTTTTACTTGTGCCAGGATGGGAAATAGTTCTACCATCCCTAGTGTTAGCTAGTGTTTTTCTGTGATAATTGAATCTCAAATAGTCAGGTACCAATATGTAATAGGACAACCATCAGACGATTCATTATTAGTTGTATATGCATAACTTACTCAAGAATATTCACAATACATGTTATTTGTATCGGTTAGTGTAACATTATACCAGTCTGTAATATAAGTGCTTTAAAATGCTTAACAACCTAAGACATTAATTGGACACATTTGAAGAGTATAAAGGACTGGTAAAATAAGGGTAAATAAATTACCTTTGTTGTAATTGTATAGTAAAATACGTCATTGCCAAGTTTGATCAAAAACAACTCATGAAATGAACTTTGTAATCAAGACAAGAAAGGTGGATAAATTTTGACACCTGTTTGTGATTTGTGTATAATTTATGTTCACTGAATTTTTTTCAGAGTCTGACTACTTTGGTTGTTTTTTTTTTAAATCTAAACTGGTCACATCAACAAAGACTCCTCTATTTCATCAATCTAAATTTTTAACAAGTTATTGCAAGAACAAACTGCTATAGTCAATCTTTTTTAACTAGTTATTTTTTTTTTTCTAACCAATTGACAACTTTTCTGGAAATGGTTTATTTGAAATATATTTTTTTTATACTTTCATAAAAGTAAGCTATTCAGTATATAAATTGGTGAATTAAAAATTAAATCTCTGGAATTTGTGTTGTGTAGCTATCTTATGTTGTGAAATATATGACTAGTGTGTTCTTCTCCATTGATACATGTGGAACTAGCCCTGCCACAGAGCAAGGGGTCAACAAGTGTAAGAGGTAGGTCAGGAAATGTTTTGTACACAGGTCAATATGAGATGTTGGCTTATGCTATGTCTTGAAGTCGGATGTAGTTTGAGAAGACCATCAAGTAGATACCTACACATTGGAAAGTGACAAAGCTGTAAAGAAACCAGTATACTGTAAATTGTTAAGAGATTATTTAATGGCATAAGCAACTGACACATGGGGGGAAAAGTTCTTAAATAAAAACTAGTATAGTTTCTCAATTTTAAAATATTTTTAGAAAAATAATTGTTTCGGACGGTAGGCAGTCAGATTTCACAATTTTAGTTTAAGGGACATAACTAGCAATAACAAAGGTTTTCACAGTAATCTATCAACATGGTGTTGTCACAATTCTAAACTAAGGTAAAGAGCAGGACAATCGAACGAAAGTATAATAATCATTAAAAAAGTTTTAAAAAACCCACGTTTTCTGATTGAACTAAAAAGTAGAAAATAAATACTATACATCACAATAATGCAAGCGATCACTCTACTATAAGCTAGGAATGTTGGGATATTTTTCCTAATTAACATAGATTAGAATGATAAAATGTACACAGATTAATCCTATAATATACCCCATTGATAAAAATACCAAATTTATCATTCTAGGCCTAATAGTTTTTTTTATATGAATTTTTAAAGTTGTGTATTAAACCTGTTATATATCACTGTAACATCGGATTTAATTGTGTGATTGGCTTTAGGCTTGCATACCACTGCTGCTATTCGAGATATAATTATAAAACTTTGCACATTAGTGCTAGAGAGTGTGGGCAATAGAAATATGAAAGTAAAATCAAAATTTGATGAAGGATAATTAGAACTAATCAAGTCAAATTAAAGTGAGGGGTGCTGTTCTATATAGGTCAATATGCAGACTGAAAGTCTATGTTTTTTTTTTAATATTAAAATTGAAACTTTGCTAGAGGGTGGGGGCAATAGAAATATAGAAAAAAAATATATTGAGTATGACTGCATATAATTAAAAAGTCCTATGAAAGGGTGTTGCACCCTTTTATAGTAATTATAGTGACTGCAACGGACGTATGTCCAGAATGTTACTATAATAGATAGGATACATTTTGGTTATTGATACTGAAGCATGTAATAAGAAGAATGCTGAAAAATAAAACTAGGAATGGTGTGTTAAAGCACTCAACTACTAACATGCAAGTCTTAAGCTCAGATCTCAGACGAGTCTGTCTGTGCAGCGTGCAGCATCCACCAAGCTCAGATGAGTACCTGACCCAAGGGAAAGTAAAGATAGCTTGGCAGAGAGCTAACCACACCATCACTTCATGTGCATGGGTCAAGAAACAGATACTCTACTTCAGCTGCTTTATGGATGATGGATTGACAGGTCCAAAAGGGAAACTACTTTAATATACTAGGGCCTTTATAAGACCCTATTGATATTTTGGTACAACTAAATTACTAATCAATAGAAAAACCTTAAATTCTTGTAAAAGTTTATTAAGCTAAGTGTTAATTTGTACCAAATCAGAAATTACAGCTTCCCTGTCTATCTGCTTATATGAATATATATATTGGCAACATGCAGTGATTTAAATCCGTATTGTTTGTTGTTATTTGTTTTTTGTTACTTTTTATTATTAAATGTAAAAATTGTATCCTAAATTATTATGAATAATAATTATCATGCCTTTTTCATGTCATTCTAAATTCACTGCCTTATTAATTAGTACCCCCCCCCCCCCCATGTCAATTGCTGCACCTTTTGTTTATTATTTACTAATGTCATAAGCATAATTATTACAAATAATTAAATAAGTTTATCACCAAGCTTCTTTACTTATCATAACCAATAATAGGCCCAGACTTACTTTATCAATCGATACATATAGTTATAGTATATAGCATTAGTTATACTAAGAAATAGGCCTATAACTTATTTATAGTATAAAGTATAATAGTATATTAAAGGCTATTAGTAGTATTAGCCTTAAATCTAAGTAAGTAGGTATGTGTGAAATGCTTAACACTATTTAATGTAAGCCTAAGCTTCTTGCCTGTCGGTTTTAATAGATAACTTGATCAACGTATTTTATCTAGTTTTAACAGTGCCACCCACAATTTAAATTCTTTCCAACTTCGAAAACTACGTCATTGGCAATATTGCGCGTATTTTATCGATAATAGGTAATGCGGTGCTAAACCGACGCCATGGCGTTGTCAAGGCCGAAGCGCTAGCTCGGGGATTTGACATGTATGATAACTCGTAAGCAGAAGTAGTAAGTGCCATAAAACCGTTATTATAATAATATTTGTTTATTTAATGGACACTTACAACTAATGGCAAGACACTTATAATGTGTTTAATACGTAAACTTATTTAAAATGTGACAGCACCGTACGGGACATGTTCGCGAGATAAACTCATTAGAATCGTGCGATCGATTTCGGCTTAAAGATTGTCATAATGGCGGTAATTTTCTAATTGAAACATATAATACGACTACACTAGAATATCTATATCGAATATTTCTAAAAACTCGATTCCAACAGTGAGACTCGGCATTCTTCGGAAAAGGGCGAGTTTTTATAAAGACTGCATCGAAAAGTCCGGATGTTGAATACCGAATCGAAACAGCGGAAGTCGGAATGCCTAACTATAAGCTATCAAAACGTGGGTCGCCGAAGTAAAAGTTATATTACTATGTAACTATTGATTAGATAAATATTAAATAATAGTCAAATACTATTGACTTTTATTAGGGAGCTTGTAGAGAGTCAACAGTATTAGAAACTGTAAGAAAATCACGGCGCCCCACGTTTTTGATAGCTTATAGTAGAGTGATCGCTTGCATTATTGTGATGTATCGTATTTATTTTCTACTTTTTAGTTCAATCAGAAAACGTGGGTTTTTTAAAACTTTTTTAATGATTATTATTTTCTACTTTTTAGTGTTTGTCTGTTTGTTTGCATGTAAATCTTGCTATCGATTTTATCTTTTCACTTTTTTTTTGGGTAAACGAAGACAACTCGTAAAAAGACAACTCGTAAAAAGACAACTCGTAAAAAACACGTTGTGTGAATACGTTACTGACTAGAACACATAGATTTGAACCCGTGTCGAGTGGGATAGCAATCGTGTGCCCAACCACTCGACCATATCGTCTCCCCCAAACTGGCCACCAGTTGTTACGTTATGGTTGTTTGTACACAAACACAGCGTGACAACTACTCAGTAAGCAAAAAGAGGGGGAGTGCCGAACCTTGTTTTCATCAAATTACAGTTACTGGGTAATGTCCCTTTTCCCCCACGTTTTTTGGTACAATTATTAGCGGTCTAAAATGATCAATAAAATGTTTCCATGGATTAATTTAGTAATAATAACAATTGAATATTCAATGGTCATCCAAAAGAAAGCTTCCCTGAAAATTTCAGCGCGCTAGCTAACTGGGAAGTGCCAGAAATTTCGATCGCAAGATTGGATTGGAAAGACAAACAAACACAGAAAGACACAGAGAAAGCAAGTTAAAGAAAACGTGGGAAAAAAAAAAAGAAGGATCTATCTAGATCTAGATCTATAGATTATTTCTGACACTAAACATTGTTCTATTCATTTTCTACTTTAGTAATATTTTTTTTCTAGAATCTAGGGGAGAATTTTTTGGTAAAACTCCATTTTAGTAAATTTTACTCCTCGCTTCACGACTTCACGTCCACCTCCAGATGAGCGTACTTTTTATTATTAATAACTAGATCTATACGAGCCGACCCGCGGCGTATCATACGCCGATATTTAGTTGTTTTATTTTCTACTTTTCAGTCATTCATAATGTGTGAATTTGACAGTATCAACGCTGCCACTGAAAATATTTGCTTTAAAACACTATCAGTACTGAGTAGGCCGTTAAGGACGATACCCCCCCCCCCCCCCCCCCCACCCTCCTTTCCACCAACCCCAAATACTCCAAAATAGAGTTGTACCGAATTTTATACCAGTCACCAGTATCCGATAAAATGAGGTAGAATCTTCTTTAAAAAGGGGGTGTGTAGGTTACTGTAGTAAATACACACATTGCTAACCCTGTCCCCAACCCTAGACCTACCTTACCATACGCCTAACCCTAATTACTAATTTCCAATCCTAAAATTAGTCGAGGTTACAATTTTACTAACAACCCAACACACCTATTTTATGGAAGTCTATTATCGAACATCGGTACCTAAAATCATCCGGCCCTTCCTAGCCTCTGATCTAAAACAAATTTGTTTTTACTAAAATAATAGATCTAGTAATGAGTTCAATTAAAAATTATTTTTAAGATATAGGTTTTCTACAAGTATGTTTAAAACTGCTATATTATAGTTTAGCCCATTCCTTTTCTCTGAATCAAGCATTCAATTTTTTTCTCAGTCAGTTACTCTAAATTTAATAGAATTAAAATGTAGTATTATAAATATACTAGAAATAAAACTTTTTATGTCTAGTATAAAAAACATAATTACATCTATTGATTTCTTTTGGTCCAGAAAATGAGCTCACAACGTGGCAACGTTTCTCGCACACGAAAACAGAAATATCAGAATAACAGAGCCTTCAAAAATGATATGCATGATAAATCTGACAAAACAAAACTCATTAACAACTTGAATTTTGAAGGCATTTGTCTTCGCTGTAAGGATATAATTCAATGGAAAATAAAGTACAAAAAATACAAACCATTATCCCAGCCTGCTACATGGTAAGATAAGTTAAGAGAACTTATGCTGTAAATTTTGATATTTTATCCATGTGTAGGCCTAAATAAAATAAAATTGTTGAAGAAATGTTTAATTAAACTATTTAAAATTAATTTAGTGTCAGATGTCACAACAAAACTGTGAAGAGAGCTTATTACACAGTGTGTCAGCCTTGTGCAACCCAAGTTAAAGTTTGTGCTAAATGTAATACCAAACAAGATAGTATAATACAGTAAGTATGACATTCTCTTGTGAAAATTTGTCTTATTTCAGAACAAGTTTTTTTTAAAATCAGCTCTATTCTTTTTTTTTTGCTTGTTAAGTCGGTTCATAACATCAATGAAAATACGATACTTGCAATGGATCCATGTAATGTACTTATGCAGTAGAAACTATTACATATTTCAGGGTGGGGCAGAGTGAGGAAGAAAAAAAAGCCCAAGAAGAGCAATTAAAATTTGAAGTTCAGCACTTAAAGGAAAGGCAGAGAAGTGAGTTTTACTTTTTCCCTAGTCCTAAAGAATTTTTTATCTTGAATTCCTGCATAAGGGTGACCATAATTAAATTGGCAAGTATAGCTGCAATTTTAGAAATTTTTTTTTCAACATAGATCATTCTCGTTCTTCTGGGAGGTCTTGTTTCTTGAGTTTAACTAGATGCTTTCTGAAAGTTTGCTACTGTTTTTAAAATTGTACTTAGGTCACAGTGTCTACCTTTTGGCATATCGTTTATAAACCCTGCATAATAAAAAGCATTTAAGCGCATTGAAAATAAACAAACTTTCTCTATTTAGTAAAAACATTGATTGATAAAATGTGTAAAAGTTAAAAAAAGATTTTATAAATTAAAAGACGAATGCTTTTTTACTATCTCGTATATAGAGTACAAAGGAAGCATTGTATTCAAGCATAAAAATCACATGAAATTTTTTTCAGTTTTCCACCTCAGTACTTCATCATATAAGGAATATTGAGGACTTATTTTAATCAGGCAATAATTATAAATCAGATTTGTCAAAATTTCGGCATTTTATGCGTATTCAAGTCTGAAAAACTGTGATTTGCAATTATGTCCTGTCTTCTCTTCTCCTTCGTTCTTAATTTTAGTGCTGGAAGGGATCCCCTCCAGCACAATTAAGCGTTACGTGTCAACTGGTTATGCGCCACTGAGGCCATTGACTCAGATTTCAGCCTGCTTTTCTTTTTGGATGTGCTTCCATAGCCTTTGTCCAACCAAGAACAAACTACAAGGCAGCAGTTGTTTGATTTTGGAGTTCACTCCTGGAAGAGTGGCTGTCCCCAGCTAACGAGCCTCATCTGCCTGAGGGTTTGAAATCGAGACTTTTCGGTTTAGCAACAATGAACTTTACCGACTCGACCATGCCGACCCCTAATTCTGTCCGTATGAGTACAGTTCGGCTTAGTAGATGAAATTTCATATATAAGGATTATATCAATTTGTAGTTCTGTATAAACTCTTCAGCGATTTCTGATAACCGGAAGTGGAACTTTTTAAACTTTTATTTGTTCAAGAGCCTATAACTTCACTATTTTAGATAGATAAATAAAATTTCACATATAAGTAAAAGATCTAATTTTCTGCCTTCTTTCAAATTTTGAGTATATGATGACCGGAAGTAGTAATTTACACTATTTCCAATTTCTCAAAAACATATTTGAATTTATAAAGTTCTAATAATATTCGGCACAATTAATAAATTATACACATATTGTTTGCCATTCACGTAGTGTTATATAAGGATATTGAGAAAGTTTAGGTGAGATCACTCCTGGTTTATTTATAACATTTTTCAGTGCATTTAAAAGCCTATTATTTTTATAAAGGTTTATTAGTTCTACTGTATGGCAAATCTGACCAAAATGAACTACTACTTTGCAGGAACTTTATATCGACATATTGAGAAGGGAGAGAATCCTGAAGATGTTCTTGGGGCAACTGCTTTCAAAGATGATTTGGATGATGATGAAGAAGATGATGAAGACAGTAGTGATGAAGATTTTTAGCTATTATTTACAATAAAACTATACAGTCATTAAAAATGCTTGCCGGTTGAATGGTTGTAAATCATAGTTCATGTACGTTACACATACATACACTAAATCAGTTTGTATAAATTACTTTATATATGAAGCAACAAATTCAAGTTTCTTTTAGAACGTCTTCACAGTGGCTACCACATTTATTTAGCTCTAATTCTAATAAATAGAAAGGGGTTGCAGTTATGGTGGACCATAGAAATGAATCTAAATGCACAATTCATAGCTTAAATGTGTCAGCATATGTATTTTCATGAATGAAGAAAACTAAAATCAACAAATGGTGTGAAGTTCAATTTTTTTTTTTACCCTGTAAGGGTAGCTTTAGCAAATTTATGATTTACATTTGCTGTAACTTGATACTAAAATGTCCAATGTTATACGAGACCCTGCTAGTTTATTTTGAAAACATAATGGTCGTAAAAATAAAAATTTGTTGCAAGGCTATGAAAAAAACTTTAATACATAAAATTAAAACAATAAATGTGATCAAAAAGATATTTTGAAAATGTATGCATGGACACCCAAGCTATCTGGTGAGTGCAAACATGTTTTGAACAATGCATGTAGTTTGAGGTGCTGCTAGGCAAGAAACATCCCCCAGTAAGCATCAACAACTTGTACAGAATCACATTCAGAAGGGGTGGACTTTGTACTATCATCTGTGGAATCTATGACCTGCCGCTGCTGCAGAATTGGCTGATGATTGCTTCAAACCCTGAGGATGCACACACATGGCATGTTATCAGGCATTCATTAAAAAAAAAACATCACAAGAATTCTTATTGGGATCTTAGTAACAGATGCTTTATTTACAGATTTACTTTTGACCAATGATTGCTGATTTATTAAATACAGTTTGTAACACCTGATTACATAAAAAAAGATCAAGAATACCTGGTAATAGCCTGTGTGATATCCACTCATGTACCAGGATATCAACATACTGTATAATGCCTCATTCTCATCATGTGGACCTGGTTCTGAGAACAGTGGAGGTGGTGGTGGGACACATGGGAACAACTGAGGAACAAAAACCATGGTGTGTGACACAATGGTAGGGCTGGGTCGTATGGGAACAACTGGAGAATAAAACCCCTAGTGTTACATAATAATGCGGGTGGGACACACTGGAACAAATGGGGAATAAAACCAGTAGTTCAAAGGAAGTGGGATAAAGGGAAACTAGTTGCAACAAATAGTTGTCCAACAGAGGTGGTGTTGGGATAATCAAGAACAACTCAGAAATTCAAACATGATACTATGGTAAAGAGACTTATTTAAAAAGATGCTACATTAAACCTACGTGTGGGGTTGTAGAAGGTCCTGATGCTTGGTAACCTGGGTAATTTGGAGGGGGCTGGAACGGGGGAAAAGCCTGAAATATGGAGGAAAGGTTAGTTTTTGGTATATCATTTACTCAAACATCTGACAAAAAAATGCAAATTTCATCAATAGAAATCTTAAAAACAGGTAAATGATCTCACTTAAAAAGTAGGATAATGTTAAATTGTGTGTGCTGCTGAACAGAAGACTAGCACAGATGTGGAAGGAATCATTTATTTACATTTAAATGTGCTGGTTGGCAAACCTTATAAATTAATAAATGTTATAGCCAAAAACTCTTTTATGATTAGTTTTCACTCATAATACTGGTTTACTACATACTATTTTTTAGGTACTGCAATCAGTTGCAAATTTTGAGTAAAAATACTTACTGGTGGTGGTGCTGTCATAGGTCCAAATGATGGAGCTTGTGAATAGCCATTCCATGGCCATTTAGGGGCATGTTGCACATTATGAGCTGTGTGATAATTGAATGATTTTTTCATTTTTTGCTTACCAAAATTTGTTTCATGAACAGTAGGAACCCGACTCAAGCTTTCAGTCTGAAATGTAAAGTATATATATATATATATATATATATCAGATAAACAATCAAGTTATTTGTTAACATGTGAAATTAGAATCTGTCAACAGTGATGAGGTACCTCACTAGCTGTATCTGTCTTCTGTTCTTGTGATGAACCCCCACTCTCTGGTGCTATCAGGTTTGACAAAAGCTGCTCCTCCTCATTGCCATAATCTACATACTGTAGTGTACACCTTCTTTTATCTTCATCAATAGACAGAATGCGAGCTTCATATACTTCTCCATCAACCGAGTACACAGCTTGACACAGATCTCCCACATTCCACCTCACACCACCATGCTAAAGTTTTAAAATAGAAATAATGAAATTTTTCAAAAAGTGCAATACAAAGTTAACAATTTTTGTTTACATCAATTGACATAACTGTGTCTGTATTTTAAAAGATAAAATACTGTACTTATTATAGTTTATACACTAATAAAATGTGAAACATTTCAATATTTTACATGCTTATGTTTCTTTTTAGTTTTAGCTTTGCTTTTCTTCTTCTTCTTAGGCTTGATGTTTGCTTGTGTAGCAGATAGCTCTGGGTGCTGTTCAGCAAGTTTAGCCTATAGAGCAAAGATAACTTTTTAGTCTTAGTGTTCAACAAAATTATAATTCATTTTTTTTATAATACCAGTAGTATTTATTTAGTGGCAAAACTACTAGTTAGGTCACTTAAAATTGTATTACTTACCTTAACAGCAGACACTGCATTGTCATATGCTTTGATTAAAACAGTATCGTCCCATGCATCTGATTCACCTTCCTGTGCAAAGAAATTACCACAATATTTATCAAAGATTATTAGTAGATAGTGGTTTTTTTTACGTATAAAATAACATTTGAAAGGATTTTTTTGGCCTTAAATAGAGTTAGGCTCTACAGCAAATCCCATTTTTAAATTTTTTTTTGATTTTGGATTCTTGATGCGTAATCCTATTTTCAGTATTTTTAAATTTTAGAGTGTGCTGGTTGTTTGTTTATTAAAATTCCCTATGTAGGTCTGACATTGTTTTTAAAACAATTCGTAATTGTCACAAAATAAGTTTTGACTATTTAAAGTTTTATGGTTAGAATTATTCTTAAAGTGAATAAAAAAGGTTTTTTTTTAGATTTTGCCATCTATAAGGCCGTAAAAAAATCTAGAATCTAGTCTACAACTAAAAGAACATATGGTAATCTATCGTTTTGAGTGCGTAATAAAATACTTAAAAAAAAAACTTTTTAAAAAACTACGTTTTTCTTGTGGACTAAAAAGTAGAAAATAACTATTTACATACATTTGATGACAAAAAACGTGGATACGTTCACCATCAAATTTCCCGACCCATCTGCCCGACCCACGTTTTTTGTCATCAAATGTATGTAAATAGTTATTTTCTACTTTTTAGTCCACAAGAAAAACGTAGTTTTTTAAAAAGTTTTTTTTTAAGTATTTTATTTTCTCCTTTTTAGTCCGTTGCTACACATGAAAAACGTGGTTTTTAAAAAAGTGTTTATAAATACACGGACTAAAAATCTTGAGCGACCAGGATTCGAACCTGGGTTGTCGCGGCTACAACGCGAAGTACTAACCACTATACGATCACGGCCAGCGCGCTCACATCGATTGGGGCCGAAGTAACTGTGTCAATAGGCCTCCAGTCTTGTCGGTATCTTTAGAAATCATGTCCTCAATTTTATGGTCCTTGGGGCGTAATTAAATTAAGCTAATTACGGTCACTAATTGCTAGTTTTTATGATTGCATCTGAAATTGTTAGGCGAAAGTAGCATGCATGCCAAATTTCAGGTCTCTAGAGCAATCAGAAGTGGGCTAATTTTCGATGTCAATTTTAACAACAAACATCCAAACAACCAAACAAACAAACGCGAAGCTGAGTTAAGAAAAACGTTTTAAAAACAGCTGAGGCTAGTAATGTGATAAAACGTTGCCATTACGTTGCCATTTTTATGGCTTTAATATAAGTTTATTGTGATAGGGTATATTTGTTTCAAATATAATAGATAACTGAATAATAAACCAAAAGCAATGGCTAAATACTAAATATAGCCTATCAATAGGCCCTATAGGCCAGAAATTAACTTTAAACAGCAGTGTTTGCCAGAGCAAGATTTGCTATAAGCAGAGACCATCTAAATAATTTTATCAAAAAAAAAAACATAAACAAGATGGCTGCTAACTAAAGTAATTTTAGTAAATGAGCTTGGTTGCATCTGATGATGAAAACATCGCTAGTCATTAGTCTTTATTTAGGCCCCTACTACTGAAAAGTTTTAATACAATTGTTTAAAAAAAATGATAGATGAGTGATACTTTCAAATATTTTTGTAACTTTCAAAACAGAGATCGGTAGATCTAACTCCTCTTCTAAAATAAAAATGTTAGCCTAAAAATAATTTGCTAAAATTTAACGAGTTACTTTTTTTTCACATTACTAGCCTCGGCTGGTTTTACATAGATCTAGATGTCTAGATCTAGACTATATAAAACGATAGCTGAGACAGGTTAGACGTTACCGAACTTAGATCTAGATCTATTAACTTAATTTTCTTAAGGAACTTTCAATTTTCAAAACTTCAATTTTAAATTTTGGTAATCTATCGTTTTGGGTACGTAAAATCGCCCGCGATTTGTAATGTGAAAAACAGGTGACTCCTTAAATTTTAATAATTATTTCACATTTTGAGGAGGATTTATGTAATTTATGATTTTAAAAATTCAAAAATGTTTCCTTGATTCATTTATGTACCTGTTTTTAAACAATTGAATTAAAACTTTTCCGTAATAAATTAAGACTAGCGATGTTTCCAACAGATGCAACCATGCTCATTTACTATAGCCGCCATCTTGTCTAAGTTTTATTTTTATAAGCTTTTAGCGCCAGATTCAGGGGGAAGCGACTCCAAATGGCTGCTGTTTACAAATGGCTGCTGTTTATATACTATATAGCAAATCTTGCTCTCAGACACTGTTGTTTAAAGTTAATTTCTGGCCTATATCCAGTATATCGATATATATGGCAGGAAACAGATTGGTACCGCAAAATGCATATTCGGTCTTCGCCGTTCATAAACTTTCTAACCAGACATCGTTCGGGGATTTTGTTTATACTGATAAATAGAGCAAGGTTTTTACAAGCTTCGTTAGCAACATTTTTGTGGAATTCGTTTTTTATTACATTTTGTGCCGCGGCGAAGGATGCGAAGTATGCAAATCTAGACGGAATGGATCTACTTGGAAAGTACGTGTACTGCACTAATAAGGTAAGAAATAATATTTTGTAAAAATAACTATTATTTTTTATGGATTTTTCATTAGAAATGATTGCTGTAAATTATGAAAGTAAAAAAAAGTATATTTGAATGCGTTTTTTACTTTAATTTGAACAAAATGACTGCCGAAAATTACGACACATCGGCGTCGCTGAAAGCGGGAATTTCAGTTAATTTTTTACGGATATAAAATTGTATTTTTTTACTCCGAAGCATGTATTTAAATAAAAGTTAAGTTAAATCTATTTAATTCTGTAAAATATAATTATTATTTTGCCGTAGATACTTTATTTTTTATTTTTAATGATTTTCTGTCGCGGAAAATCGGTATTCGCACCATGCACGCACACGTAGTAAAACTAGACTTATCTTTAAAACACGAGAATCTTGAGTACACTGCGAATAACAAAGTTTTTAAATGTTAGTTTACTTTTGACTTTAAGCCATTTGTTTTAAATCGAAATTAATTGATAATGTAATTATTTCAAAGTAAAAATTTTCCGTCGCAAATTGGCTTCTAACCTTCGCCACTGAACCAGCCTACGCACGACATTCGCGCGAGTCTGTTTCTTCGCAATAGTCTGTATAGTCACAGTGTCGAGGGCTAATCCTAAAAAGAACCGAGTCCTCACTAATGTAATGTTTATTAAAATTAGGTACAATTGTTGGAACACATGAGAAATAACAAATTTAAATTTCTTCAAATCTATAGCCAAAAGAAAGTAGAACTTTATAACTCTGTAAATTATGAATCGAGTGACGGCTGTCGTGAAAACGGGAGCCATTGTACTCTTTTTTTTAGGGTGACCTACTTTTATTATATAAATTTAAAATTCGAAGATTTGATAAGCAGCTGAGTAGCTGAATACGCATGCGATATGGCTGGCACGTTTTGGGATAGGGATCGAGTACACCGTAGAAATTTTTTTTCTTAGAACTACGCGTATTTTTTTTTTTAAATCAAAAGATACTTACATATTAGCTGTGGATTTCAATTTCATTACAGAACTAATCACTAACTTTAGTTTTTAAAAGTGATTTTGCTTCTAGATCTAGCGTATTTTCAAAATTACGTAGATTCTAGATCTAGATCGATTTTACTAACTATTTGACAACCGTGTCAGTAAAATGAGGTCACCGCTTCCAGATTCTTAGGTTTTAATTATGTTTGTCATTTTGATCTATTATAAGTAGCATTAAAACTACTGCATCTATCATCAATATTGTTTTTATAGGCCAGTTCTAATGATACATTCTGTTCATTACCAATTCTAATGAAATCGTATCAGGCCCTAACTAACACCCTGTTCACTGACACCACACTATTTGAATGAGGCCACAGACAGTCGTAACTTTAAATTAATTTATAAAGTACTAAACAATTATAATTAACCATGTAAATGCTGCAACTATAATAAAAATTGGCATATAGACATATTTTACTAATAATATTTTTTATATAGACCTTCTATATTTAACTCTGTTATTTTTTTCTTCCCCAGAGTGTTTTTAAAAGCCAGAACTTTGAACATTTTTTAAAGGGGATAGCGGTCGTTTTTTTTTTCAAGAATAATTATAGAAATAAGCTATAAACTGGTATATTTTGTAAAGTTTGACATAATTACAAATAAATTTATGCCTAAGTGACATTTCTGTGTAATTATATTGTTAATTTTGTGAATTTCGTGGATTTTAGACCTTACTACATTTAGATGTAAAAAAAAAATGTCATTTGAGTGAGTGTGGTTAATCTAAATTTTGAACGTGATGTAAATGTCTAGTGCTATTAATTTTTATATTTTTGAATTCCTCGATTGTTAAGCAACAAAATTGATATATAATATGTCAATATTTGTTACTTTGAAAATTGGCGAAAATCGACCCTAAAAGTAGATGTTTGAGAGTTGAATCTGTTTCCTGCCATATATATTTTATATTTAGCCATTGATTTAGGTTTATTATTCATTTATCTATAATATTTGACACAAAAGTATGACAATATACTTCTATTAAAGCTTTGACAATGAGGTAACGTTTTCGTACATAAATAGCCGCGGGCGATTTTACGTACCCAAAACGATAGATTACCTAAATTTTTAGTTTTTAGTTTAGTTTTTTTCTAGTAGACTTCTAGTTTAGTAAATAAATTCGTAACAACCATACGGGATGATGTTCCCAACAACACTAGATTTTAGTAGTCTACGACACAACATTAGAACTAAAGTCAGTAAATAAATAAAAGTAAGTTACTTGGCCCCGTTGATACAGCACATATTCACTTTCGGCACCAGCCATTTTCAAGTCTCAATATGGCATGTCTATGTTCCGAAACGATACACAAGTGGGAAAAGATTGATGAACGCGTTATGTCTAAGTACCAGAATTGCGTAAAACATACCAAAGACAGTTAAAATAATTGCAATAAATTAATTATACTTTCCTTATGTATGATCTTTGCCTAAAATTTTGGCAATGATTCACAATTGATAATATAATTTAGCTACCATTCAAGCCCATATTATATTGCTGAGCCCAATATGAGCATTATAAATTTAGAGTTATAGTTATAGTGCTGTTAGTCTGGATCCAATGGAGAACCAAGAAGAACACTAAGAAATAATTTCTGCATAGATCTTATATTCTTGAAGGGCAGGCAGCAACAACTTTCCAACACTGAGCTGTTATAAAATGGAATTTTTCTGACCGGGTCTGAAGTAATTATTTATGAATAGGTGTTTCTTTATGGTGTGGATCCATTAATCTGGATTCAACTTTAGTTTAGAAATCTAGACTTGAGCTGGATGTTATACATGTGATAACCATCAACTTTTATTTTAGAGTAGGACCTAGTTGGTGAAATAAGAACCAAAATTTAGCTTTCAATTATAGTAAGATTACTTTTTCCAAAGGCATTTAGGAACTGATTTCAGGAATATATTTAGGAATTTTTGGGGGAATATGAGCATGGAAGATAATCATTTTGTAACAAGAAATAATCTAGAAATCCAACAAAAACACAAAGCTTCCACAATACAACTATTAAAAAATAATAGTTTATTAGATCTGATAATAAATACAATACAAAAATACTTGTTCAAAAATCTTTTTTTTTAAAAACCCAAATAAAATTAAATAGCATATATTGTTAGATGTTATAAAATAAAAATTGTATGATACAGAACTATTCAGGGTGACAATTAACATATTTATTCAAAGTTTATTTGGAAAGAAAAATAACAATTATAATCCAATGTTAAAAATTAGAAGCCACTGGTAAATTTCATACACAGTTTTATGTTGTGTTGTAAGTTTAATTTAATAAAAACTGAAGCACAGAAATTTGTTATTATTAACAATAACTATTGGCTGAAAATGAAAAGCAATTAATGAACGTGTGTAAACTTTTTATTACCTAAAAAAAAGTAAAATATAGGCCTACTACCTAATTATGATTCAAAATAAAATATAAAAAGCACTAATCAAGCTAATAAATCCCGACAAAATAAAGAACCGAACAAAATAATGTCTTTTTGAGGCACAAAGCTTTTCATATATCTGTCTGACTTGTTCTTTGGTTTCTAAGATACTTTTTGTGTTATCAATAGTGTACGTGGCTAATTTACACTTTTCCACCATTGGTAGTTGTGTATTTATTCTTGCTCTTGCTTCTGCTTCAGTCATATTGTTTCTTTTCATTAACCGCTGGAGTTGTTGATCTTCATGACTTTAAGAGTAAATAAAAATAAACAGATAAGAGCACTGGTGTTTATTAATATAAATAATCTAATCTAACATAGGTAAAATAATACTACATTATTTATGTAGTAGCCAGAAACTCAAGAGAATAATCTGAAATTTACAACACAACAAAATGAAGGAAGGAAATCATGTTATTTTTTTTTACCATTTTAAATAAGATTACAAAACAACACATTTTTTTAATGTAATATCAGTATACAAGTAATTTTAACTTTTCTTCTTAATTTATTAACAAAGTCAAATGTGCCACAAAATTTCAAAAACCAAATTTAAAAAAAAAAAATTTTTAGTAAGGTATTTTCTAATCAATCAAACTTCCTTACCAAAATACAACAAGTGAATAAGAAATATAAGGGAGCATTGTTTTTGTTTCAAAAAGTAGAGGAATGTCAAGTATAACAAACTGGTAACCTGTAAATAAAAAAAACATGATAATTAATTATAATGAAAAGTACACATTAAAATCACAATAGTTTTATTCTAAAATTAGAACATGCGGAATAAAGTTTTAAGTTTACCTTTGATAAACAGCAGGAATATTTCCCACAACATCTGTTTTTTTATTTCAGGGTGAACAATAAGATTTAGCTTCTTACGCTTGTCATCATCATTAAATACAATTTGTCCAAGTTTTTCCCTGTCCAGACTTCCATCCGATAATAAAACTTCCTCCCCAAATTCTTTCCTAATTTTATAATATGCTGGCTTGCCAGGATGGACAACTGTGGGGAAAAATGTTGGTTAAAAAACATTTTATAAATTAAAAAATTACAATTTGGAGTAAATTTTACAGTACTGTATGCTTTTGAAGAAAATCCAACTTTATAAGTTGTAAAATTATTACACTTAAAGTAATCTAAGAACAAAAACGATGCATTTTATAATTGTAAAATGAATTTATAAACAAGCTAATATGGATAAGGTAAAAATAATTTTTTAATTCTTTTAAACAAGAACCCTTGGATTGTGCTCTAACACTTTCCATCTTTTTACTTTAATTCTATAAATCTAAGTTTTATTTATGTAAAACATGTTATAGATTTTTTTTTTCAACTATTAAAAATACTTAGTCATTAAACAGTTTTCTCTCACCTCCCTTGTGCACATAACTATCTCCCTTGTCTTAAAAATTAATGATTATCTCCATTGTCTTTAAACACCATTGAAAATCAACATACCATAATGAAACAGATGATGGTTAAATAACCAAAACCACTAATAACATCATTTTACTAGGCTTACTGGTGTAGCTTGAGCTAAATTTAATTTAATTTTACCTAAGTCTTAATATCCATTATTTTCAGATTAGACTAGACTAGACTTAGGGACTAATAATTTGTAATAATAGTTTAGTGTATAAATATATAATTATAATTGTCAATTATAATTATATATTTATACACTAAACTATTATTAGGCATTATGATGAGAATTTCAGAATGATTTTTTATTAAAAATGTATTAATAATAGATAGCACACTAGTAAACTAAGCCAATTTAACATATTTTAACTTTCTGTGCAAGTCATTATTAATGAAAAAAATTCCAAAGTCAAGTCAGCCTATGGCACCCTCCATTGAACTGAAGGAAAAAATACTTGACATGTGACCCTCATTAAAACAGAATTTGCTTTTTTTTTATTATTAGTACCCAAATAAGTAATAAAAATTTGAAAATTAATTTTAATTAGACACTACTGTGAGATAAACAGTTACACATGCTTTTTGAGGGGTTGTTCCCCTTTATATTTTTGTGTTTCATTACTATATTTGTACACAATCAGCATTCTATGCTTTTAAAATTGATAAAGGGTAAGTTTATAAAGTTACAAAACCTGCAATCTAACTAATAATTCATACTTTCAGTTTAAAAAATAATAAAAACCATCATGGATAAAAAAATTGTAAACATTCTATTTTTAGGTATGACATAAATAATAGTCTTAAATCTAGCACACTTTTCCTGCGCCTCGTTTTCACCAAAAAAGATTATAATAAAATGGCATTATTGAGTGGTGATCATTTCCACCGAGCATATCTAAAAAATACCCAAAATTATTACCAGTTAATTGTAATGTGTGTAAAATTAATGCTTTTAAGTTTATTATTCACATAGTAAAGTAAGTAAGTAAAGTTTCCCTTTCAAACCTGACAGTCTATGGGGCAAGTGAAGTAGAGTTCACTTGTTTCTGTGACCTCGGCATATGAAGAGATAGTGTGGTCAGCACTATGCCCAGCCACCTTTACTTTCCCTAACGTGAGTTAGGTACCCATCAGAGTTGGGTGGACTCAGGGACGGTCTACTGACTTAACCCGGATTCGAACTCAAGACTTACGGGTTAGCAGTCCAGCTCTCTACCACTAGACCACTCCGTCTATTATTCACATAGGCTGGTTTATTATTTAAGCAATATTTTAGAGTTATTTAATTTGAAAGACAAGATGAAGAATACATAAGAGCTACTTTCACTAAGGTTCTACTTGAGAGACAAACAAAGAAATTAGGTCAAAAGTACATCTGACAATTCTTAAATAACAGACTTAAATAGAAACAGATAGTTCCGATTTCTAAAATTGACGATGGCTTTGTAATCATTAGTTTTATCCCTCTACCGTGTAGTGAAAGCGAAACTGGCCACCATTTTAGTAAGCGCATGAGCCGTGAGATGGCACGAAAATAGCTTTGAATCGAATGGCCTACAGATCTAATTGAGTAGAGGCAGTTATTGAAATTAGATCTAAAAGTTTTTCCTAATTCTTTTATTTTATCTTATGGAAAGTTAATTAAAAGAAAAATCTTAAAACGTCTTACAAAATATATCATACATTTAAAATAGAATTAGAACTAGATCTAGGCCTGCCTACTGTAAACAAGTTAATAAAAAGTCTAGTGACAATTTAAGCGCAATTTCCTTATGTTATCCATAACAATTTTAAATCGAGATAAATCATATATTCAGCAATTAAATAATGCAACACAAGTAGTTTTAATAATTCAAAACAAAATAGAAAAAATATTTATTAATGAGATTTTAAAAAAATATGCGGATGTGCAGGGGGTATTTAGTTGTCGCGCTCTCTATATTGCTATATAGTACTGTAGTGTATTATGTATAATGTAATTTTTTAAAAAATGTTGTGACCCAACGAAAGGATATTTTTGAAAAACTTTCTTCGGCAATATTGTTCTAAATTATGGCAGGAATCGATTGGTAAATGTTTCAAGTCGCTACGTGGTCTGGTTGCCGAGATATGGGCCAAAAACTGCATTTTTTCGAGGTTTTTTGGCTTTTCCGGGAAATCCAGGAAGGAATTCCGGGAATTTTTTTGGCCTATGTTCATCCTTGGAACTTGCTTAACATATTTGCTTTTGGAACTAGTCCTCGATATTGCTTCGTTGAGGAGGAGATACGACTTAAAGCTGCGGACACGCTGCGGACACACATCCATCCAGAAATGATGAGTTAATAATCGCAATCCCCCAGTATGGAAATTGCGCTAAAAAAAAAAACACAATTAAGTGGAATTTGTACCTTGACGAGCTATGACGTCTGCGTCCACAACACATGAACATCCAAGCTCATTTTTTAGGAAGTTTGTTACTGTACTTTTACCACTGGCACTTGCTATACTACCTGTTAAACCTACTAAAAACATGACGTCATAGTCATTAACCATCAAAGATCTAATGCATTCATGAATGAGATTTATTACAAATTAGATCTACATCTAGAATCTAGTATGTAATTTACATACAGAATCTAGACTAAAGAATTTCCTAATCTGTCCTTTCAGCATACAAAATGTTTTTATTTTGTTTCTCTACTAAAGTAAGTGATTATTTTGAAATGTTTAATAATATAAAAAAGTTTACGGGAACCTTCTGCAGTTCAAATTGTACATTAATTTTCAGAATAACAAAATGCGTCTACTTTTGTTGGTCAATAGTGAATGTTACTACTGTTATACTTAATTTTGCTACTATTCTTGCATGTTAATAAATAAGGCAATATAAACACACGTATTTAAATGGCCTCAGAAATTCCAATTCATCATATAAAACAAAATTTATGCTTGACACGGCCGCCGTACAGAGAAGGAAAACGATCGAGAGCTGTCAAGGTTTGACTTCACTTGTTGTGACTTCTAGATTCTAGATCTAGATCTATTCTAGTTCTAGATCTAGATCTAGTTTTTATTTAGTTATTTATAATTTTAATATTTATTTATAGCCTATTACTTTGTAATATGTATTTTTTATCTAATTGTACGACTATGTTAAATGTTAACTATGTACTACTATGTAGGCCCTATTAAAATTGTAGGCCTATTTGTTTAGATATTATTGATTGACGGATTAAAAAATTAAATTAAGTTCAGCATTCTTTATCTTTAGTCAAGTGTGACAAATGAAAAAAATACAAGTTTCAAAAATATTTCTACTGACTTGTAAAAAATATTGTTTAAATTTTCATAGTATTATTTTAGCATTAAGTTGATTAAGAAAACAAATAAATTATTTGAGCTGAATCAGGTTTTTTTTCTTTACAGGTTTATACTGTCAATAATGAATCCTGTTATTTAATTATACAAGGGGTTCCAAGTGTGGGAGCTACACAAGAGCTCTCTAAATTGTGTAGTTCGTTTGGACCTGTTGAGGAATTTCATCCTTTGGATGAATATCCATGTGAAGATAAATATACTGAAGTTTATCTTGTTAAGTTCACAAAAATTCAGTCAGCCAGGTAAATTATCCACTAGACTAGATAAAGTTAAAGATTTGTTTTTAGTGTGTATTCTGGGTCAATTAATATAGATTTTAAAAGTAGGGTTAAGAAAAAGTTCTTTAAAAAATGTTCATAATAAAAAAATGTCCAGTAATATTTATAAAGTTCACATATAAATATCCAGTTTCAATGAAGTGTTTACAGCTCAACATTACATTTAAGCCAGTTTAAAACCATTTGAGTTTGCATTCTGTCAGACCTAAAAGTCTTTTATAGAGCTACTTATCATTTTAGGTTCTGAATTTTGTAGATAAAACAAAAGTTTTTTTAAAAATCAAATATTTACTTTTCAGATTTGCTAAAAGAAAATTGGATGACTATTCCTTTTTTGGTGGATCTTTGCATGTTTGCTATGCTCCTGAACATGAGTCTGTAAATGAGACACGAGAAAAGCTGCAAGACAGACGGAGAGTTATAGCTTTTAAAATCAGACAATTTGGTAAGCTAGTTGGGATCTTATTTATTTTTAAAATCTACATGAATTATAGTACAGACAATTCTTATACGCTTAATTATCTCTTCATTTATACGTCAGCCTTTAGCCCTGTTTTATAGATATTATCACTGTTTAGCAACAGAGTCTGTGAGGTTAGCTCTACAAATATTGATATATTCAAGCTTTGACCATTATTTTCACATTTGTTTTTACTGCATTGACTTTTTTCTGTTTTAGTACGCTAAAGTTGGTTAAAATTTATTTCATACAACAAAGCATAAATAAAACTTCTAAATCTCATTTATTCTGCAGTGTAACTTCCACAGTAAAAAATATATTTCAAAGTAATATAGTGATTCAGAATCATAATACCATATTAGTAAAACTATCAGTATCTGTAAAGAAAATTCTAATCATTATCTTTTTATTTAGCTACACCTACCATCACAGATGCAAAGTTAAAAAATAAATCATCAAGAGTGTCTGTGGCAACTCGTCCCGATTTAAGTCAGCCACCTCAGTCAGCAACTACAGTTGGTGACACACCAAACCTTTCTCATCAGGCAACATCAAGTTACACAACCAAAAATTTGGCTGGCTCACACACATTACCAACCCCAGGTCCAGTTACAGCTGAAGAGACTTTTGAATTGCCTCCTCCACCCAAAGAATTTGTAACTAGACTAAATTCTTCACACTCTAAACCTTCTAGGTCTGTGGACCGAACAGCAAACTCTTCTTTCAAGCAAAGACCATTATTTGCACAGTCTACTTTCAAACCTCAACAAGATAGAAATGTTTCAAAAGTCTCACACAATATTAACTCACTAAATACAGCAGTGAAGAGTTCTCCCCAGTTTTCTGGACCATCTTCCAAAAAAGAAAGTGTAATAGTTCGTAACTTTCAACCAATAAGGACCCCACCTAAATTTATACCAAGGCAGGCTATGTTAAAAAAAGAATCTCCATTGGCACGTGTGTCAGATGAAAAGAAGATACTGGATGAAGAAATAAGAAAAAATGCTTACTTGCTTGGTGAGACTCAAGGACCAGCAACTCTTACTCCAAGGAAACGTGACAGCTCTTCTCTTGCTGAAAAATCAGTCAATGAAACTATCCATGCCATCAGGAATAAAATTTCAAAGGTACGAAATTCTTTCCTTCTTGCAAAATTTAACTAGTGTAGTGATTTAAAAAATTCCAGCTGCTTATTCTATAATATTCTAATGCATATTTTAATGTGCTATTACCAAGTTTAGTTACAAAATTAAATATTTTTTTATTTTTGAAGCATTAATAATATTGATAGTTAAATTATTATGGGTGGAGCAAGATTTACTGTCAGTTTAAAAAAAATTAAAGTGGATTCTTTATTACAGGTTATATCTGAAGAAATAAAAAAGATGTAAGATCAAGAGAGAAGCAAAATGAAATTTGGAACAAAAAATGTACTACGGCAAGCATTGGAGCAAATTAAAAAGAACCACACAACATACGTTGATCCTATTAGTTTAATACGCTAGTCTGGTTGGTAGAGCAGCAACAGTTAGATCATCTACAACTGCCAGATGGCTAAGATAGGTCCACTACAAGTAACAGATGACTGTGATCATCTACAACTACCAGATGGCTAAGATAGGTCCACTACAAGTAACAGATGACTGTGTTAAGTCCTGTGCATTCAAGGGATGAATGTGTCATACTCCCCTGCAGTTACCTGATGACTAGGCTCACCACAAAGTAGTTGGATTATTCTATTCATGTTTCCAGACTTCACCCATCAATTACAAGCTATACCAGTTTATTAATGCTAAACTGGCAGTTGATGTTATGACATGTTAGTGATTATCCAATCAGTTATTACTGTATTGGTTTTAAGTCACAATTTAGATGTAAAATAAATTATGTATATTAAAACTGATTAAATCGTTGTATTTCTTGAGTTCTAGGTCTAAGATGTTAGTGTCTTATTATAAAACTATCATGTCTCAGTTTAATTTTTTAAAACAAATTTGTACTATATACCCCAAAAAACAGACTAGAGTATGCTTTGGTGTTGTTTTATTTGTAACAATATACTTTTATAAGTATAAGTATTATAGGATTAAGAATACCTCCAAGGTCATTCAGTGTACTTCCAGGTGTGGTAGGCGATTGAAATCAGGCACTGGACAGATCTTATGATAAGAATACAGGGAAAGCTATCATTCGTTATATGATCTTGACAAGGTTGTGAAAAGTGACCATCACATAAAAAAAATGAGTCCGCTCTATGTACAGATGTGTAATTACTGGCCAAAGGAACAATCAGCTAATATTGTACAACGGGGGAGGGGAAAGAGAGGAGACAGCAGGTGCTTATTTTTTCTACTTATTTAATCAAGGTATTTCAATGACGTTTTATAATAATTAAAATCTAACTTTAAAAACCATGTTTCTAGCCCTCAGCATATGAAGGGAAGGTGTAGTCAGCAGTTACACATTATTTTTTGTTAGTTTTACACTACATTAATGTATTGTTTCACAAAATTACCCCTTTTCACCTCAGAATGTGGCAAAACTTTTATGATTGCTATATTTAAAAATCTAGTAATAAACCCAAAATAGTGTCATTGAATATTAGCACTATTAGAACTAAGAATGCCTGAACTTGACTGTTCACAAGTCTCACCATCTCTGGGACCACAGGAAGTGAGAGGTTCATATCATGGTGAGGAATGAGCAAATGTGATATGAGAACAGCATACGCCTAGGCACATTTGTTTCATACATAAATGAAGTAAAACAAAAAAAAAAGATGCAGTGGGTTGTTTTCCTTAAATGGAAACAGTGGATTTCTGTAAAACAACAGAAAAGCTATGTATGTATATTAAAATGTGTTCCGGGCACCAAAGGGGAAAGACAAGATAAAAATTTAAAAAGTTGATAACATTCCATGAAACAGAAGTCAACAGAAACAATACCCACTAATGACTGGTGTATGGGAAAAATGGATGTAGGGGTAACTGTTGACAGCTTTTTTAAGGGGAAGAAAATTTTGGAAAAGCCAAAGTTTAAACTTTCAACAGGTTTTTATCTGATTTTTCATAAAACATTATTCTATTGCAGGCATACTAATTTCTATATATGTTGAAAAAAAGCTTTGCTTTAAAATTAATTTTTAAAATGAATGTTGAGTGTGTGAATGGGATCACAATACAATTTCATATTGTCCTATACTGTCTTTTTACTTTCTCGTATATACGTAGTATAGAGAAAGTATTGTAATCGTGCAAAAAAAAAAAATCGAGATTTTTACAAATCTCGACGTTTTACACCTCACTGATACGGAAAAACATAATTTTGCAATCTTGTCCGTATGTCTGTGTGTGTGTGTGTCTGTGTGTCTGTCCGTGTGTAAACACGATAACTTGAGTACCGTTACAGCTAGGTTGATGAAATTTCATATATAAGTATTTTATCAAAATCGTAGATCCGTATCAACTTTTGAGCGATTTCCGATAACCGGAAGTGGTACTTTTCCTACTTTGAATTTTTCAAAAGCCTATAACTTGAGTACTATTTCAGATAGATAAACGAAATTTCATATGTAAGTAAAAGATCTAATTCTCTACCTTCTATTAAATTTTGAGTCATTTCCGTTGACTGGAAGTAGTACTTTACGCTACTTCCGATTTCTCAAAAAACTAATGTAAATTTTAAAAGTACTAATAATATTGCGCCCCATTATGCGCTTTTTTATTTGGCGTTCACTTGGTGTGCAATTAATTTGTCTACGAGATTTTATTCTATTTTTAAAACTTTAAGTATTTAAAATGGATTAAAAATCATGTCTATAGCCCGAGTTCCCATCCCCTGTTATTTTATATAAGAATATTCGAGAAAGTTTAGGGGAGATCACTCCCGGTTTATTTTTAAAAGTAATTTGTCTTGATATTTCTGATCTGTTAATACTAGCAACATTTGCAATGTCTGGATTAAATTAGTAAAAAAGGTTACTGCTAGAATTATATAATTGGGGAAGTTTATGATATATTCCTTCTATTGAGTCCATGCAAAGCTAGACATAATGCTGAATTAATGTAACTTAACTGAATATTTTATTGGTACAGACAGAAAAAATAAATATATTTGTTAACCTTTTAATTTAATAGATGATCATTTGTTTCAAAATATTTTCAGTAAAGCCAGTTATTTAGTATAAATTAAATATAGTACAAACTTTAAATATAGTACAAACTGAGCTAAGTTTATTGTACTATGCTGTTACTCTGCATTCAAGCACAAACAACACGGTAGTTATTTTCTTGATGTTTTAATAGCTGAAATGTTTAAATAACAGTGTATCCAGTTCCATGTTATCGTCTCTAGTTATAGTTAAGGAAGACAAAATACATTGACATTTTGGGCTTTTACAGATATAAGTGAAGGCATTGGCAGGTGTTAAGCCAGTATTTGTTGGTAGCTGGGGAGGTGTTACCCGAGCTAAATCAGGCTATTATATAGCTCGTTAAGTAACATGAAACCATTAGGGATTAGTTAGCATCTGTTGGCTTTGACTATCAGTTGTTACTCTCATCCTAACACTATCATAAGTTGCTGTAAGTAACTTGGTCAACATAGGCCTTAATGCCATATGCTAATCATCAGGTCTCTGCTACAAGCATTCCCTTTAAAATGAGGGGACAGGAGAAAAAAACTTACTCAAAGTTAGACTCAACCAAAACCTGCCTGCAACAGACTTTATTCATTAGAAAATTATCACATAATTAAAATAATTTCAAACAACCTATTATTCTTGTGTTCATTAAATCATGGCATCTTTACTTCTTTTAAGATGGTACAGTTTGAGCAGTATAAGCATATTTAACAAAGTTGATGGGATTCTACTCACAATACAAAATATTTTTCTAAAACCAACTATTAACAATCAAAAATTCATATCTTAACTCTTAATATTGAAAATGATAAAAATCTACATACTTTTAAGGAGTATGCATTTCAGTAGATAAGTAATAATGTTAACAATGCTGTTTTACAATGGGATGAAATGATATTGAAAAATATGTGCTTACAAGCATGATGTATAAGCTTATGCTTCATCAATAGCTTGCTTAGAGGTCACGTACATAGATAACCATTTTATGCCATCTAAACTCTTGCTTTCAATTATTACTATTTAACAAGCCTAATAATGAAAGGATAACCAAATTCCACCCCAAACAACAAACAAAACAATAATTCCAATGGGACTAATAATATTGGCACTCATCATCATTATTAAAATGTTTAGCACTCAAACCACACAAGCAATTTCATAATTAATTGTATAGAATTCATAATAATTTAAAGAGTTTTGATTTATAATGAAAAAAAAAAACAACTAACATCTGTAGGATGCTTAGTGGTTCTATTAGTTCTACAACCATATTTCCCTGAAATATTACCGCAAAAGAATGTATTAGGAAGCTAATGGTTTGAAAGTATTTGTTCAGGATTATATATATATGACACATGAACAAAACCACTTTATCCACTATAATTTTCACTATCCTGTATTTTATTTTTTAAAAAATACAAACATCACCCATTTATAACTAATTTTTAAGAAACATGTAAAAGTATATTATAAAAACTTGAAATCTTGTATTAAAACTGAATCCCACACAGTCACATCCATAGGAAGTGTACACAGTTGAACTGTTTAGTGATATTAAAATAAAAGCCAATGGTTTGCAAGCAGCACCTTGAAATGAATGACTTGACAGAGCCAAATGTACATCAAAGTGTCTGAACTCATATCACAGGTGTCAAGCACTACACATCCACACATGAAGATGACTAATGAAATGATAATTTGTTCATCACTGTAAAACCAAGCCAACCTAGAAAGGAAAAAAATACTTTATAGATTATTGTTTACCACAACAATATATCAGAAAATAATGAAAAAAACTGTTTACTACTGTAATAACAAAGAAAAGAAAGATTTCAAACAATATCTGCAAGATATTTTTGGGCTCAATTAATACCTGGTTTGTTTCCATATGAGGACACTTCCAGTTATAAAGGTAATACTGCAAAAAGCCATCACCAACTCCAAACTTAAGCTTCTCTAAAAATTCCTTATTGTCCATGAGGTCCAGTGCATTGAAGACATCAAATCCCATCTAGACAGAAAAAATACACATTTGATGATACATATATTTTAATTATAAATGAGATTAATTAAATGAGAAATTGTAAGTTAACATTTTTATAAATTAAAACAAAAATCAAATGATTAACCATGTTTAACTTAAGAATAATACTTGCATTTTTAGCTTCTATCAATGTATCCTGCATTAAATCAATCCATGTTGTTTGTGTGCTAGCATTGTAGAAAGAATAAGCAGCTTTCAGAGATTTGTGAGTTGGGTGGTGCATGATGGTGGAAGGGAGAGAATAAAAGCTCACAAAGTCAGTTATAGTACCATTGTTCTGAAATTGAAAAAGACAATAATGTAAACAAGCCCATTCTCACATGCTTTAGTGCAAGTGTCCTTCCAGAAAAATCAGAAACCTATCAATGTTAAAAAAATATTCACTTGTTTGTCTTACCTCAACAACATAGCTGTTAATTATACCCTCTCTGGGTATAAACCAATGGCGGAACTCCTCTTCATTGAACAAAGGTGCTAGCTGATAACGCTGCATAAACTGATTAAAATATGAATAATTGAGTTATGATAGTAAAATGTTGCATATGCTGTAGTTAAACATAAGTACACCACTTTTATGAAAACACTCACACTTGTAAGCAACTTATAAGCCTGAGGAACATCATCTGGTTGCAGCTTACGAAACCCTGGAGTTTTAGGTTTCTGCAAATGGTAGAAGCGCATGTCAGAGAATGGAATTGCATTATTAAATACGCCCAACAGTCTACATTAATACAATGTGCATGATACTGAGGTTATTTAACATTACTCAAAAAAGTTAAAAAATAAGTTGTACTTAAAACTCACATCTGGAAGTTTGTATAGCTTCAACGTCCTCTGCATAGTCATGTTTCTACTTAAATGTGAAAATTTCACTTCTATCAATTTGCGTGGATTCAAAGATCGATGCCAATACCTGCAAAAAAAAAAAATAAAATAAAATTTAAAAATTAAGTGTGGTACAATGTTAGAACAAAAAAAAACCTGGGAGTAATCACTTAATGGTATAGTACCTGCAGGAGGCCACTGGTTTAGGCAGCACAACACCAGCTGTATACACAGCCTGGAAGAGGCCCTGCAGATGAACACGGCGAGTGATCTCCTTGATCAGAACTGGGGCCACTCGCTTTGCTCGAAGTTTCTTGTGGACACACAGAAAATTTATTTCCACCATCTTTTTAGACCTACAGCATCAAAATTTAATTTGTTAGATACTAGCAGTGACTACAGTGAAGACATTTACAGAAGATCAAAAAAAGAAATAAAATCTCACTTGTCATAAATTTTAATATTTGCTGGAACAGCACTAATGAATCCTACTAGCTTTTTACTTTTATTAACACGTACACCACAATGCCATTCTCTTAACCAACCAGGAGGCTGTAAAGCCCTGAAAATATCAAAACAATCAGTGTGTTTATAAAGAAATGTATTATAAATGTCACAACATGGATAAAAGGTATAAACTAATGTTTTTTGGCTGAAGATTGAAGGTAAAGAAATGTGTAATAATGGCATTTTACAATGAAAAGACACCTGTTAAAAAAATAAAATTATCATATAAAAAAAGAAGTTACCATTGCAAAAATTCAGGAGAGTAATCAAACCGAAACATGTTATCATCATCCTCCACATAGTTCTCATTAAGCAGGGTGTACAATTCTTTCAACTAAAACATACACCAGAAGTATTTACATTGACGAAGTGATACAAATAATGGAAGCTATTAACATAAAAACACGAGCAGAGAGTTTGTACTGTATATTTAGCATGAATTTTCTGTGAATTATTTAGTTCTCAGAAACTAGTAATTAACAACAGCTGACAGAACACTCTCACAAGGCAGCCCACCCCAAAAAATATTTTTTCAATACTTTCATAGGAACGACTAACCAAAAACTTTGTAAGCAAAAATCAATTTAATAATATTGCTTTTACTTCTTTTAGAGTTAAAATGTCAACAACACGATATCCATGTGATACTAATAAGGTGTTTTTAATACATGTTTGTGAATTTCATTAGAAAAAACAGTATCAAATTATTAAAACATAATTCTCATTTACCTAGAGAAATAGAATTTTAAATATGCATGATCATTATCATTTCTGCAAAGTGTGATTGCCTGCTCTCCAAGGCTTAGTAAAAAAAGTGTAGAAATAATTAAGAGATCAATAATTGCAACTATGAGCCATCAGTATTACTATGATAATAAAGGTAGACAACTCATCTGACTTTATTTGGTGTAACTTACAATCAATGGTGCACTAATATCAAGAGTATCCCACATGAATCCTGTTGGTAAAGTCAAAGGTTCCTGACGAATTTCAGATGGACCTTTGTCTTTCTCTATCTCTTCATTTACTTTAATGTCTTCATCTGAAATGGTATTAACAATTCAGTTTGGTTCAGCCATTTTACTTAATTTTTAGTTAAATATTTTAATTGTGCTAATACACAAAGCATGATACTGCTAATGATGAGTAAGGAATGAAGGTAGGTAGGTTTCCCATAGGACCAGTAGCATATATCCAACCCAGAGCTGACTCGATGTATAACCCATACAGGGTGTTTGATTATTTGAGTATTTCATCAGCATCCCTACTCACACAATCAATACAGAGATAGCACTCTACACAATAAAAACATGGTTATAACTATGGTGAATAATTAGACAAATTTGGTATTTATAACAAAATTAAAAGCAATAATTAATTTAAAATTCAACTCACCAAACTTTGGTACAGGCTGGGTCTCCCAAAACTGATACTTCTTTTTTTTCGCTTCATCTAAGCTTTTTGGTGCTGCTCCTTGAGGCAATGAAAGGAGCTCTAGAGCATTTTGGATGTGTGTAAGATTTGCTAGCTTCTGAAAATAAATCATTTGATAACTAGAATTAAAAATGAAACAATATTTTCATTGTTTATATATGAGAAAAACAAGAGTGAATGAGTTAGACATACCTGAGCCTCCGTGGGTGATCTCAAATCAATATCATCTCTTTGAGGGTATCTAGCAGACAGTTCTTCAGTTTTTGAATCTTGAGATCCTTGACTTTCAGAATCTGCATCAACACCAGATTGTGAAAGTGAAATGTTGTCAGGAACTTCTAAGAGCTTGTGTTCTGGTAGATCAGAAGCCTGGTTGTCAGAATCTCCACTTGATCTTTCAACATCTTTGGTTTTACGCTTCTTCTTCTTGCTTTTTTTACGTTGTGATGGATCAATACTGATAAATGATGCATTTATATAGTTTAAGTCAGAAATAAATAATTCTGGTTGAGTAAAATTATACTGAAAGAGGAAGTGGTAAAAAAATATTTTGTAGCCGATTCTAGCTGGAAGAAGATGCGCATAGCACTACAATACCTGGTTTTCCTTGTCATCTAAATGTTTGTTGTTTAGGCCTATGGGCAGTATGGGTTGTCTTGATGGGACAGGGATTAACACGATAAATATTTATATAGTGATTTAAATAGGCTATTAGATTTGTAAACAAAAATTTTTTACTTAACTTATAGACTGGAACTCTAACTATACTATAACCCGCCCAAAGCGCAAACGGCTTGACCACAAGGTATAGATAGTTTTGTTGGAAGAATAAGTATAAGGCTAAAATAAAAGGATAATTTGATCCCAATGTGCAGCTATAAAAGGATAATTAATTGCAGCCCATTGTGCAGCTATTATTTAATAATAGTAGGCCTAGTTAATTTGAGCGCATTACGCAACTAATAAGGTCATTGCGTTTTGCATCTTCTGAGTAGTCACTTCGTAATTTTTGTTTTATTACAAAATAAGAAATAATATTTTCAGACTTCGCGGCTAGATTTCTAGATCTAGAGTAAAGTTCCACGCGCGGTCACACATAGCGGAAAATTCCAAATTCCCGATTTTCATCGGGCACTATTTTATAACCGTTTCACACAGAAACAAACCCAGAGTACTATATTATTCCTCTGCCTTTCTACTCTTAATATGTATCAATCATTTTATATTCCTACGTATTGAATTTGAGATATTCATGTTTTAATGACGTGCTACTTGCGATATTTTTTTCCCCTCTTTTTTTTTCCCTGCGGCCATCTGAACCGGCTGCGTAACGATCGTGTTTTATACGTTTTAATCCTAGTTTAATAAATAAAATTAATATTTTACACTTTTAAACGTGTTGTTGATTGTATTATTAATTAATAGATTTCAAAACCAAATTAAAAACATGTTAATTAAATTAATTAACGACATTAAAAGTTGACCCAGTGATGACTCAAGGGACGCAACTATAATAATCATAACAAAGGGACGTAACAACCACTGACAAGACATAACGTAACATTTGCTTAGATATGCTTGTATGTAGAGACACAAACTAGATTTAGAAGAAGTAGATGCTCGAAATAATTTAAAATAGCAGAAAAAAATAGAAATTATACAGATTCTAGGCTTAGCTTGAAATGTAGAGCATCTAGAACTAGGCTAGTCTAGCTCAAGTCGTTGGTTACGCAGCGCGGTGAAACCACCCAAATCGACACCCAAGCTGCGGCCACCCCTATTCACCTATCAGGTTGCTTTATTAGCCTTATCTATCGTATGTATAGTGTCCCGCACATATTGTAGAAGCTATTTATAGTTAACCTAGTTATAAAAAGCTTTGATAGGTTGGTTTATTCATCTCATCCGGGACCTAGTGTTTTTCATACGGGGAACTAGAATCGCCTACGACGTCATACCTCGAAACTTTAAAATTTAAAAACTCGACTTCCAGAAGGAGAAAAACAAAAGAATTTGACCTGGATATATTTAGAAATGGACAGGTTTACAGCAGATATCGGTAGTTTCGTATAAAACATCAAAACAAATATTGTACGAAGCGATAAACAGGCGATGACCGCACCGGTGTTTTAACCGCGCGTGGAACTTTACTCTAGATCTAGCTGTTGCTAGCTGAGTAAACCTGGTGGAAGTCATTACTTGTATATTTTATAGGCATTATAATTCTAGGCTACTGAAAGTTCAATTCAACTCACTGAAAGACAATGAAAGCAGTGAAAGAAATCAGTGAAAAAATGCAGTCACTCAAAACAACACTAAAATTTGACTTTAAAAATTAAAATAATGAGAAAATTGAACACGGTCAAACAAAGCAAAGAGTTCAATTTTTCCATTAAAGAATAAACACCACAGAAATTATTGTAAGTGGGTAAAAAACTGGGAAATTACAAGCCATGATGTATACCTTTCTTCATTAGCTTCCTCATCTTCAGCGTCGGCTTCAACAGCACTAGGATCGCCATCGGCATCTGACAAATCGTGCAAAGAGTCGACGTCCGCCATGTTGCAGGAGCTGTATGCGGGACTAAGCTAACATTGCCAGGGGTTGAAATAATTAATTAATATGAAAACAAAACTAAGTATAGAATATTAAGCATCAGTACAATACGTAACAAACAACGTATTTTTTAAAAACTTCGTAAAGAATTTTTTTTAAAAAGATGTAACGCATGCGCAAATTCCGTAACCATAGCAACATTTTAGTCAAAATGGCGTCCAAACACAGCAGACAATCTAAGGAGCAAACTATTACTAACTTATCCAAAATCACAAAGTGTTAGTATTAAATATTTAGTTTTACAACTATATAAATGTAGATCTATGTATTTATTAATTGATTAAACTTTTCGTTATAATCTAGATCTAGATTAGATTGTAGATTAATTTTTAAGATTTCATTTGAATCTTGAACTTGATCATTTCGACATTTGACTGACGTTTGACAAATGACATTTGTTAAATGATTTGTTTGATTGATTTCAATATTTCAAACTAAACTACTGATTTAATTCAAGTAACTACTACAAGTACTACACTACACTCTGCTCTCAACAGTCTACATTCATGTACATTATCACTCATTATGTGACTATAATATCACTATACTTATATTATATATTATATATAGTATAGTTATATAGATAGACAGTAAGATGCAGTACATTAATCAGTAAAACTTGTTAGCACAATCACAATCTTACAGTCAGTAAGACTAGTAAGAGTAAACTCTTTCATTGTAAATAAAGAAATAACTGACTGAGACTGTTACACTGACTGTCACTGTTACTAAGTATAATTGACTGTTAGTATTATCAAACCTACACTAAACGACACCACTAAATTATTATATATTTACTTATTTATGCTAGATCTAGATTCAGATTAAGTTAGAATAAGAATCAGTTCATTAACTACAGTAAAAAAAAGTAGTTCCCCTTTTCAACCTAGCCAGACCATCTGTGACCTCAGCATATGAAAATTTAAATAGATTTAAATAATAATTTATTTATATTATTAATATTATTTAATATTATATAGATCTATCTAGAGTCCAGACTAGTTAAAACTTTTTTAAAGTTTTGTTTTGATGAAATATTCAATCATCTTTCTTAGCTTGTTATTACTTTTCTCTATCTATAGAATCTAGATTTAGAATTTGATTTTAAATTATTATTTTTCTACCCAGTACTAATGATTTTATGATTCTCTCTAGCCAAGCACTAACCTTGACACTTCCATGACTGACACCAGCAGTAAAAAACCTCAGTACAATACTGCCATGAAACATAGACATATAATAAATAATAATAAACATGTTTTATTTACCAGAACATAATAATTAGTTATAAAATAAACTACCATTATGCACTTTTTCATCAAGACATTTGTTACTAATAGTACGTACTTTATTGTAAATATTTAAATTCGGTCTTTTGTTATGTAATTTTAAAATTCTATTAATTTCTTTTATAGTATCAAAAGATGAAGTAAACCATTTGATGGAAAGATTTAATGATCTGTGTAAAAAAGAAGAAGGAAAACTTAACCGAGTTGAGTTTCGTGATGAACTGAACAGATTTTTTAACATTACTGATGATATTTTAATGGATAGAGGTTTGTTTAAAATCTATTTAATTAATACATTTAAAAAATTAACCACATTTTTATACTTAAAAAGATAATTAGTATAAAATCCATGTTGCTTTAGTTATGAATTTAAATAGTATTGTTTATTAAATTACCCTTGGCCAGTTTTCAGAGCATTTGATCAGAAATCATGTGGTACACTAAGACAAGAGGACTATGTAGTAGGCATTGCTAAATTTTTGAATGGTACTCTTGATGATCATATTCAGTGTAAGTTCATTTCTATTTATATAGACATCTATTTTCAAACAGTCCTAACTTTAATCAAGTGTAACAAACTTTTTGAGTAGCAGAATTTGATAAACCAGTTTTTCATTTTAGGCAACTGAATGGTAGTTGATTATAACTGCTTTTGGTAAAACATTTGAAAACTTTTATTCTTTTTTTTTTTACCCCTTTTAGTGTGTTTTGATGTGTATGATTTGAACAATGATGGTTACATAGTAAGAGAAGAAATGTTCCAACTTTTAAAGTCTTGTCTTGTGAAGGTATGTATTCTTTTTTTCTTTTCTTTTATGGTAGCCTTATGTTTAGGCATTCTTTCTGCCTATCATTACAATTTATTTTTGTTTCTGTTCACGTTGTGTTAATTTAAAAACATTTTCTATCAGGCAGTACTTACTAGCCTTCATCTACTCTCCCAATTTTTTCATTTATGATTGAACAAGTCTGAATCTTCTACTATTTGATTACTGCAGGCTCCCACTGAAGAAGACCCAGATGAACTTGTCAAAGAATTGGTTGAAATTGTCATGAAAAAATTGGTAAGTCATAGACGGAAATTGTTAAAGAATGAGTTGCTATTACTTTGAAAATTGGTAAATGAAAGTTGTTAAATAAAAAAAAAATGTTTTAAAAATTAAATGTCAAACAGTAAAACTAGAACAGGAACTTATTTGCTAGGTATAGAGGTCTTGGAAGGTTAGAATAAACCAAAAAAACAAAACACTTGATTTACTCTAGATTTTCTGGATTTTTATTAAAATTATATTTTCTAATTTAAATTATGTAATTGTATGACTATCATTAGAGAAAAAAAAGAAGTTCTCTTGAAGGCTAAAATGCATTTCCCTGCACAACAAAACATTTTTAGGTTTTCACAACTGAATTTTTTTTTACTTAATCTGTAACTCTGCTCCTGTTTGTTGCATAATACTGATTTTAGGATTTTGGCTTGCTTTGGTGTTTAACAACTTTTTTAGGGTAGTTGTCTGTTTTAATATCAATAATTTCTTAGGACTGTGGTCTGACATAATGCGTAACTGTGTTCTTGTAAGACTCTGATCTGGTTGATTTTGTCATTGGTTATTGTAGAACTGTAGACTGGTTTAATATGTAAGACTGTTCTTGTAAGACTAGTTTAATATGTAAGACTGTTCCATTGATTGCAGGACTGTGACCATGATGGGAGAGTCTCACTCTCAGACTTTAAAGCAGCTGTTGCAGAAGATAAACTTATGTTAGAAGCTCTAGGAAAATGTTTACCTGATGAAAAGGTATGGCAATTTAATTTATTAACATCAACTTTTCCAGCTTTTAGAACAAACTACCCTGAAGTACCTTTTAACTTTGATTGTGCCCATCACCTTCAAGATGAGTACCCATCAAGGGCATGATCAATTCCTCAAGTTTTAACATCATTACAGTGTATGATTTACATAATAAGATAATGTGGTTCTAAGGTTGTTAGAAATGTACCCCAAAATTAAACAGACTACGTCTGGCTTTATGAACAAGTATCAAACTGGCAAGACAAATAAAATAAAACACCAAAAAATTAGTGTTGTGTTCCTAAATAAGTAGGGTGTAGCATCCAGCTTTAAAATAAATTTGATTAGCTCCCCTGCGTAAGATGTGAAATTCTAAGCTAAACCTACCTGATATCATCTTTTATTATTGATGGAAATATTTTTACAAATCATGAAATGTTCAAAGTTTAAAGTTTTCATGAGATGATCAAAATTTCAAATGTTCCCAGTGTAAAATCACCTTTCATGAGATGATCAAAATTTAAAATGTTCCCAGTGTAAAATCACCTTTCATGAGATGATCAAAATTTCAAATGTTCCCAGTGTAAAATCACCTTTCATGAGATGATCAAAATTTCAAATGTTCCCAGTGTAAAATCACCTTTCATGAGATGATCAAAATTTAAAATGTTCCCAGTGTAAAATCCCCTTTCATGAGATGATCAAAATTTAAAATGTTCCCAGTGTAAAATCACCTTTCATGAGATGATCAAAATTTAAAATGTTCCCAGTGTAAAATCACCTTTCATGAGATGATCAAAATTTAAAATGTTCCCAGTGTAAAATCACCTTTCATGAGATGATCAAAATTTAAAATGTTCCCAGTGTAAAATCACCTTTCATGAGATGATCAAAATTTAAAATGTTCCCAGTGTAAAATCACCTTTCATGAGATGATCAAAATGTTTGGAGGTGGGAGGTACAATGCTGCAGGCTCAGTGACCATGAGTGACAAGAACAGGAGCAGAAGTAAAGGAAACCAACTGGCCTAAATCTGACCAGTCATGTGACATCCAGGTCCTAACATGCCAGTTTGAACTGTGGAAACTAAAATATTGGATGTGTTTTTGTACATTTTTTGTTAGCACAGATGGATGATATTTTTGTTTATGTATATAAAGGAGCTGTTTTAAAAAACAAGTGTTTGTTTTTTGTGAAGGTGAATCTGTTATGAAGTTATTGGACATATTAATGTGTTATTAAAGTTGACAAGCCAAAACTTTCTTACTCTTGTCTTATCCAACTTTTTTCAAAGCAAAATAAAAAAAATTATGTAGAGTTATAATGGTTATATTATAAAAAAAACAAAAAATTTCTACATTTAACATCTGTTATAACTAATGTTGCATATTGTAAGATTCAGATGTCAGCCCTATTCATGAAACAAAGTGTTCAGCTGAGCTTGGATTAGAACTATCTGCTTGCTTGTTACAACATCAACATTTATGAACTGTTGTTGTGACGTGCATTTTGTATTCACATTTTAGGTCTTTACATTTAATGCTTTGAAAAAACTGATGATGCCCATGCTACTTAAAAATGTACTACTAATTTCCTTTAATGTAGAACCTACTTTCTTAATCTGAATGAAGAATTTATTCATACAGTCAGTAGACATGAACTGCATGTAGCGGATAATCTGCCTTTTATCTTTATACATATTTGTAGTGGTGGTTGCAAGAAATCAAGAACTTGGCTTTGTTAAACGGAAGAACTCAGGCCTGACACGGATATATGAAGCTGCACCAGTGCCAACCCTGTTGACAAATATTTCAATTCCAACAACCAGTGCCAACCCTGTTGACAAATATTCCAGTTCCAACCACCAGTGCCAATCCTGTTGACAAATATTCCAATTCCAACCACCAGTGCCAACCCTGTTGACAAATATTTCAATTCCAACCACAATATTCCAACCACCAATGCCAACCCTGTTGATGAATATTCGGATTCCAACCACCAATGCCAACCCTGTTGATAAATATTCCAATTCCAACCACCAATGCCAACCCTGTTGATAAATATTCGGATTCCAACCACCAGTGCCAACCCTGTTGACAATATTCCAATTCCAACCACCAATGCCAACCCTGTTGATAAATACTCGGATTCCAACCACCAGTGTCAACCCTGTTGACAAATATTCCAATTCCAACCACCAATAATATCTCAGCTAAAGACGATAGATAACTCATGCACATTTTCTTTTAATTTCGCTTATAAAATCGGCAGCTTCAAACAGCTTCTAAACATGGAGAGCAACTGAGTAGCCACTGATTAATCTCCCCTTCATCCAATTCCACCCTATAGAAAAACGTCGACATTCAGCGTTTTTATTCCTCTAATCACTTGTGTAGGATGAGAGATTGGAAAAATATGATAATCAAATGGTTTGTATGCTGTATGTATGGGTGTGTGTGTGTGTGGGGGGGGGATTACAGAAAATACATACATGTCTATACATACACTTCAACGTAGGATCATTCTGGTTCATTCTCCCCCCCCCCCCCCCCATCACACACAAACCGACAGATAGGCTCTACAATGCGAGTGATGGTACATGAGCAGTTTTAACAGTGATATGATCAGTTTTAACATTTGACGAATCAGTAAGTTCTTGCTTTTGAATAAAATTACGAAATAAGAAATCTTTGAAAATTTTATTTTAATAAAAGAAATACAAAACACTCATGTTGAAACAGAGTGGCAACGCGAATGTTGACAAAATACTTTTTTCTAGTTTCAGCACCTTGCATGTACTCTTTAGGGCCTTATGATCCATTGGGCAGGTGCAGTTGAGTTCACCTGTTTCAGTGACCTCGGCATATGTGTTGTTGGCACTATGCCCAGCCGCCGCCTTTTCCCAGCGTGAGTCAGGTACAGAATAGGATGGATCAGCGATGCCTTACAGACACGTGACCGGAATTCGAACTCCGGACTTTCGGGTTAACCATCATACGCTTTACCATTCGACCACGTGTCCACTAGCTGTTCATGATTTTTTAAAAAAAATATTTATATAATGTTACAAAAATTGCTAAAATAAATCATGTTGTAATTGGTAAAATTATACACATCAAAATACCTTCAAGTTGAATGCTTAAACAAAGTTAATTTGGTAAAAGACGATGTTTTAGATAAGGAGTACAAAATATTAGCACATAAACATTAAACTCATTAAAAGACGGATCACCCTTGCATTCTTCTATTTTGAAACATTGTTTGTCATTTACTTCAGCATGTGATTGGTGGTATGTCCGACATGTCAATAAGAAAAACATTCAGGCAGTTATTCCATTATCCCTAATCCTAAAGTGATTGAGGATAGTTGACCAAACGCTACTGTTTACAATCGTTCCATTTGGCGTTTTCTTAACGATACAATCCTAGTAGATCCGTACATTAGCAGACGTTGAAGAACACCCTTGGAGGAGCAGACGGTAAATCAACATTTTGTTCATAGTCCTTCTACCCCAGTGGCGTAGCGAGGTCGGGTGTCACCCGGTGCGGCGCTTAATGGTGTCACCCCCCAGAGGCGTAGCGACCCTTCCCGGGGACAAACTTTCAATTTTCGATTTGCAACCCCCTCAAACTTTCGATTAGCACCCCCCCCCCCTCAAACTTTCGATTTTCACCCCCCCCCCCCTCCTCAATCTTTCGATTTGCACCCCCACCCTCAAACTTTCGATTTGCACCTCTTAAAAGACTATTTAACACTCGAATTAATCACTTAATTAAGTGGAATTACCATTTTTCTCTATATATTTTCTATTTTTTGCCTTGGTGTCACCCCCCTAAATGGTGCCACCCGGTGCGGTCCGCACCCCCGCCCCCCCCCCACCCCTCGCTACGCCTCTGTTCTACCCTCATATTTTGTTCACAGATTAGTGGCGACACTGCACACCAATTGAACGTGTATTGGACCCTATTAGAGTTCGTTGTGGAACTGTCCAGCCACGCTTGTGTTGTCCTCTATTAGAGTTAGTGGCGGCACTGCCCACCTAGACCTGTATCACCGCTCACAGTATCGACACTGCCCACCTAGACCTGTATCACAGCTCACAGTATCGACACTGCCCACCTAGACCTGTATCACAGCTCACAGTATCGACACTGCCCACCTAGACCTGTATCACAGCTCACATTATCGACACTGCCCACCTGGACCTGTATCACAGCTCACAGTATCGACACTGCCCACCTGTATTGTCCCCTGACCCAGGCGCTAGGTGCTGGCTATGTGTTGACTCGCCCGCCCTCCCCGCCTGCCAGTGTTGAGTTCTCACCGCCTGTTTCAGCAGCGAGGTCGTTTTCAAGTTCGCAGAAGGCTGAGAAAGGCTGGCACTAACGGCTGATAAAATGTCTTCGTCAGCTGATGAGATTCTGGGCGGGATCTTGAAGCTGCACGAGTTAGCCGTAGTCCGGCTGATGTCGTTGGCCGTAGTCCGGCTGACGTCATTGGCCGTAGTCCGGCTGATGTCGTTGGCCGTAGTCCGGCTGATGTCGTTGGCCGTAGTCCGGCTAATGTCGTTGGCCGTAGTCCGGCTAATGTCGTTGGCCGTAGTCCGGCTGATGTCGTTGGCCGTAGTCCGGCTGATGTCGTTGGCCGTAGTCCGGCTAATGTCGTTGGCCGTAGTCCGGCTGATGTCGTTGGCCGTAGTCCGGCTGATGTCGTTGGCCGTAGTCCGGCTGATGTCGTTGGCCGTAGTCCGGCTAATGTCGTTGGCCGTAGTCCGGCTGATGTCTTTGGCCGTAGTCCGGCTAATGTCGTTGGCCGTAGTCCGGCTGATGTCGTTGGCCGTAGTCCGGCTGATGTCGTTTGCCGTATCGCTGGACACAGACATGGTCCGCAACCTGTACAGTTCCTTTCTGTGAGAGTCCTTGTGCCGGCCCGTGGGACACGGCTTAGCCACGGAGTTCCCCAGCACCGTGGAGTGGCTCCGTCGGTACGACGAATGGAAGTGGTTGCAGGACTTGTTCATGGCAGACATTTCCGTACGTCTGCTGCGGTGCCGGTGCCACGCCCTCCTCAGTTCACCGTGAACCTTTGTGAAAAATGTAGACAACGCTCATTAGCTGCTAATGATATGGCTAATTAAAGTTCTAGTTGAGCTTTACTTAAATCCCCATGGTTTTAGCTACAGTTTATATGACTGCTATATAGATACAGCTATGGCGTTCGAGTGTTTGCTATGTACACCATTTAAATAAAAATACCTAATAAGAATGAGGCCTGTACATTTTCTGGGGTCATCGACCATAAGAAAAAGGAATGGCCAGGTTGATGAGATGACAAGATTCGCTTCAGTGAATTCCTTGTGCACATTTGTTTTTAAAAGCAAATCACTTTGATACGCTGGGTGTCTCCATTTACTTATCATATTCATTAATTTGTGCTGACCACAGTATCCCTTCACATGCAGAGGTCACAGAAAAATAAGTGAACTCTACTTCACTTGCACCATGGACCGTAAGGTTTGAAAAGGGAACGAAAACTGTTTTTTTTTTACTACTCTTTAGTTTAAAGCAACTTGATCTTTTTTTTTTATTAAGCTTAATTACCTCTTCATTGAGGAAGCAGAAGAGCAGGGCCAGTAGAAAGCCCTGAAAGGAGTTGTATCCCATTTCCAGATAGAGGTAAGCCACGTTGAAGTCCGACTCCTCAAAGTTGGACGGGATGGCTACGTAGAAGACGATGTACATGATGCCGAAGAGTGGGATCAGAACAAGGATAAATTTGGCCAACTTCCTGTGGACCAATCAGAAACAGTTTTACACACGCCAGCTTCATAGGGACAAATCAGAAACAGTTTTACACACGCCAGCTTCATAGGGACAAATCAGAAACAGTTTGACACACGCCTGCTTCATAGGGATCAATCAGAAACAGTTTGACACACGCCTGCTTCATAGGGACAAATCAGAAACAGTTTGACACACGCCTGCTTCATAGGGATCAATCAGAAACAGTTTGACACACGCCTGCTTCATAGGGATCAATCAGAAACAGTTTGACACACGCCAGCTTCATAGGGACAAATCAGAAACAGTTTGACACACGCCTGCTTCATAGGGATCAATCAGAAACAGTTTGACACACGCCTGCTTCATAGGGATCAATCAGAAACAGTTTGACACACGCCTGCTTCATAGGGATCAATCAGAAACAGTTTGACACACGCCAGCTTCATAGGGACAAATCAGAAACAGTTTGACACACGCCTGCTTCATAGGGATCAATCAGAAACAGTTTGACACACGCCTGCTTCATAGGGATCAATCAGAAACAGTTTGACACACGCCAGCTTCATAGGGACAAATCAGAAACAGTTTGACACACGCCTGCTTCATAGGGATCAATCAGAAACAGTTTGACACACGCCTGCTTCATAGGGACCAATCAGAAACACGCTGCCACTGTGGGCGTTGTCAACATGAATGTGTTCATTGTGTTTACATGTGTGTTTACATTTGGTGGGTCATACACATCTGACATCACACTACTGAATCATGAAAGGCCTAGGCCAGGACAATCTGGGCATGTAACGGCATATCTAGTACAGGTGAATCTGGACACACGATGACCAATCTAGTCTAAACTAATTTGGATCAATGATATCCGATGTATCATTGGCTAATCTGGGAAAATGATGGTCGATTTAGTCTGGACGACCTGGGCAATGTATAGGTGCCAGTTCCACATTTTTTTCGTCTACATGATTAGAGACAATTTTTTTTTTTACTTATCTGACACTTTGGAGCCGATGAATTCTTTAGAAGTAAAAAAGTAACCTTATTTATTTGCCTTTTATGCTATAAACGTTTTGCCTCCCACACAATAGTGTTTAAATTTGTTCTATCCCCCCCCCCCCCGCCACAGTTGTAAAGACCACCCCCTCCCCCATACCGCCCCGCAGGCCGATGATCTTTAACTCCGCCAGTATCGTACAGACTAACGTAACGATTCCACCCCACTCCCACGCTAGTACCACGCCAGTATCACTCTTGCCCCCACTATTTCCCCTACTTCTTCTCTCTGACCAGAGTCAATGGCCCTCCTGCCAGTGAGAGAGCCGAGCCTGCAGGCTCTGATTAGCGCCGCAATGTCTGCCGACAGTCAGGACGACCCGTCAAGTAGTTGTATTGATTCCCTGGCGCTAATTACCGACACCTCTGGAGCAGCTCTAGGTTTTCTCTGGCAGGAGAGTCATTGCGTCACCAGGACAGGAAACTCTCTGAGTTCAACTCAGCTTATTTACGTGGCGGGCATTTGGTACTTTGTGATATAAATGTGACTTTAGGAGCTGTAATAGCGCTTGGCTTGGTGGTTCGAATGACGTTGCATTTCAGCAAACCGGATTAGCACATAAGTTTCTTAACTTAAATTTGAACGTTAATTTATTTTACTTTAGTTCTTGGTTGTCTTCAAATAACGAATAATTAACTTGTTTCCCGTCCCGTAAAAAATTGACCGCCCCCCCCCCACCCTCTACCTCCCACAAGAAATAAATTGTCCACCAATTACGAGGCAGAAGCCCGAGTAAAACTTACCGATATTTGGCCTTTCCGCTGGCTCCCAAATGGGAACTGTGACGTAGTTTTAAAAACAACTTCCGGAAAATATTCAGGAAAAGAAAGAAATTTATCTGTTGATATAAGATGTTTTTATCAGACGTCATGATAAAAACTTTAGGTCAACGTAAAATTAACTCATACATTCTACATCTGGGTAAAAATGTAGGCTCTTATGGATCGGCACATATAATAAAACCTGAAGAAGGTAGTTGTGCTTTAAAATTTAACAAAACAATCTTGCCACCAAAAACTAACGACAACAAAACCACACTTTTTCATTTACCAACACAGCAATACCAGTAACAAATTACTGATGATGCACCTACAAAACACCATCATCATCAAAATACCACTGCCCACTTACCACCATAAACAAAACACCACTGCCCACATATCACCATAAACACAACACCACTGCCCACTTACCACCATAAACAAAACACCACTACCCACATATCACCATAAACACAACACCACTGCCCACTTACCACCATAAACAAAACACCACTGCCCACATATCACCATAAACACAACACCACTGCCCACTTACCACCATAAACAAAACACCACTACCCACATATCACCATAAACACAACACCACTGGCCACTTACCACCATAAACACAACGCCACTGGCCACTTACCACCATAAACACAACACAACTGCCCCACCATGAACACAACGCCACTGGCCACTTACCACCATAAACACAACACCACTGCCCAATTACCACCACAAACACAACACTTACCACTACAACACCGACCCCCGAGCCACGTAAAATCCAATAATAATCCGGGTTGTGTTGGATGTTCCAGCAACTGTAAGAATGACAAGACAGGTCTTTGTGTATAGACATTTGGCAGACATAATGGGCAGACTTCAGGCAGAAACGAGCATTAGGCAGACTTCAGGCATTCACAGATATTAGACAAAAAGACACTTGGCAGAAACAAACATTAATAACAGATACATACATTAGGCAGACAAACTTCCAGACTATATGTTAAAAAAACAACTTACAATGTATTTTCATACAACACAAAATCTCAGACTATATGTTAAAAAAAAAACTTAAAATTTATTATCTACAACACAAACTCAGACTATATGTTAAAAAAAAAAACTTACAATGTGTTTTCATACAAGGCCTTGACCAGTACCCATGGGACAATGAACACAAACGACAGTGCTAAAAATAGAAAATATTATTTTATTGTCCAGCAGCATGTAGCTTACACCAGCCCAGCACCACTTACACCAGCCCAGCACCACTTACACCAGCCCAGCACCACTTACACCAGCCCAGCACCACTTACACCAGCCCAGCACCACTTACACCAGCCCAGCACCACTTACACCAGCCCAGCACCACTTACACCAGCCCAGCACCACTTACACCAGCCCAGCACCACTTACACCAGCCCAGCACCACTTACACCAGCCCAGCACCACTTACACCAGCCCAGCACCACTTACACCAGCCCAGCACCACTTACACCAGCCCAGCACCACTTACACCAGCCCAGCACCACTTACACCAGCCCAGCACCACTTACACCAGCCCAGCACCACTTACACCAGCCCAGCACCACTTACACCAGCCCAGCACCACTTACACCAGCCCAGCACCACTTACACCAGCCCAGCACCACTTACACCAGCCCAGCACCACTTACACCAGCCCAGCACCACTTACACCAGCCCAGCACCACTTACACCAGCCCAGCACCACTTACACCAGCCCAGCACCACTTACACCAGCCCAGCACCACTTACACCAGCCCAGCCCAGCACCACTTACACCAGCCCAGCACCACCTACACCAGCCCAGCACCACTTACACCAGCCCAGCACCACTTACACCAGCACCACTTACACCAGCCCAGCCCAGCAACACTTACACCAGCCCAGCACCACTTACACCAGCCCAGCACCACTTACACCAGCCCAGCACCACTTACACCAGCCCAGCACCACTTACACCAGCCCAGCACCACTTACACCAGCCCAGCACCACTTACACCAGCCCAGCACCACTTACACCAGCCCAGCACCACTTACACCAGCCCAGCTCCACTTACACCAGCACCACTTACACCAGCACCACTTACACCAGCCCAGCACCACTTACACCAGCCCAGCACCACTTACACCAGCCAAGCCCAGCACCACTTACACCAGCCCAGCACCCAGCACCACTTACACCAGCCCAGCACCACTTACACCAGCCCAGCACCACTTACACCAGCCCAGCACCACTTACACCAGCCCAGCACCACTTACACCAGCCCAGCACCACTTACACCAGCCAAGCCCAGCACCACTTACACCAGCCCAGCACCCAGCCCACTTACACCAGCCCAGCACCACTTACACCAGCCCAGCAACACTTACACCAGCCCAGCACCACTTACACCAGCCCAGCACCACTTACACCAGCCCAGCACCACTTACACCAGCACCACTTACACCAGCCCAGCACCACTTACACCAGCCCAGCACCACTTACACCAGCCCAGCACCCAGCCCACTTACACCAGCCCAGCACCATTTACACCAGCCCAGCAACACTTACACCAGCCCAGCACCACTTACACCAGCCCAGCACCACTTACACCAGCCCAGCACCACTTACACCAGCCCAGCACCCAGCACCACTTACACCAGCCCAGCACCACTTACACCAGCCCAGCACCACTTACACCAGCCCAGCACCACTTACACCAGCCCAGCACCACTTACACCAGCCCAGCACCACTTACACCAGCCAAGCCCAGCACCACTTACACCAGCCCAGCACCCAGCCCACTTACACCAGCCCAGCACCACTTACACCAGCCCAGCAACACTTACACCAGCCCAGCACCACTTACACCAGCCCAGCACCACTTACACCAGCCCAGCACCACTTACACCAGCCCACTTACACCAGCCCAGCACCACTTACACCAGCCCAGCACCACTTACACCAGCACCACTTACACCAGCCCAGCACCACTTACACCAGCCCAGCACCACTTACACCAGCCCAGCACCACTTACACCAGCCCAGCACCCAGCCCACTTACACCAGCCCAGCACCATTTACACCAGCCCAGCAACACTTACACCAGCCCAGCACCACTTACACCAGCCCAGCACCACTTACACCAGCCCAGCACCACTTACACCAGCCCACTTACACCAGCCCAGCACCACTTACACCAGCCCAGCACCACTTACACCAGCACCACTTACACCAGCCCAGCCCAGCAACACTTACACCAGCCCAGCACCACTTACACCAGCCCAGCACCACTTACACCAGCCCAGTACCACTTACACCAGCCCAGCTCCACTTACACCAGCACCACTTACACCAGCACCACTTACACTAGCCCAGCACCACTTACACCAGCCCAGCACCAGTTACACCAGCCCAGCACCACTTACACCAGCCCAGCACCACTTACACCAGCCCAGCACCACCTACACCACTTACACCAGCCCAGCACCACTTACACCAGCCCAGCACCACTTACACCAGCCCAGCACCACTTACACCAGCCCAGCACCACTTACACCAGCCCAGCACCACTTACACCAGCCCAGCACCACTTACACCAGCCCAGCACCACTTACACCAGCCCAGCACCACCTACACCAGCCCAGCACCACTTACACCAGCCCAGCACCACTTACACCAGCCCACTTACACCAGCCCAGCACCACTTACACCAGCCCAGCACCACTTACACCAGCCCAGCACCCAGCACCACTTACACCAGCCCAGCACCACTTACACCAGCCCAGCACCACCTACACCAGCCCAGCACCACTTACACCAGCCCAGCACCACTTACACCAGCCCACTTACACCAGCCCAGCACCACTTACACCAGCCCAGCACCACTTACACCAGCCCAGCACCCAGCACCACTTACACCAGCCCAGCAACACTTAAACCAGCCCAGCACCACTTACACCAGCCCAGCACCACTTACACCAGCCCAGCACCACTTACACCAGCCCACTTACACCAGCCCAGCACCACTTACACCAGCCCAGCACCACTTACACCAGCCCAGCACCACTTACACCAGCCCAGCACCACTTACACCAGCCCAGCACCACTTACACCAGCACCACTTACACCAGCCCAGCACCACTTACACCAGCCCAGCACCACTTACACCAGCCCAGCAGGATGTAGAGCCGCACCCCCCTCCTCTCAGTGGTCAGCGGCTTGTAGACGAGCATGGTGAGGTAGAGAGCCTCAGCGAAGATCCACATGTTGCAGGCGTTCACGCTGTACATGAACACGCTGATCACCAGCTTACACTCCCAATGCTGGGGGGGGGGGAATGGTGGAGGTTAGTTTAAACATTGTGGGGTGGGGTGGAAAATATGTATTTTTACTTTCTCGTATATACGAAGTGTAGAGAAAAACATAATTTTGCAATCTTGTCCGTATGTCTGTGTGTATGTCTGTAAACACGATAACTTGAGTACCGTTACAGCTATGTTGATGAAATTTCATATATAAGTATTTTATCAAAATCGTAGATCCTTATAACCTTTTGAGCGATTTCCGATAACCGGAAGTGGTACTTTTTCTACTTTGAATTTTTCAAAAGCCTATAACTTAAGTACTATTTCAGATAGATACATGAAATTTAACATGTGAGTAAAAGATCTAATTCTCTACCTTTTGTCAAATTTTGAGTAATTTCCGTTCACCGGAAGTACTAATTTACGCTATTTGCGATTTCCCAAAATCTAATGTAAATTTATAAAGTACTAATAATATTCCGCACTATTATGCACATTTTATTTGGCGTTCACTGGTGTGCAATTATTTTTTCTACGAGATTTTATTCTATTTTAAAAAGTTTAAGTATTTAACATGGATTAAAATTCATGTCTATATCCCGAGTTCCCATCCCCTGTTTTTTTATATAAGAATATTCGAGAAAGTTTAGGGGAGATCACTCCCGGTTTACTAATATTGTTAGATCCCCAGAAAATTCACACTTACCCAGGCCCTACCAGACCCCTCACACTTACCGAGGCGTCGTGTAGGAACTCCAGTATCCCGTCGGCCCCTCGTCGGACATCTTTCTCCAGACCGACGTTGCCGACGAAGAGAATGTCCTTGAGAAAGGAGATGACGGCTCGCAGGATGAAGGTCAGGAACAAGTTGATGTGCAGCGTGTTGCTCTTAGAGTGCAGTCTTCTGACAGGAAGACAGAACTACGTGAACTTTGACCTTTTGAACCCGACAGTCCTACTGTTATACCCAGATTATCCTAATCCCCTTAACATTTTAGAGCAACCCCACAGCCCCCTCCATTCTTGGTGTTATACATATGAAAAAAAACAACCGAAGTCTGACGAAATATACTCTTTTTTTTTTTTAATTTAAATAGAATGTTCGTGAAATTTCATTCCTCACGGAAGTCTATTATTGTAGACGAGCCGACCCGCAGCGTATCATACGCCGCTATTTAGTTGTTTTATTTTCTACTTTTCAGTAATTCATAATTTGTAAATTCGACAGTACCAATGCTGCCACTGAAAATATTTGCTTTAAAACACTAAACCCCCCTCCCCCCCCCCCCCCCCACGTGAAAGCAGCCTCCTCTTAGTTCCCTCCTCTAAGTTTAAAATCGTTTCAAACTAAATTATCTGCCCCTAATAGCCGTCACCAAACCCGTCTCTATGATTGTAAAATGTAAACAGCGTGAACCACAGCTCATCAGACCATGTGAGGGGGTGGGGGGGGGGGGGGTGGTAGCGATAGAGAGGAAGAGAGGGGACTGTAAGGCGCGCTTGCAGCTTGTTTTCTAACGGCTCCCAGAAGAGGATTATATATATAGATAGATTATACAGCCCTAAGAATTCTTTACGTGGAAACTTTGTTGTTGCTTTGTGTGATTAAGTTGTGGTGTGTGTGTGTGTGTGAGTGTTGGGGTGAAGTTGTCGCAAGCTTCATATCCGCGACTTAAGTTTGCTATTTTGTGTTTGAAGTTTTATATAGTAATATTTGCACTACTTGAAATAAACATTAGAGTTATAGTACTTTAGCCGTAACTCATATCATTCATTTCAAACCTAAAATAGCTCCAAAATGACTTGTAATCCCTCGCCAGTAAAAGCAAATAAAATTAAGTGCTACGGATTAAACTGTTGCAGAATTAGGTCATGCATGCTATTTTGATCAGATCACGTGACGCAAACATGGGACAGTTTAAAAATAAACAGTTTTGTTTATGAGCAAATGGCGCTGTCAGAAGTGGGGATGGGGGTGGGAGTGAAATGGAGAGGATCGCCTTGTTGGCGCTTGAAGTATTTCAGCAAATGTACTCGTCTTATGTGACACACCGCACACGAACACAACCGGAAGTGGGTAACGACGGAAGCCGTTGTGCGTACGTCGAGTCGAGGAAACGGGAATTAAGACCCGCCCGTCATTCGGCGATAGTGACACACACAGCCGGAAACCCGGAAGAGGAGGCGTGGTCGTAGATTTTAGACCAGGGCATATGCCCGACGGAGTGAGGCAGTGCACGGTTTTGGATCGTGGGGTAACTGAAAAAGCTCAACATTTTAATAGTGCCAAAATTAGCCATGACAAGGCTCTAATACCCCCCCCCCCCAAAAAAAAAAATAATTGGGGGGCGGCAGGCCTTGCGCCAAATTTAGATTGGAATTCAAGCCAAATTTAGCATCCGGGTGCAGTAAGCTGGATGAAGTTTGGCCTCTGTAAGAAATGTTGGGGCTCTATTGATTTGTACTTACAGCCAAACACGATTAGGCCGGAGCAAATGATTTCTACATTTTTATAATATACTTGAATGCTATGTTAAACAAAATGTTCGATTTGGTGGCTATGATTTGGGCTAAAAATGTATTTTAAAAAGTTATTTCTAACGAACAAAAATAGCTGCATATACAAATTCTGACCCCAGCAGAATCTTCTGGCTAACTACAAAGTAACATAAGCACAAAAGATCATTACAACTTGCAACAGATCATCACAACTTGCAACAGATCATCACAACTTACTTGCAAAAGATCATCACAACTTACTTACAACAGATCACCACAACTTACAACAGATCACCACAACTTACTTGCAACAGATCACCACAACTTACTTACAACAGATCATCACAACTTACTTACAACAGATCATCACAACTTACAACAGATCACCACAACTTACAACAGATCATCACAACTTACTTGCAAAAGATCATCACAACTTACTTACAACAGATCACCACAACTTACAACAGATCATCACAACTTACTTGCAAAAGATCATCACAACTTACTTACAACAGATCACCACAACTTACAACAGATCACCACAACTTACAACAGATCATCACAACTTACTTGCAAAAGATCATCACAACTTACTTACAACAGATCACACAACTTACAACAGAGCACCACAACTTACTTGCAACAGAGCATGATGACGACAGCCACGACGAGTGCACCCAGTGAGATGCTGTAGCCGATGGTGTACAGAAGGCGGATTTTGTCTCCGTGGGCCTGAAACATGACGTCATACTGGTCACTTAGTGGTCATTGCTCAAGTTTTGTTGAGTGATCAGGTGAATTAATAATCAAGTTGGCTTATTTATAAAACTGTTAGTCCTTTCAGATTCATAAGCCACACGGATAAGTTAATCTAAGTCGCGTGTCTTGAAGTCAAAGACAAAACTACAAAATATCAAAATATATGTTTTAATATCGCAGAACCTGGTGTTTGCTCATAGGGCAACAGGTACTAGATGGTAAAGCTACAGAACAAAGTTTGGATTATTTTAAATAGTGGATTTTTTCACCAAGCAACTTTCTGCTTGTTCCTGCAACTTGTTCCTGCAACCTCTACCTGCTACTTGTTGCTGCGACTTCTACCTGCGATTTGTTTGTGCAACTTATTTTTTTCAACTTCTCCCTGTAACTCACCGCGTGAAAGCTGAGGTCTATGGAAGGTTTGACACAGTCGCTGTAGTTGGTCCACTCCCTGTTCAGGACGGGGTCAGGGTTCACCCACCACGTGCCGTTTTCCGTGCATGTTTTCGTCGCGAATTCTAGAGCCAAACAAATTCAGAGACATTCTAAACATCTACTACAACAAAGCTTAAATAATGGTTTCAATTTTTTTTAAATATGATTTTATAAAACACTAGCCGTCCAGGCCAGGGCCTGCTCTGGCTTCTGTGAAAAACCTTTCTGTTAAAGACCATTACCTGTGTGTTTAGTAATCATCATAAACCCGGCATTGCCCACCCAAACCACAACCAACCAAAACAACAAAACGCAAACATAACGCTAACACAATTACAAATACAAACGAAAACAAAAACCTAACAACAAACCCAACCACAACCACAAACACCAATACAAACACAAAGAAAAAACAAACAAAAAAGCAAACGAAAACAAAAACCTAACAACAAACCCAACCACAAACACCAATACCAACAAAAAAAAAAAAAACAACGAAAAAGCAAACGAAAACAAACCAAATCCAAACGCAAAACCAACCAAAAACACAAATACAAACCCAAACAAAAAAACACAAACAAAAACGAAAAAAGAAAGAACAAAAACGAACCAAATCAAAACGCAACCACTAACGCAAACCCACCTAAACACAAAGAAAACACTAACGCGAACATAAACGCCCGGGGCGGAATCACCTGTTTTAGCTTAATGAACGACTATAGTACCCCATCTTATTCATAGTCTTTTGCACTCACTTAAACGAACGCGCCTGTTTCAATTTGATGAACAATTATAATACTCCAAGCTTATCCGTAAAATACCTACAGCATTTGCACTTGATCAATCCCCGCTAATTATGCAATTATTTTTTTTTTCCCAACACCAAAAACAAAGTAATTAAAAAGTAAATTCTTTTCCACAAAATGCAATGGTTTTATAAAGGGAAGTAATTGTGTTTTCCTAATTTATCAAAGGGAAGTAAGTGCTATAGGACTAAATAAAGACATAATTAGAATTGTTGTAAAAGATGATATTTTTTTAAAACTTGTGTTTAATGAACATGCCGACAATTATTACTGTAATTTGAAAAATGAAAATTATTTCCCAACACTTTCAATAGTAATTTATTAACTCATAAATTTAGACAATGCGCACGATAATTGTCTAACACTTAAATCCATCCAAGACCAACGACAAACATGCGTTACATACAGAACTGAGCATTATATATTAGACAAGTTTAAGATGCACTAAAACAAAGAATTTTAACATTTTTCTTTTGCATTAATTGGGAAGTGGTCGCTATTGAAATATCTTTTGAAATAATGTAACTGTACACTTAGTTGCCTCGCGTAAATATAAATTGCGTAAGAGTGACCTCCCTTGCAGATGATGTTTGAAGCTTATCCCTAACTGAAGTCTGCGATTTGAAATTTTTTAGTTTCTAATATTATGTGATAAGTCTCCTAAATAGCATTTATTATGACAGTAATATTTTAACGCTAAAAGAAAATTGACCATCAATTGACCAACCTCGAACTTTTTGAGCATTCTCACAAAAACAAAAGTGGCGAGGCTTATGACCCACTTCGCTTGTCAGCTGACGGAAATAAATCTGTGGATTTTCCCGATTCCTAGCCAAGTTATTTTCGTCGCGGTCCTTTTTCTACCGCGATAAGGAAATCTTCAGACGACCGTCTATCAACGCTCCCCCATTTTCCCGCCATTTTCTCCCATTATTAACCCCATCACCACTGTAGAGGTGACCAACTCTGGAGACAGGAATTAGTTGTGATCGATGCGTCTGTTTTAACGTTAGCAAAAAAATAATAATTTTAAAGAGAGAAATTTCTTTTGATCGATATGTTGGTTTTAAGGTCGGCACAAATATTTTTTTTTACCTGTTACAATGGAATCAGTGAATTTGTTGATAGTTATGTTTTTAAATGTGCTAACTTTAAAAAAAAAACTTTATTTCTTTTAACTATATAACATTGTTTAAGTTGTCAGTATTAGGGTAAATAAGGGATTTGTCACATTTAAATTATTGGCACTGAGCCAGTTAAAATACATCCTGGCATCCGGTAAAGACAATCGATTTAGTTAGACCCCCCCCCCCCCCCTTGCCCTGATAAAGTTACGTTGTTTAAAATTGCCGCCTGAAGCGTACAACCCCTTCCTCTTTAGGCCACCCCAGTTGTCACCTTGTGCGTACAACCCCTTCCTCTCCCACCCACCCCCACCCTTTCCAACCCCAGTTGTCAGGTGGACGTACAGACCAAACAGTACTCAGCTAGAGTATGCTTAGCTGACGTCGGTAAACTGACACACATCAAACATTTCAACATCCACGTCCAACATCCACGTCCAACATAGACGTCCAACATCCACGTCCAACATCTACGTCGAATATCCACGTCCAACATAGACGTCCAACATCCACGTCCAACATCCACGTACATCATACACGTCCAACACACACGTCCAAAATACACATCCGACATCCACGTCCAACACACACGTCCAACATCCACGTCCAACAATGACGTCCGACCCACCGTTCTTGTTGAAGCCGTTGACGTAGTTGGGGCAGGGCTGGGAGACTGTACGTCCTGCAGGGGTGACGTCCCAACACAACATATCGTCCCACGTGACACGACACACGCCGCCATCTTTGGAGGAGTCTGGAATGTAAAGGTGTCCCTAATATGGTGTGTCTGGTATTGGAAGGTGTCTTTGGTGTGTCTGGTATTGGAAGGTGTCTTTGGTGTGTCTGGTATTGGAAGGTGTCTTTGGTGTGTCTGGTATTGGAATGTGTCTTTGAGATGGTGTATCTGGAATTAGATGGTGTGTCTGGTATTGGAAGGTGTCTTTGAGATGGTGTGTCTGGTATTGGAAGGTGTCTTTGAGATGGTGTGTCTGGTATTGGAAGGTGTCTTTGGTGTGTCTGGTATTGGAAGGTGTCTTTGGTGTGTCTGGCATTGGAAGGTGTCTTTGGTGTGTCTGGTATTGGAAGGTGTCTTTGGTGTGTCTGGTATTGGAAGGTGTCTTTGGTGTGTCTGGTATTGGAAGGTGTCTTTGGTGTGTCTGTAATTGGAAGGTGTCCTTAAGATTGTGTGTTGCTTTATGTCTCGGAGACCTGGAAAGTAACCAAGTCAAATTCCAGAAGATTCCACTCGTTCACAAATACACGTCTGATAGTGTACGTCAAATCCTTCAGATAAGATGGCCAGATAAATAACCAAGAACGACCTATGGCAAACCAAAAGCAACAGCCGACTGACAGGGATATTAAATCCCACAAATTAGGATGGATGGGGCGCACACTGAGAAGGTACAGGTCAACTAGTGTAGTAGCCTGCTGCTAGTATAAGCTAGTCAGCATTCAACAGCTTCACGTAGCCTTAACTCTGTTAGCTAGTCAGACCTGAATTCACCCGAATAGCCCGTACTGTTATTCGCCCCTCAATAATCTGCACTCTAGTCACCACAATCAAGCTAGCCGTCGATCAACAGCTCTTCAGCAGATCAATCGAGGAGTTAACTTTCTCATTTGTTCCAGCCGGTCTGCCGGCTCTCAACACGGAGGTTGTGGCTGGAGGCCGGCACGGCAATCTGACAACTAATGGGGTCGTGTGGGTAACACGGCTGTTGTTTGGGGTCGTGTGGGGAACACGGCTGTTGTTGAACTCTTCGTTTAACAGCGTCGGGTTAACTGTGTGTTTAACGGTGACATTTCAAACGTGACTGTTTAACAATGTCTTTTAAACCCTGACTGTTTAACCGTAACTATTTAACCGTGACTGTTCAACCGCGATGATTTAACCATGATTATTTAACCTTGATTGTTTCACCGTGACTGTTGAACCGTGACTGTTTCACCGTGACTGTTAAAAATATTTCCAGGTGTGTGCTTCCTTGAGGAAGATGAGTTATTTTTAATGCCTGATAAATATTTGTCAAAGACTGACCCCACCCCAATAATTACAATGTGACGCCACGACCAGGCGACTATCAAGTACAACAATCAAAAGGTCAAGGTTGTGCTGGTTATCGAACACACTACCCACGGGGAGTTAATCTCTGCCTAAGGGGAGTAACTCTGGGGATTAAATCTCAGTCCAAGGGGGAGTAACTCTGTGAATAATTAAGGAGAGTATATCTTACAAAAACAACCGTCTCTTGTGGTATTCCAGTACAAGTCCACACAACATTAGCGTTGATCAAGGACCTATTGAATCAGTTACACGAAGGAATTAAATAACTCACTGTTAATGGTTAATTAAAAGTAATTAGTCTAATCAAAGCAGCACAATATTTTGGTGGTGTGTCTTAGGGGAGGTGATGCGTCGATCGGCAATCGGAGTCATTAGACATATGCGGCTATTGGAGTCATCAACTTGCCGGCATTAGACATATGCGGCAATCGGAGTCATCAACTTGCCGGCATTAGACATATGCGGCAATCGGAGTCATCAACTTGCCGGCATTAGACATATGCGGCAATCGGAGTCATCAACTTGCCGGCATTAGACATATGCGGCAATCGGAGTCATCAACTTGCCGGCATTAGACATATGCGGCAATCGGAGTCATCAACTTGCCGGCATTAGACAAATACTTTGATTGTATGTGACTGATGTTTGGGCTTTGATGGAATATGTATCTGTATGCGTGGGTAATGTATGCCCTTCGATGTGCTTGTGATTGAGTGTTGCGATTTTATTTTGTAAGAGAGTTGAAATATGTGTTTTGCCAGTCGCATATTATGATTTATATATTGTCCCATATGTTTTATATATTGTCCCAATGTCCTGCCCAATGTCCTGCCCAATGTCCTGCCCAATGTCCTGCCCAATGTCCTGCCCAATGTCCTGCCCAATGCCCTGCCCAATGTCCTGCCCAATGTCCTGTCCAATGTCCTGCCCAATGTCCTGCCCAATGTCCTCTACAATGTCCTGCCCAATGTCCTGCCCAATGTCCTGCCCAATGTCCTGTCCAATGTCCTGCCCAATGTCCTGCCCAATGTCCTCTACAATGTCCTGCCCAATGTCCTGTCCAATGTCCTGCCCAATGTCCTGCCCAATGTCCTCTACAATGTCCTGCCCAATGTCCTGCCCAATGTCCTGCCCAATGTCCTGTCCAATGTCCTGCCCAATGTCCTGCCCAATGTCCTCTACAATGTCCTGCCCAATGTCCTGCCCAATGTCCTGCCCAATGTCCTGCCCAATGTCCTGTCCAATGTCCTGTCCAATGTCCTGTCCAATGTCCTGCCCAATGTCCTCTACAATGTCCTGCCCAATGTCCTGCCCAATGTCCTGCCCAATGTCCTGCCCAATGTCCTGCCCAATGCCCTGCCCAATGTCCTGCCCAATGTCCTGCCCAATGTCCTGCCCAATGTCCTGCCCAATGTCCTGCCCAATGTCCTGCCCAATGTCCTGCCCAATGTCCTCTACAATGTCCTGCCCAATGTCCTGCCCAATGCCCTGCCCAATGCCCTGCCCAATGTCCTGCCCAATGTCCTCTACAATGTCCTGCCCAATGTCCTGCCCAATGTCCTGCCCAATGTCCTCTACAATGTCCTGTCCAATGTCCTGTCCAATGTCCTCTACAATGTCCTGCCCAATGTCCTGTCCAATGTCCTGCCCAATGTCCTGCCCAATGTCCTGCCCAATGTCCTGCCCAATGTCCTGCCCAATGTCCTGTCCAATGTCCTGCCCAATGTCCTCTACAATGTCCTGCCCAATGTCCTGCCCAATGCCCTGCCCAATGTCCTGCCCAATGTCCTGCCCAATGTCCTGCCCAATGTCCTCTACAATGTCCTGCCCAATGTCCTGCCCAATGTCCTGCCCAATGTCCTGCCCAATGTCCTCTACAATGTCCTGTCCAATGTCCTGTCCAATGTCCTCTACAATGTCCTGCCCAATGTCCTGCCCAATGTCCTGCCCAATGTCCTGCCCAATGTCCTGCCCAATGTCCTGCCCAATGTCCTGCCCAATGTCCTGCCCAATGCCCTGCCCAATGTCCTGCCCAATGTCCTGCCCAATGCCCTGCCCAATGTCCTGCCCAATGTCCTCTACAATGTCCTGCCCAATGTCCTGCCCAATGTCCTGCCCAATGTCCTGCCCAATGTCCTGCCCAATGTCCTGCCCAATGCCCTGCCCAATGTCCTGCCCAATGTCCTGTCCAATGTCCTGCCCAATGTCCTGCTCAATGCCCTGCCCAATGTCCTGCCCAATGTCCTGCCCAATGTCCTGCCCAATGTCCTGCCCAATGTCCTGTCCAATGTCCTGCCCAATGTCCTCTACAATGTCCTGCCCAATGTCCTGCCCAATGTCCTGCCCAATGTCCTGTCCAATGTCCTGCCCAATGTCCTGCCCAATGTCCTCTACAATGTCCTCTACAATGTCCTGCCCAATGTCCTGCCTATAACTGACCATTCTCCCGACTGAGACCCAACTTGAAACAGTTCTGTTTGGCCAACATGATCAGACGTCGCTGTTCCAGTGGCGACATCACAGACACCACCTGGGGAAGAAAAAAGTTTAACACGGGTTTAACACGGGTTTAACACTGGTTTAACATGGGCTTAACATGCGTTAAACATGCATTTACACAAAAGTTCAAAACAAGGTTAACACATGTTTTGCACAGGTTTAACACGGGTTTAACACAGGTTTAAAACAGGTTTAACACAAGAGAGGTTTTACTGTGTCTTATCTAGGGTATAAGTGCTTTAGCTGTAAAGAGGTATTAAAGTTTAGCATGGATAAACCGTGGTTAACATAAGAAGTTTAACCGTGTTGTGAGTGCGTATTATGGTCTTTAACAAGTTTAGATGCTGACACATCGATGCTGCTCATCAAAGATGTTTTTGTCTGTCTATCGAACACCAATACATCCCTGTCTGTTCTCCTCAGAATAAGAGGTAAGATATATATCTGTACAGACAACAGCATTTATATGGAGAAATCTTATATTCTGGTCTGGATTTGAACTCTATCCATATCACTATATTGCAAGTCCTACCTAACGATTTACTGATAACTTCAAATATGTTTTTTAAATAGTGAAGTGCCTAAATACGACATTGTGCTATTTTAAGATATCGATTTTTTAAGCTTTGTATTTGGGATTTGGGATTATAGATATCCCCATTGTCTCTCTCACAACTGGACGAGCTAAAGCCGAAAATTCTGGAATATTCCAATGATGAATCGTCGCCCACGAATCTTACAGTATTAATATTTTACAGGGTGATGTAAAGCCCGGGAGGCCGGCAATATTTCACCGTGTTACACTAAGCCCTTCAGTCAATATTTCACCGTGTTACACTAAGCCCTTCAGTCAATATTTCACCGTATTACACTAAGCCCTTCAGTCAATATTTCACCGTGTTACACTAAGCCCTTCAGTCAATATTTCACCGTGTTACACTAAGCCCTTCAGTCAACCAAGCTTGGAAACTTGATCACAGGAAGTATCATTTAGCCTCGAGAGTAGTGGAAACTTGATCACAGGAAGTATCATTTAGCCGCGAGAGTAGTGGAAACTTGATCACGGGAAGTATCATTTAGCGGCGAGAGTAGTCGGAACACACAATCTCGCTTACATCCCCGAACACAATCTCGCTTACCTCCCCGAACACAATCTCGCTTACCTCCCCGTGGAACACACAATCTCACTTACCTCCCCGAACACAATCTCGCTTACCTCCCGTGGAACACAATCTCGCTTACCTCCCGTGGAACACAATCTCGCTTAACTCCCCGAGAGAAAAGAAAAAAAAGAGTTGTTTCCCCTGATTGCACTTTCGTCCCTAATTTTTTGCTTCACTTTGTTAGGGGGTTTCAGCTTTACGGTTTTAGATAACTGGATAAATGTTGGGATTATCACGTGATCAATTGTGTAGCGAAACACGTGACCAAATCCGTACATGTATTTAACCTGTTGTATACTGTCCCAAGAGCAAAAATGGCCCCCCTCCCCAGCCCCACCCCCACCCCGCCTACCTCAGACCCACTTCAACATACATACATGTATGTAGTTACAAACATATTTAGAATTTGTGAGCAGGACATTACCCTTTGTCAACTACCCCCTCTGTATCCCCCCCCCCCCCCCCCCCACACACACACATTTCCAGTAGGACATTGCCCTGATGAGTATTACTGTTGACTCTAAACCCAAAAGGGATAGTGAGGTTGGCGACAGTGTTAGGGTTGGGGAAAGGTTAGAGGTTTCGATTAATTGTGTTAATTGATGTTGTGGATAAAAGTTGACAGTTTCCCTAGGAAATAATCTGTATGTAGAGCTATGTCGGGTTGAGCGATATGTTGACTATGTCAGGCCATCACTTTATAAAATGCCGAGTTTAGCCATATGTGTGGAGGCTAGTCTCAAAACAAAACCAATGCCAGTGAGGGATGCCGAGTTTAGCCATATGTGTGGAGGCTAGTCTCAAAACAAAACCAATGCCAGTGAGGGATGCCGAGTTTAGCCATATGTGTGGAGGCTAGTCTCAAAACAAAACCAATGCCAGTGAGGGATGCCGAGTTTAGCCATATGTGTGGAGGCTAGTCTCAAAACAAAACCAATGCCAGTGAGGGTTGCCGAGTTTAGCCATATGTGTGGAGGCTAGTCTCAAAACAAATCCAAATCCAATGAGAAATGGAGTGACGCGCCCTTGAACTCTAGTAGCAGACGATTGTGAGCTGTCACGGCTCGTTAGGACCCAATTAATTGTCTTCTGCTCATAGATCAGTTGCACGTGCACACGTCCATTGAGCAGGCTGACCAGTCAAACAGCAACACATCAATCTTGCACGCGCCGTCACACATATCAACACAAATCTCCCCCACAAATCCCCCATCTCTACCACAATTCTCCCCCCATCCCCCCATCACACAAAGCCATGTATCCTGTCTCCATGTCAACAACACAAATGAATGAGCCGCTGTATGATTGAATTAATACACTCACACGACAATCAAATATAACATTTAAGAAAAACCTGGAACTTCGTTACACTGTCCTCCCATAGCTCTTTGTTCAATCCTATATCTCTCTATCCTAATTGTTCAATCCCATATCTCTCTATCCTAATTGTTCAATCCCATATCTCTCTATCCTAATTGTTCAATCCTATATCTCTCTATCCTAATTGTTCAATCCCATATCTCTCTATCCTAATTGTTCAATCCCATATCTCTCTATCCTAATTGTTCAATCCCATATCTCTCTATCCTAATTGTTCAATCCTATATCTCTCTATCCTAATTGTTCAATCCTATATCTCTCTATCCTAATTGTTCAATCGCATATCTCTCTATCCTAATTGTTCAATCCCATATCTCTCTATCCTAATTGTTCAAACCCATATCTCTCTATCCTAATTGTTCAATCCCATATCTCTCTATCCTAATTGTTCAATCCCATATCTCTCTATCCTAATTGTTCAATCCCATATCTCTCTATCCTAATTGTTCAATCCCATATCTCTCTATCCTAATTGTTCAATCCTATATCTCTCTATCCTAATTGTTCAATCCCATATCTCTCTATCCTAATTGTTCAATCCCATATCTCTCTATCCTAATTGTTCAATCCCATATCTCTCTATCCTAATTGTTCAATCCCATATCTCTCTATCCTAATTGTTCAATCCTATATCTCTCTATCCTAATTGTTCAATCCCATATCTCTCTATCCTAATTGTTCAATCGCATATCTCTCTACCCTAATTGTTCAATCCTATATCTCTCTATCCTAATTGTTCAATCCCATATCTCTCTATCCTAATTGTTCAATCCCATATCTCTCTATCCTAATTGTTCAATCCTATATCTCTCTATCCTAATTGTTCAATCCCATATCTCTCTATCCTAATTGTTCAATCGCATATCTCTCTACCCTAATTGTTCAATCCTATATCTGCCCCCCTGAATTATTCAATCCCCCCTTACCCTAATTGTTCAAGCCAAAATGCGAGGCAGCCTCACCATCTTGTAGCTGAGTAAGGCGTTAAAGTCGCACCACATTTGGCCTGATTTGATCAAGCATCTATTAACTTGTTCCGTTTTGACAAGGTAAATTTGTCATATCACGTGACTAGCGTGACGTCACTACGTCTGCTTCGAGCAAATAAATCGGGTTTTTTGTGTGTGTTTACAAACAAGATGGCGTCAGTGTGTTGAATCACGGGATGGAACTGTTCTAGCTTCATTCGAGGGGAGGGAACGTTAATGTGAAATAGCTTAAGTCAAGGGGAGGGAACTTTAATGGGATATAGCTTAAGTCTAGGGAAGAAAAATTTAATGTGAAATAGCTTAAGTCGAGGGGAGGGAACTTTAATGTGAAATAGCTTTAGTCAAGGGGAGGGAACTTTAATGTGATATAGCTTAAGTCTAGGGGAGAAAAATTTAATGTGAAATAGCTTAAGTCGAGGGGAGGGAACTTTAATGTGATGTAGCTTAAGTCAAGGGGAGGGAACTTTAATGTGATCTAGCTTAAGTCAAGGGGAGGAAAATTTAATGTGAAATTGCTTAAGTCAAGGGGAGGGAACTTAAATGTGAAAAAGCTTAAGTCATGGGGAAAGAACTGTTGTGTGTTCTAGCAACCCCATAACGCTGACTGTCGTGAAAACGCGACGTACCGAATTCGTCATGGGGAGTGGGGACTAATGTTTTATGGGTTAATTTAAGGGGAAGAAGCTGTAATATGGTATAGGTAAAGTCTAAGGGGACTCAGAAATATTTGAATCGTCTTCCTAAAGAGATGTTTCTTTCCGTGCGGCGTCAATTCGGCCAATGACGAAACGGCCCCGTCAAAACGACCCCGACAAAACGACCCCGTCAAAACGACCCCGTCAAATCGGCCCCGTCAAAAGGGCCAGCGACATATGGACCCCGTCATATAGGCTCCCGACAAATAGGCTCCCGTCATTTAGGCTACCGACAAATAGGCTCCCGTTATATAGGCTCCCGACAAAAGGGCTCCAGTCAATAAGGCTCCTGACAAATAGGCTCCCGTCATTTTGGCTCCCGACATATAGTCTCCCGTCATTTAGTTTTTTCCACAAAACGGCCCCCGTCATTACGACTCCCGACAAATAGGCTCCCGCCATTTAGTTTCTCCACAAAACGGCCCCCGTCATTACGACTCCCGACAAATAGGCTAGCGTCATTTTGGCTCCCGACAAAAAGACTCCTGTCAATTTGGCTCCAGACAAAAGGACCACTGACACAGTGGCGTAGCTACCGTAAAGCTAGCGTAAGCAAGGCATGGGGGCTCAAGGCACATAGGGGCCCTTTTCCCTCATAAAAAATTAAAACTTTTACAATGGAATTTTAATATTTGTTACATATAAATAATTTTAAAAAAGAAAAAGGTTAAAAGTTCCAAAAAGCCCCCCCCCCCCACCGTTTCGGCAGTGGGGTTCAGTGTTTGTGGGTCAAACAGAGCCCAATCGTTATAATAACACTACAGGCTATATCACTTTGTCGTGCAAGACATTGAGAGAATCAGC